AAGTGGAGGTGCTCATGCGCAAGAATGTGAGCATGTGTGAGGGGTGCACGTGTACAAGAATGTTAAGGGGTCACTTAATATAAGTGTAAGCATGCATGGGGGTGCAGGCATGCAAGACTATAAGTAGGCAGGAGCCCCGCCAAAACGTGAGGGTGCATTCAGTGAGCGGATGTAGGGCATGGAGCAAGCGTGTGTGAGCTGCACAAGCGCCCTGTGGAATTTCGAGGGAGAAGCCAGATCGCAGAGCCCGTGGGAAGGGAAGAGCAACCCAAAAAAGGTGGCCTCACCGGCCACATAGTCCCCGAAGCCCACCGTGGTGAGTGTCACCACCACGAAGTAGATGGCCTCCAGCTTGCTCCAGCCCTCCATGTAGCAGAACACGAACGTGGGCGTAAGGACAAAGAGCAGGCAGCCGATCAGCAGGAAGAGCAAGGCGGATAGAATTCGAACCAGCCCCGGTGGCACGTGCCACTTCTGCAGGGAGGGGCCGAGGAGTCACCAAAACCTCCAGTCTCACACCCCACATCCCCTCTTCTTGGAACCAGTGTTCGAGGTTCACGGGATTCAGGCGCCCCCCACCCCGCTCACATGCCTGGGCTGGGACGTAGGGAAGGGTATCCCAAACCCAACGCCAGGGCGCACAGGGCGTAGAGCAGCTCACCAGGAAGATGGCTTCGATGTGACCGATGCCACGACGCAGCGAAGAGCCCAGCCGGTCCCCGACCCCGGCCAGCAGTATCCCAAACAGCGGGATCCCCACCAGCGCATAAAAGATGCAGAAGAGGCGCCCGGCATCTGTGCGCAGGGCTGCGTTGCCATAGCCTGGGCAGAGGAGCCGTGCAGCAGGTCTAGGGGCTACCTGGCACCCCCCAGCCCCCCTGCACCTTCCCCCATGAGAAAGCCCAGCCACCCCTTGCCCCCTCTGCATGCCCAATCCCCTCCCCCACCGATGGTTGTGATGATGGTGCCCGAGAAAAAGAAGGCACTGCCCAGGTCCCAGGCTGAATGGTTGCTGTTACTGGTTGAGTTGGTGTCAGGGTTCGCGCCCCCTCCCAGGGCATCAGCCACCTCCTGCAGGGCAAGGCGCAAAAGGAGGAACCTCAGTCCTTGCCTCCTATCCTGGCCAACCCCTGGCCCTCCAGTCTCTGAGTACTTCCCTCCTTACCCCTCCCAGCTCTACCCTACCCTCTGGTCTTCTTCAAGGCAGTCCCTCAGAGCAGACATTGCAGATTGGGCAGCACAATTTTGTTGTTCGACCAACACATTGCTTTAGAGACGTTTGAGTTATCAGCCCCTTAATTTCACATAACAGATTTCCAATTTTACAGTGGTCAGGAGCACAGACTCTGGGACCAGACTGCCTGGGTTCACATCTTGGTGCTAAGTGAAGCTGAACTGTGCTTCCATTTCTGCATCTATCAGTTGGGGATGGTGATAATAGTACCTTCCTCAAAGAGTTATTGTGAAGAGTTAAAGCATTCACAACAAGGCAAGCACTGTGTATTTGTTAAATGATTACCCATGTAGACAGCATGCTCAGTGAGTTCAGCTTTCCAGGGGCCCCACCACCCCTACTTCCCCCTAGGAAGCTGACTTTGAGTCAGTCTCTTGCCTTCAAAAATCTGATGAACGTTAGGGACCCTCCCTCCAGGAAGGTTCTCATACCAACAGATTTTGCATCCAATCTGGGGAGGGTCATGGACAGACAAACCCTTCCCTGCCCTGCTGAAGCCCAAACCAAACCCTGTGCTACACAGTAGATGCCCATTGAAGGTGAAAGTGAAAGTCACTCAGTCGTGTCCAACTCTTTGTGACCCCATGGACTACACAGTCCATGGAATTCTCAAGGCCAGAATACTGGAGTGGGTAGCCTTTCCCTTCTCCAGGGGATCTTCCCAACCCAGGGATTGAACCCAGGTCTCCCACATTACAGGCGGATGGATTCTTTACCAGCTGAGCTACCAGGGAAGCCCAGATGCTTATTAAATATGATTACATTAGTGAAATGGCCATGTGTCTGCCCATCTTGCCAGCCAGTCTGTCTCCCTCCCAAGGTGGAGTCTGTGTTTTGAGAGTGCCTGCCGTAAGTGATGGAGGTCAGAGCACAGTGAGGAGAGAGTGCAGGGGGCCCTTCCCCAAGCAGCACAGAGCCAGGACACAGGCGGTAGTATGAAGGAGGTCATAAACCACCTTCTTTCTCTCTGACTGCAGTCCTCATTAGCAAGACACATTCCAAATTAATCTTCCTAAAGTGACAGCCCCAAATCTTCCATCCCTCTCTGCTATCTGCAGAATAGAGTCTGAATTCCCCAGCCCAGCCTGTAAGCCCCTTCTCCATGTGGTCCCAACCTCCCTCTCCCGAGTCTTCTCTCCTGGGACTTCCATTTTGGAACCCAAGTTACAGTGACCTTATCCCCAGATTTTGAGACAATTCCATTTCCTGTAATAATCTCTTCATGAAGCCAAGAAGTGAAGTGTATGATTAAAAGTTATTCAATTTTATTTTGCAACACTTTTCCAATAAATTCACAACTTGGAAAAAAACCCTTTGTCATTCTGGGTGTTCTAATTTTTGCTTCAAATGACTAGGCATCTGCTAAATCCAAGAACTGCAAAACACTCTGAGCTTTCCAGTTTCCACGCCTTTTTCCATGCTGTTCCTCTGCCTGAGAGTCTCTTGCAACCCAATCACACCTTTCTAAATTATACCCATCTCATCTGCTTCATCAATTACCAGCTTTTCCCAAAGACCCTAGGGCATCTCCCTCCTTGGCATCAGCCTCACCTTGCACCTAGGCCAGGGCTCAGCATACAGCTGGCAGTTAACAAAGCAGGAAGTAAGAAAAGCTCCCCTTCTACTAAATCCTACAGTGAACTTTCCCTGGAATCGGCCCCTTCGCCTAGATGTGACATCCTCTAGGCTACAGCCTGTATCTGTCCACCCCAAAATCAATTTCCCTGCTCACCCTATCCTGGACAGCATGGCACCTAGCACACAGTAGGTGCACAACTGCTGCCTGACTGGCTAATTATAGAAGAGAAATAAAGCAGCTGTTGCCTGCCTTGCATGTTTCTGCCCTTCCTTTTCTTCTTTTTTCATATCCAGGAAAAAAGCAATTCCTTTGTGAAGATAAAATAGGTCAGGTTCCCTCTCTCCTCCTGCCCTGTGGTGTGGTCAGACACTCTCCTACCCAGAGTATCAGAGAGCCTTTCTGGGCATTCTCTGGGTCAGAGACAATGTCAAGCTGCCTGTGTCCTGGCACTGCCCCCCACCCCCACCCTCAACTCTGCTCCAGGTCCTGCCACCTTGGGAATCAGCTGAAACACTTGAGTCTCCATGCTGATGCCTCCTTCCATAATAACAGGCAGGAAAGGAAAGGGGTGGGGGTAGCTTTTCAATAACAATACACATTAATGTAATCAAGTTAAATGTTAGGTGTTTTTATTTTATTTTTTTAATACGACAGTGGCTCAGAAGTCAGAGAGAGAGCAGAGGTGCTTGCCTGACAGTAGCATGAAAGGCTGCGACCCACTCTTCCTTTAGTCACTGGACCTTGCACTCCCTCTAGCTTTCACTTCACAAGCATGTGTTCTCGCAGGAAGGTGTGCTCAACCTGGCATCCATGATGGCATGGATTGGCTTAGGGGAACCTGGAACCCTCCGAAATCAAGGGTAAGTGTTTATATGTGCACTTTTCTGGAGGTAGGGGGTGGGGAAGTGTTCACAATGTTCTTGGGTTTCTCTGAGGCATCTGTGACTCCAAAGAAGCACAGGAACTAGTGTAGAGATGCCAGATTTAGCAAATAAAAATACTGCATGGGACAAATTTGTATTTTAAAAGTATTCATCCTTGAGCTGAAATTTACATTTAACTGGGTGTTCCAGCCTTCATCTGGTAACCCTAAACCTATGAGTTAGACCTGGGAAGACATAACATATCTCATATGCTACAGCCGTTTATTCATTTCTTCCTTCATGGGTTCCTTCATGCAATCACTATCACATGCTAGGACGAGAACCCAATGCCGGGCACAGCAAGGAAAACAAATGCAGCCCATGGCCGCCATATTGAAAACACAAGAGACCTGGATCCCAGCCTCTGCCCCGCACCCCTCCAGCTGCACCCTGCCTTCAGGGGTGTGGGTCAGGAAGCAGCACTCCAGAACAGGGCCACAGCGGCATGCAGCTGGTGTCAGGGGGGTCATGGGTGTCTGCTGCGGGGTCTCTCCCCCACCCACGCACCTTGATGAAGAGCCCCACGTCCTGGTCGCTCACACATGGATGGGCCCTCAGGAACTTCTCTCGCACCTCCCCCAGCTCCCTTTGGGCCTGCTGCTCATGGGGCTGCTCCAAGGCCTGGAACACCAGGGCACCGGACACCAAGTAGAGCAGGACCAGAGCCAGCAGTGCCAGTAGTGTGGTGCTGCGCATGGCGCGCCCAGGGGCCCGGCCAACCCCACTGCCCACCTGGGGAGGCTGGGCAGGGGGCTCCTGGGGAGCTGCAGTCACTGCGGGCAGAACCAGGAATGCTGGGGTCAATCACCTGGCCTGACACCCCTACACCCTCCTTCTCCAACCCCTACACACCCAAAGGTCCTGGGAGCTCCCAGCCCTACTACCTGCAGAGGGTATCTCCTGACACCCCTCTGACCAACTTGACGCTTGGCACCAGGACACACCCAGTGCCCACCCCACCCCCACCTCAGTCCTCCCCCTTACCTCCACTGCCCGGCCCTGGACTCCAGGGTGTGAGAGAGGGCACAGGGAAGGGGAAGGACGGAGAGTGGAAGGTGGAAACAGACACAGCCTGCCCAGGGAGAGGCGGGGCCAGAGAGGAGATGCTGGGGGCACCCGCCTTCCAGCTGGGGGCTGAGGGGGCGCAGAGGACCCCGCCGGGTGGGGACGGGGATGGTGGTCCGGCTCGTCCGCCGAGGTTGCAGCAGCATCTTCGCGGCTTCTCCCTCCCCTCCTGCCTCTCCTTGCTCGGCTTCTAGAGGCGATGGGCCGGGCAGGGAGCCCCCAGGGTCCCCAGCGCCCCGCTGGGCTTTCGAGGAACCCAGGGGCGGGTCCTGGTCGCTGCGCAGAGGCGAGGCAGGGTGGAGGGGAAGGGAGGGTACCAGGTTCCCGGAAGGAGCGGGGTGAGGGCGACCAGGGCCGGACCAGCGCGGCATCCCCCAGGACAGCTGCTGGCTCCCCCAGGACAGCGCGCGGCGACGCCCACGCGCACACATGCGGACACAAAGACCCGCGCGCCCACGCTCCGCCCTGCGGCTCCAGGCGGCCTCGCTGCCCCGGTTGCACGCACACCGTCCACCTGCACACACCCCGGACTCCCGGGAACACCGGACCTTCAGGGCCATGCGCGCCGGGCCAAGGCCCCCAGAGGCCCACACACATGTGTGCACACACTCACGTCCACGCACACCCAGATCACGGGGCCACCGCGCAGCGCCCGCCGCCCAGACATCGCACACCCCGCCACTCGCTCCCACCGCCTCCCCGCGTCTTCACGCCGACGCCTCGGAGCGTGACGGGCGGCGGGCGGGACGCACGGCCTCAGGACTCCCGGAGGTGGGCCCCTTCCCGGCCGGTCTCCCCCCGCGCGCCCCAGTCCGGGAGCCGGGCCTGCGGCCCCCCGCCGTCCCGCACACCCTCCCCGCGCCCGCCCGGTCCGCCCCGCACTCACTGTCCGCCACGCTGCGGCTGCGGCTGCGGTCCGGGCTCCCGCGCGGCCTCGCCGGTGCCGGCGGGGCCGCGGAGGCGGCGGCAGGGGCGGAGCGGGCGGGCGCTGGTGCTGAGACCCCACTCCTGCCGCCAGAAGCCCCCCTCCTCCTGCGTTTAACCCCTCCAGCACCGCGCTTCCCTCGGTGCCTCCCTCGCCTCCGGCTCGGCTCTCCTCAGCCCCTTACCTGAGGTTGCCCAGCCCGTCCCGGGAGGTGAGTGGCAGAGGAGCCCGAGAGGGGTCGCCGCTGGGTCAGACCTGGAATCTCAGACTGGGGCCCTGGGACTGCCCTGTGGGCCAGCCAGTGTGGCCAGCGGCACGGCCCCAGCTTGGACATCAGCCAGCTCACCTTTCCGGGCGGGCTCCACGCTAATTTCCCAGCATCTTCCAGGCCCACTACCAGATCAGAAGGGCCCTCAACTCCCCGCCCCGAGGGACAGCCCTGCCCTTGGGCTCTGCATTTCTGAGGGAGAGACCCCAGGGGACAAAGGGGTGGGGGATTCCACGGAGGAAACCTGGAATTGGCCGAGGTAGGGTTGGGACCAAGCTCTGAGAAATCAAGCTGGGCACCGCCTGCCTCTACTTCAGTATCCCCATCCCTCGCTCCTCAGTTCCATGCCCATCCCAGCCTAGAAGGGGTGCCAGCACTTCTCCCACACTGTCTGAACAGCAGGGCCCTGAACTTAGCTCCCCTCTTCTCTTACTTGCTTCTTAGCAACTCTCATCTTGCCAAAGACCCTCCCCTCCTCTGGGGTCCTGAGCCTTCACTTGGGTGGTTTTAAGTATGGGCTCTAGGGCTGACCACGCCCTAACAGTAGGGGGCCTAGACTGGTGACCAGATTCTCCAGGCCTCCCGGTCCCCACTTACAGAAAAGGGATGACTAATTATCACCTCAGGATGCTGTGCTGAGGATTAGCGAGGTTGGTATCTGTAAATGCTCCAAACAGAGCCTGGCACTCACAATTGAGTGCCCTACAAATGTCAGCAATTTCCCTTTCAACTGAAAGTGATTGTCCAGCTTTGAGCTGCTTCTCTTGAGTCTCAGAGGCCCATCTCTGGAGGTACTGAGGCTTGGGGCTCAGAACAGTCCCAGGTGAAGGGTTTCAAGGCAGGCTCAATGCTAGGTCCAAGGAACTGGACCAAGTGGCTAGATATATGGGCGAGATAAATGATTCTCTGATAAATGACTCCTGGCCAGGGGACAGAGGACAGATCTGTAAGGCCTGTGATTACAGAGGGCAGCGACTGCACTACCAGGGACAGTCAGGGAAGGGGCTCCCCGGGCAGACTGTGTGGGGGCAGCCTGGCCAAATCCACACGGGCTAGGGAGATGGGCGCTGCTGTTCCTCCACCAGTCCTGGACTAACTCCTGGACCTGAAGGCCAGGTTGGGCATAAAGACAGTGAAACAGGGACTCTAGAAACCCTGATCCACTGAGGGCAAGAGGCATAACAGCCATGCAGTCACAGTGCCAAGGGACCTGGGGTGGGTTGCGGAGGGACACAGTTCCCTGACCTGGAAGTGGCAGGGTTCATAAAGGAGGTGACACTTGAAGCAGTTCCTGAAGAGTAGAAATTGTTCATGCAGGGAGGGGACTGGAGCGGGGACTGGGTTCTTCTGGTCTCATTTTCCTTTGGACACAGGCTCGTCCCTCTCCTCACCCACCAGCCTTAGGGGAGGTAAATGACCCCGGCCCAGCCCAGTAGCCCCCTTCAAGGGCCAGTGTCCAATCAGCCCTAGACTGAGCGGATGATGGTGTGAGAAACACAAGCAGACAACTGACGGACAGCGAAGGGACTTGGGGCACAGACACTGTTTATTGAGTGGCAGACGCAGGAGAGGTACCTGGCTCCGGAGTGGAAGCGGAGGTGGCGGGTCATGCCAGGGCGCCGTGAGCATCTGGCAGCCAGGGCCATGCCACCCCATCCTAGGGGACAGCACAAGCTCACTGCAACAGGAGTAGCAAGGAGCCGGCCTGGGGAAGCTACAGCCCCCGGGATCCTGGGCAAGAAGCAGCAGATGAACTTGGCACAGGGGTCTAGGGTGGGAGGGGCTGGGGGCTGGGTGTTCTGTGGGGAGATGAAGGGGATCACGTCTGTGGGGTGGAGTAGAGACTGTGGTGGTGGCCGCCTGGTCCCAGAACCTGGGAGAAGAGCAGGGGCGTGGTCCGAGTCTGGCTGCCTCCGCACCAGCCTGGTTCCCGCCCGATGGTGCCATACCAGCTGCTGGAGCCTAGGCTACCTGACATGCTGTAGGCAGAGAAACAGGGTCAGCCCTCCAGCAGTCACTAGGACCACAGTCACAAGAGTTGGGAGAGGAGAGAGACTGAGAACAGAGCTCAGTGACCCAGACTTCTCTGACTATGGCAAACTGCATCTTGAGGGGTTAGGTGTGGACTTCAGCAACAGTACACCAGAGGGGACCTCACCTAGTATACACCATGGCATGGGCAGGGGTGGGTGGCAAGACCCAGCTCTAGGTCCTCATGGCTTGATGGAGCAACCTGGGAGCCCCCGGGTCCTCGGGTGGGGCCAGGATTCCTACCTGGTGCTCTCGCCCCGGCTATGCTCCCAAGAGCAGCCCTCATCCTCGCAGTGTGCTCGGTCGAAGAAGTAGGAACGCGAGCCAAAGACCTGCCCATTGAGGATGCGGCTGGTGCTCTAGGGAAGGGAGCCACCACTGATGCTTCCTTCTGCCCCCCCACTGGCCTCCCACACCCCCAGAACCCAGCCCAGGGATCGCCAGTGCCGCCCCTCTCCACTGGCCCTCACCAGGTCCTGTGGGGGCCGATGCACCCGGAAGAAGCCCACCAGTAGGGTGGTGGGCAGCAGCTCCCATACAAAGAGAATGAGGCCAAACACCAGGTAGCCTTTGTTCCCCAGGTCATTCACCAGGTCCGCCTGTGGGGAGGCAGGGGCTGTGCCAATCTGCAGTCGTGCCAATGGGGCCCCCAGACAGGACCCAGGCTAGCTGGGGGCCAGAAGCCACAGCTACTGGGAAGGGGGCAGATGTGTTGAATGCCCACCTGATCAGAGACATTGTACCAGTCGTAATCGAAGGTGTCCAGCCGGCTCCGGGGGGCCAAGGCCAGGGCCGCCAGGTTGTAGCAGGCCCGGCTGGCATACAGCAGGACCATGGCGCCACCCATTGCAGCTGCCTGGCACACACTGGTCCCCTGGCACAGATGACAACAGGGGACCCTTAGGGAGGGGAGGTTCCAGCTTTGTCTCTACTCTGAAGACCCTGAACACCCCAAAGACACCCAGGCGTCAGCGCTTGTGGCCCTACCTTGGCCTCCAGGTAGATGCTGGTGGAGGGGGCCCGCCGGGCCACAAGGCAGAGGCAGGCGGCAAGAGAGAGTGCGCAGATAACAAACAGGGAGTCGCTCACCAGGACACGCACCAGCAGGAGGGCCCAGGGCTGTGCCCGGCGCCGGCGGGACAGCACCGCGCACAGCACATTCACCAGCAGAAAGAGCAGCGAGGCCCCCACGAAGGCCCCTCGGACAGCCAGCCTGCGGCCCACAGCAGAGTCAGCCCCAGGCGACCACCCTTGCCACTCCCCAACCACCCAACCCTTCCCAGGAGACCCGGGTGTCAGTCAGAACCTCAGGCCACCCAGTCTGAACCCCACTCCTCCGGGTTTACAGATGAGGAAACTGAGGCTAAAGAGGTCAGAAGATGACTGACAGCTGTGGTACAGCAGAAAGAGCCCTGGATTGGGAGTCAGAAATCTGGGTTTAAGCCCTGGCTCTACCTCCTGCCAGGTGTGCGACCTTGAACATGTTCCTTAACCTTGGTGGGCCTCAGTGTCTTCATCTCTCAAATGGGGACACATCAGCTTCGAAGGTAAGTTGTAAAAATTAAAGGTGTCTGTGAAAGCTCTTAATAAACTGCGAGATGTTGTACAAAGGACAGGAGTTATCACTACCCAAGGTCACCCAGAAGTGCCCTTTGGAGCTTCCGAGGGCCGGAGCCTCCAGCTCTTCCTCCATCGTGGATGACACTGGTATCCTCTCCCTTCACCATATTTCAGTGGTTTTTTTATTATAGTTGAGCTTCACATATGTAACACCTCTGCAGAACCATCTGCACCAGATGCCTAATGTTCCCAAGCCTTCCCCAAGCATCCTGGGTTATACTCCCCTCAGCCCTACCAGGGGGGAAGGAATGGACACTGGGCTTCCCTGCCCCTGACTGAGCCCACCAGTACTTACAAGCCTCGGCTCATCTCTGGCCGACGCTTTGCCTTGGCTTTGAACACCACCTGGGGGCAGAGAGGCCCATTATTCTTTGGGGCCCTGGGGCTTGCTACCCCAGGGGCCCACCCCCACCCATCACCATGGTTACCTGAGCAAAGTAGAGGTTCATGAGCGTCAGTGTGAAGAACTGCAGGCAGACAGGACAGCAGTAGAGAAGCCAAAAGGGCAGGGGCCCCAGATGGTTGGCTCGGGGTGTGTCTCGAAAGTAGAAGGAGAAGAGGGTGGTACGCAGGGCAGCCCAGAGCAGACAGAGCGCCAGGAACACCGTCTGATAGCTGAGACGCTTGTGCCCATACAGGAGCACCAGCCAGAGCTGGGCATAGACGGAGAAGAAGAGCAGGGCGTACAGGGTGGTGTAGGCCGCAGTCAGCCCCAGGGTCACGGCGGGCGGCAGCGCAGGTACCAGCCCAGCAGCAGGCACCAAGCCAGACAGGTTACTCTCCATGTCAGAGAGGGAGGCCTGAACCCTGAAGACAGAGATGGAGGGGCCGGCAGGGCGCCAGGGAAATAAATACGGAGGGGTGGGAGTTGTAGGGTGCTCAGGCAGAAAGAAGTGGTGGTTGGCCGGCCCCTCCCCCCCTCGACAGAGGGCCCCTTGCCTTTGCGGGGCACGGGCAACCTGGGTCCCTCACTCCCGGGTGTGGAAAGACAGCCCTTCCTCTCCAGGGCAGAGGCGGGTGGGGAAGTGGGGAGTACTCCTCTCCGGGCCAGCCTCAAAGCCGGGGATGGGGGGATGAGGGTGCAGAGGCCGAAGGAGAGGGGGTCCCTGGCCTCGGTCGCTGTAGTCGTCCCGGCAGGAGGGGGAGAGCCGGCCAACCCCAGTCTGTTCAGAGCAGCGGCTGCTGCTGGGGACGCTCAACGTCTGGCTCTCCCCCTCCCCAAACTGGAGGGCTCTCTCCCCTCCAACAATCCGGATGGGGAGGGCCTCTGCCTTCCGTCCTCGGGATTCCGGACGCTGACCCACCCCACCCCCCACTGCCTCCACTCTCCAGCCGCGGGGGGGCGGGAGGAGGCCGACGCCCGGTCCTCAGGCCGCAGCTGGGGGAGCCGGCTCCGGTCGCTGGGACCCGGGGCTCCGGCTCCCCGGCTCCCGCTGCTCCGCCCCCTCCTGCGCCTGCGCGGCCGCTGTTCGCAACGCAAATTGCTCAGGGTCTGGTCCTGGCTACGCAGGCCCGCGCCGCGCCCGGCGCGGAGCTGTTCGAGAATTGGCGCGACTTGCGCTACCGCCGGGCGCCAGGGGTTACTAGAGGCGGCGAGCGGCCTTGACGTTCCGGCTGCGCCGCATCCGGCCAGCGCCCGGGTGGGCATTGACCGGAGCTACCGGCCCTCGCTTCCATGGGAAGCTGGCGATTCCCATGCTTCTCTTCCCCATTCCCAAATCGAGATTGTGCCGCCGACCCGGGGCGGTAACGACTTCCCTTCACTCGGTCTCTGAGGGAAACTTCCGCCCTCAGCCAAGATGGCCTCCGGGCCCCGCCCCCGGGCCTTAACCCGCGGGGTCGCCGCGTCCCGCGCGAGCCCTCCCGCCCATTCCCTGGCTGGGGGCGTTTCCCGCTCACCTGGCCTGTGGTCTGCCAGGCGCGAGGCCTCCGCGAGTCCTGTTGTCACCCTCTTAGGGGCCCCTTTCCCTTCTGCGCCGGGACAGTCATCCTGCCCCGGGTGGAGGCTCCCTCGCTTATCTCTAGTGCCCCCGAGTTGGCGCGGGGAGTGGCGCCCCTGACGCGGGCGATGCGAGGTTTCCACCGCGGGGAGGAGGGAGGGGTGCTTCCCGAGCCGGTCACCCGGTTCGGATGGAGCAGTGACGACAGCAACAACAGTTGCCTCCGACGGCTGAGCTTCGATTACGGCTTTGCGAAGTGCTTTCACCCACAGTAATCACCGCCCAGTTTACAAGGATCACTGACTCCTGAAAGAGGTGTCATTATCCCCATTTTACAGGAGTGGGAATTAAGTCCCAGAGGGGCTGAAGGACTTGTCAGCAGGAGCTGGCTCCCAAATGGGGACCCCGGAGAATCCCTCAGTGGCTCCCACAACGCCCAAAGCCTAAGGAAGTCGGGAGCTGAGCATCCGGAGACGTAGAAGGGACTCAGGAGGAAGGCAGTGGGCGGGGCCCCGGGGAGTGGCCCCGCCTGCTGGCCAGCTAGTGACATTTCAAGAACTGATTGGGCCGGGTCGGTGACAGTTTCCGTTACCCAGGCAACTAGGGCCGGGCTCTCTTTTTGCTAGAGGGACGCGGCGGGCCCGGGTCAGGGGCCTCGTTATCGGGCTTGGGGTGAGATCTGTGTGACGTTACCGCGGGAGGGTCTGGCCGAAGCCTGGGCAGGGGCCTGAGGCTTCTCTCCAGCCCCAGGGCTCTGAGAGTTTTAGATCCTGGGTGGATAAGTCGAGCTTCCTGTCGGGCCAGACTCAACGGACAGATGTGCGCCGGGGAGGCAGGGTGAACCTGGGGTGCTGACTTGGGAGAGGGAGCCAGGGACACCTGTGCCCCCAACCCTGCCAGCCACCCTTAGCCCCAGCTGTTCTCTAATTACCTGCCATCTTGCCCCCCCGCAGCCCAGAGCATGTTCCAGATCCCAGAGTTTGAGCAGAGTGAGCAGGAAGACTCCAGCCCTGCAGATAGGGGCCTGGGCCCCAGCCCCACAGGGGACAGGCCCCCAGGTCTCAGCAAGCACTGGCTAACAGCCCCAGGCCTCCTGGGGGAAGCTGATCACCAGCAGGGGCAGCCGGCCAGCAGCAGCCACCATGGAGGTAGGCAACCCCCCTCCCCAACAACCACCTGCCTGTCCAGCTTGCCTCCAGCCCAGTAGCTCTCTGCACCCCAGCCACATCACACTCGGGGCGGGGGGGGGTTGATAAGTCCCTCACTGCTCCGCACCTCAGTTTCCTTTTCTGTAAAACAGCAGTTCATCACCACCCTTGTAGTGCTGTGGGGAAGATTAACAGACATACTTTAGAAGCACTTAATTGTAGAGCTGATGTTCAGTAAATGCTCCAAGTATGTAGCTCTTAGCATAGGACCAGAATGGAATCACTGAGAGGCCACCAGAAAGGGGAAATGACTTGCCTAAGGTGACACTCGGCATTTCCTTTGGGCTCGAAGACTCTGTGCTGCCTTGCCCCAGGCTCTGTTCTTTCCCGCCCTATGGCTCACACCCAATGTCAAGGGCTGTCCTTGACATTGCCAGGGCCAGGTAATCCCAAGAGGCAGACAGCCCTACCAGGCAGCAGGTCTGTGTGGGACTGGGAAAGCATCAGCTGTCCTCCATATCTACCAAGGGAGACCCTGCTGAGATGGAGGGATGGGCCCTGGAAGGAAGCGGCCATGTCTTAGTACTCCCTACCACCTGGGTGCCCAGCACAAGCCTTGGCACCTGGAACAACCACAGAAATCTTCTGAAAACAAAACTCCTGTCCCTTAACTGCTGCCGATGTGACACCCTTCCATTTTCAGGAGCAGGAAGGCTTATTAATACCCCTACCCCAGGTAGTTCCCTGGTGGTCCAGTGGTTAACACTGAGTGCTTTCACTGCCCAGGACCCTGGGGTTCAATGCCTGGTCAGGGAACTAGGATTACAGTAAAAAAAAAAAAAAGAAAGAAAGAAAGAAAGAAACGTTGATATTCAGTTATTAAGGATAAAAAAAAAATTAAAAGAAAAAGACCCCACCCCACCCCCCAACCTGCTGTATGTCACACTGAACTCCACAGGCTTTCTTTAACTTCGAGATTTTTGCACTTGGAGTTTTTCTGCTTGAAACTGCTTTCCACTCTGTACCTGCCTGTCCCTTCCCATCTTCTGTGTCAAGTGCTGAATGTGTGTTCTAGCTGCCAGGGGTTCATCAGGGACTAGAAGAGAAGCTCTTGCCCTTGTGGGTCTCCTACATTCTAGAAGATAGGGGGAGACAAGCCACAAAGAAAGAATCAAACAGACCAGTGATATGGTGCGTTAGAAGGTGATGCCTTAAGTGACATACCCTTGACTTTCTCTTTGGAATCCGGAGTGCTGGGGGCTGGATGGAGTGATTTGAACTGAGGTGGTCAGGGTGGGCCTTGGTGGTGGTGGTTTAGTTGCTAAATCATGTCCGACTCTTGCTACCCCATGGACTGTAGCCCTCCAGGTTCCTCTGTCCATGGAATGTTCCAGGCAAGAATACTGCAGTGGGTTGCCATTTCCTTCACCAAGGGGGAGGGCAGGGCAAATGCAAAGACCTTGAGGGCAGTGAGGGGAGGGGCTTGGAGACTACTCCAGAGTTCAGGGAAGGGGAGGGGCTGATGGGCGGGGCCTTGAAGGCCCAGGTCAGGGCTCTGGCTTTCAGGTTGAGTGAAAACCTGGAGGACTTTGATCTCATTTGGACCTCAAGAGAATCACCAGGGCCCCTGGGTGAAGACGGGTCTCCAATGGGCAAAGGTAGGGGTGGTGCCACAGGGGAGGAGGGTAGCCGGTGCGAGCGTGGTGGTGGTGGAAGTGGTGAGTATTAGAGCTGGACTCTGGGTTTCTTTTGAAGGTAGAGCTGGTGTGATTTGCTGATAGACAAATGTGTGAGGCCCAAAGAGGATGGCCTGGGCACCTGGAAGGATGGAGTCGCTCTTAACTGAGGTGGAACTGAGAAGGTGTGGGGTGAGATCAGGAGCCCTGCTCAGGCCAGGTTAGGTTAGAGGTGCCTTTGGGGCATCCAGGTGGAGATTTCTAGTAGGGATAGATACATGTGGGAGTTGGCCATTGATGATGAAGTGTACTGTGGGCCCCGGGAGACGGTGTAGACAGGGTAGAGCTTGGGCTGAGTCTGGAGCTCCAAGGCTGCAGCGGGCAGCAGAAGTGGAGAAGCCTGCACTGGGGTCTGAGAAGGAGGGAGCCACCTGGTAGGGAGGGGAGTGTTGAACTGGGTGATGCTCCTTTGAGGGCTGCTGGAGGAGGGCTGGGAGTGGAGCGCTGGACTGGACTTAAGGTCGGGGCAGCTTGGGTGGAGAGTGCAGAGGGATGATGGGAAGAGAATTGGAGGTAGAAAGGAGAGCCCGCTCTTGGCAGCAGCTGAGCTCTGGCAAAGAGGAACAGAGGAGCCAGCGGCACCTGAAGGCCCAAGGAGAGTCAAGGAAGGATTGTTTTATTACTTAAGATAAAAAGGAAAAAGAAAAAGAGGTTCTTTTTTTTTTTGGCTGTACCATGTGGCTTGCATGGTCTTAATTCCCTGACCAGAAATCGAACCCATGCTCCCTGCAGTGGAAGCGTGGAGTCTTAACCGCCAAGGAATTCCCGAAAGAGCATGTTTATAAGTTGATGGAGTATTCCAGGAAGGAGGAAAATACTGGAGGATGCAGGGGAGAAAGGAAGCTTACTGAGAGGTGTCCTTGAGTAGGAGAGAGTGGTCTGGTGTTCAGGGCAGGGGTAGCTCAGCTGAGTGCAGTGGAGGGGTGGAGGAGGGCAAGGAGATACCTCGTGGGAACCAGCAGATGGTTCTCTCATGGATGCTTCCAATTTCTTAGTGAAAGGAAGCCAGGTCCTGAGCCAGGAGTGAAGGTGGGGAGAGTGGTGGAGGTTGAGGCCGAGAGAAGGAAGAGTAGGTTTGAAGTAGTTGTCTGGCCCAGAGTATGGAGTTGGAAGGTGTGCTGGGCACCTCGGGGGGCCACTGGGTCTTGTGACCATGAATTTCAACAGAGGTGGCACAGCTGAGCTTTTCTTCAGCCATGCTGGCCACCCAGGTGCATGTGGGAATGGGCTGGGAGTTGGCCTTAACCAGGGCTGTGTTGGTATCAGCCCAGGGAGGGAGACAGTGCGGGGCTTGGCTTATATCCAGTGTAAGCTGGCCAAGTGTGAGGAGCCCGGCATCATCAGAGCTGGGGTGCCAAGGCAGGGAGCTGGAAAGGACCATTTCTGTGCTATAAGTGAATGGAATAGGAGCAGCAAAACCTCCTGCACCCACTAGGGGCCCATCCTGTGGGTCGGGGGGCACCTGAGGCCCCAAGGGGGAAAGGTGGCACAGCCCAGGAAACTAGATTTGGGGAGGAGAGAGGGAAAATGGACTGAAGCAGCAATAAGCCAAGGGGATGCCTACCCCAGCTCCAGGCCCAGCCATGACAAGTCCTGCAAGGGATGCAAGAGACCTGGCCCAGATTCCTTTCGACTTAGTTTTCAACATCTAAAAAGCAAGTGGTTCTCCTTGAAAGACCCACAGGTGCCCATAACCTGCCAGAGCCACAGGGCCACTGCCCACCTCTGCAGGGGCAGGGTGCTGTCACTCTTCATGTTCCCTGCCTCCAAGCCCCTGCTGCGGTGAACCGTGTGTGTCTCCAAGGCAGGCCTGTGGCTGCCTTGTGTGCTGTGACAGTCCAGTGCATAGCCGGCTGCCTGGAGCAGCTGGTGCGTGAATGGAGACACGCGGTGAGTAAATCAGCCCAGTGCCAGGCCCCGGGCCAGACTGCAGGGTTCAAATCCAGCTTTTTTTTTTTTTTTTTAAATTGAAGTATAGTTGATTTATGTGCTTGGTCATATCTGACTCTTTGTGGCCCCTTGGACTGTAGTCTGCCAGGCTCCTCTGCTCATAGAATTTTCCAGGCAGGAATACTGGAGCGGGTTGCCATTCCTTTCTCCAGGGGATCTTCCCGACCCAGGGATTGAACCCAGCTCTCTCACATTGCAGGCAGATTCTTTACCCAGTGCCCAGTGGTAACTATGGGAAGTCCATAGTTGATTTGTGAAAGTGAAAGTGTTAGTTGCTCAGTTGTGTCTGACTCTTTGTGACCCTATGGACTGTAGCCCACCAGAATCCTCTGTCCATGGGATTCTCCAGGCAAGAATAGTGGAGGCGGTTGCCATGACCTTCTCCAAGCTGATTTATAATGATATGTTAGTTTTCGGTGTACAGCAAAGTGAGTCAGTTATATATATATATATGCGTATATATATTCCCTTTCAGATTATTTTCCATAATAGGTTATTAAAAGATATTCAGTGTAGTTCCCAGTGCTACACAGTAAATCCTTGTTGTTTATCTACTTTATATACAGTTCAGTTCAGTTGCTCAGTCGTGTCCGACTCTTTGCGACCCCATGAACCACAGCACGCCAGGCCTCCCCATCCATCACCATCTCCTGGAGTCCACCCAAACCCATGTCCATTGAGTCGGTGATGCCATCCAACCATCTCATCTTCTGTAGTCCCCTTCTCCTCCTGCCCTCAATCTTTCCCGGCATCAGGGTCTTTTCAAATGAGTCAGCTCTTCGCATCAGGTGGCCAAAGTATTGGAGTTTCTGCTTCAGCCTCAGTCCTACCAATGAACACCCAGGACTGATCTTTAGGAAGGACTGGTTGGATCTCCTTGTAGTTTAAGGGACTCTCAAGAGTCTTCTCCAACACCACAGTTCAAAAGCATCAATTCTTCGATGCTCAGCTTTCTTTATAGTCCAACTTTCACATCCATACATGATCACTGGAAAAACCATAGCCTTGACTAGATGGACCTTTGTTGACAAAGTAATGTCTCTGCTTTTCAATATGCTGTCTAAGTTGGTCATAACTTTCCTTCCAAGGAGTAAGTATCTTTTAATTTCATGGCTGCAGTAACCATCTGCAGTGATTTTGGAGCCCAAAAAATAAAGTCAGCCAGTTTCCATTCTTTCCCCATCTATTTGCCATGAAGTGATGGGACCAGATGCCATGATCTTAGTTTTCTGAATGTTGAGCTTTAAGCCAACTTTCTCACTCTCCTCTTTCACTTTCATCAAGAGGCTCTTTAGCTCTTCTTCACTTTCTGCCATAAGGGTGGTGTCATCTGCGTGTACCTATCAATCCGAAAGTCCTGGGAATTCCCTGGTGGTCCAGTGGTTAGGACTTAGCGCTTTCACTGACATGGCCTACATTCAATCCCTGGTTGGGGAACTGAGATCTCATAAGCCATGCAGTGCTGCAAAAAAAAAAAAAAAAAGAAATCCCAAAGCCCTAATTAATCCTCCCCACCCCCACTCCCCTTTTTTCCCCTGTGGTAATCATAAATTTGTTTTCTATGTCTGAGTCTATTTCTGTTTTATAAGTAAACTCATTTGTATCATTTTTTGTTTGTCTTGTTTTTGGCAGCACCAGGAGGCAGTTTGTTTTCTATGTCTGTGAGTCTATTTCTAGTTTGTAAATAAGTTGATTTGTATCACTTTTTGTTTTGTTTTGTTATGTTTTTGGCCACACCAGGAGGCCTTTGGGATCTTAGTTCCCCCACTAGGGATCAAACCTACACCCCCTGCATTGAATTTTAACCACTGGACCACCAGGGAAGTCTCCTGTATCATTTTTTTATTTTCCCTGTATCATTTTTTAGATTCCATATTTTTGTCTGACTTCACTTAGTGTGATAATCTCTAGGCCCATCCTTGTTGCTGCAAATGGCATTGTTTCACTTTTTTTTTTAATGGCCGAGTAGTATTTCATTGTTTATATATACTGCATCTTCTTTGTCCATGGGATTCTCCAGACAAGAATACTGGAGTGGGTTGCCATTTCCTTCTCCAAGGAATCTTCCTGACCCGGAGATCGAACCCAGGTCTCCTGTGTTGCCAGGCAGATTTTTTACCACCTGAGCCACCAAGGAAACCTTCTTTATCCCTTCTTCTGTTGGACATTTAGGTTGCTTCCGTATCTTGGCTATTGTAAATGGTGCTGCCATAAATATTGGGTGCCTCAGTTTTTTTTATCCCAGTAAAATGGGACTAGAAGTAGTCCCTCATTGCGTTGTCATAAGAATCGGATGCATTCATACAGGAAAAATGCTTAGAAACAGTGCCTAGCACAGAGGATGGTCTGCTGTTCTTACTATTATGCGGTTGTTGCAGTGAGTTGGCCCAGGCCCTGAGCAGACCTGGGGACTGCCATCCATTTAGAGGGAATAGGGAAACATGAGTAACCAACGCCCCCCTGATGGCAGACAAGGGAGTGCAGGCTGGAACCAGAATATAACGGCCCTGGGGGCCATGCCCAGGAGTTTGGAGTTTATCTCATAGGCAACAGGGAGCCATTGAAGGTTTTAGGCAGAGGACAGACATAGTTCGGTTTAGAGCAGAGGTTGGCAAACCACAGCCAAAGGCTAAATCCCTCTTTGTTGTATAGCCTGTGAGCAAAGAATGATTTTGACACTTTTTTTTTTTTTGACACTTTTAAACAGTTGACAAAACTCCAAAGAACAGTATTTTATTTCAGTGTTCCAAATACAGTTTTAGGGGAACGCAGCAGTGCACAAGCACTTGTATATTGTTTATGGCTTCTTTCAAGCCACGGCCAGTGTTGAGTAGTTGTGACAGACTACATGGCCTGCAATGCCCAAAATATTTCCTCTCTGACCCTTTACAGGAAACATTTTCCAGCGTCTGCTTTAGCATGTTTTCTGATTTTCTCAGCTCTGAGCAAGGTAGGGGTATGTTCTCTACATGCCAGTAAGGGGCTTTCCTACCCCAAATGGCATTAGGGGACACAGGAAACCTAGGCTGAGACAGGACAGGCCGCATGCCTACTCAGGGCAGAGCGCCGAGCTGCTCTCCTGCTGAAGTTGAGCAACATGTGAACCACCCACGTGGTAGAGCAGGATCCAAACCCAACCCTGCCTGATGGCACAGTCTCACTGCCGCCAGCTGTCTGGAACAGCACTATTTTAACGAAGTGTGCAAAGATGCTCACAGGAGCGGGAATGTGGATGTGTGCAGCCCCACCCACTTACCCAGAAAGCCGGTGAGTAAAGGATTTAAAGCTTGGGGCTCAGGACACCTCCAGCCATAGGCCCCTCCCACTTCCCCACCCAGCCCCAGGCAGGCACTCTGGAAGGATGGCAGAGAGGACAGGCCTGGCCACCCACCCATGCTCACAACCAGAGGCCACAGAAACCACGCCTCCTCCTTCCTCCTTTCCTTCCCAAGACTGGGAGAGGACACCTCTGCACTATCTAGGGGCATGAAGGAGTGACCGCTGATTGAAGGTTGGATGGATGGAGTGGATAGGCATGTCTGCTCCCCTAGGAAGTTCACAGAAAAGTACTGATTTTTTCTCTAGTAAATAGGACACTTAAATGTTCAGTTTACACATTTGAGTGTTATTTTGACAATGGCTTCAGTAAAAATCCCCACCCCATGGGTAGGCTCCTGGTAGGGCTGGCAGTCACATTAGGCCCACGGTGCTGCTGAAGCGAGCCGGGGTGTGACAGTTAAATACACAGACCCAGGAGGCAGACTGATTGGGCTGGAATCTGTCACTGACTAGCTGTGACTTTGGGCAAGTTACTTACTATGCCTTAGTTTTCTCTTCTGTAAAATGGGGACAGTGAGTAACCTTCCTCACAAGACGTGGTGAGGACATAAGGAATTAATATACAGGAAGCATACTGCCAGCCTGACACCGGGAGGGCTGCTGTTCTGCTCGTGCTGATTCCTAGGCAAGAGGGCAGGGCCCAGACCAAGTGCCTACCTACTAGTCACTTGCCTTCTGACCATTGGGCCCTGCATCTGTCAAGTGTGGAGTGGAGATTGTGTGGGTTTAGTGCTAGTAAAGTAGAATAATAGCTGATAGTTCCTGAGCATTTAAGCGACCAAGCAGGCTGTGCCAGCTGTGTGACCCTGGGCAAGTTCCTAACCTCTCGTGCTTTTATTTCCTCATGTGTAAAATAGGGAAAACTCGGCCTCTGTCACACTGGGAAGATGGGAGGCTTCAGGACATGAAAAAGGCACGACAGGGCTCTTTCTCTGTGTCATCTGTCCTCATGGGGCTCCTGGGGGCTGCCCCCATTTCACAGAGGACACCACCGAGGCCCCAAGGGATTAAAAAGAAAGGGCCCAAGGTCACAAAGCAGGAATGTGGTGGAGGTGGGAACTTCTGTCCTGATGCCCATGGAACCGGAGAGTCCTCTGCAGACAGGCCTGTTCTCATCAGGGCTCTTGCTGCCCTCAACTCCTTAGCCCCACCCAGCCCCAATCTGGACTGCTGATTTAGCTGCCTGTTCCCCACTGCCACATCGTTCCTCAAAGGCTTTATGGTGTCCCTGCCTACCTGAGCCCAGGCTTTGGTGAAGTTTAGGAATTCCAGCCACCCTCTTGGCCTAGGCCTTTCTGGATCCAGCCCCCTCTTCTTTTCTTGGCTTTCCCAGCCCTGTGTTTGGAGCTGGGACCCTTGGAGGCCCCAGCCCAGGAGCTGGCCCACAGTCCTTCGGGAGAGGATGAGACAGTTTACCCCTGGCTTCAAGACCTGGCCTAGATCATACTTTCTCTAGAATGCCTCACTGACAGTCATACCTTGCTGTGGATGCTGTTCCCATGCACTTGTTCCATGCCTGTCTTTCAATCCAGCTCTGGATTTATGCTCCTGGGAGTGTTCTAGGTCTTTGTTGGTCTGGGTATGAGGGTGGGGTTGACAGGAATTTGAGGGATGGAACACATGCAAAAGGCAGACAAACTAGGACACACCTCTTTGAATAAGGATCCATCACACACTTTCAGCTTACAAAGGACTTTCACGCTCTTTATGTGAGGCAGTCACTGGCATTAAGAACTAGGTTTATCCCCATAAAGAGGTGAAGACACAGGCTCAGGGAGTTGAAGGGTGGCTGGACAAAGACATGTAGCTCAATGGATTATCACTGGACTCTGGATTCCAACAAACCTGTAGGGGCTTCAGACCTCACAGCTTCCCAGCTGTGTCACCCAGGGCAAGTCTTATCCTCTCCAAGCCTCTGTCTTTTCATCTACACCATGGAAGCAATATTAATACTTACCTCTTGGCATGCTTAGGAGGATAATGAGGTAATGCCCAGGACCTAATAAGTGCTCCATAAGTGTTACCATAAAAAGTCAACAGAACTTTCTGGACAGTTTGTTCAAAGTGGGTGCTGTGGGAGGTACAGATATGCTGACAGGTTGTTGTTCGCAAAGGGCTCCTACGTCTCCTGTAGGTCACAACAGTGAAACAAGTGGGCCCCAGCTGGTCATCTGTGGAGGTGGGGTTCAACCCTGTCTGGCTTGGTTGGGGTACCTCCTCAACCAGGAGACTGATTTCCTCTGCAGGGGACTAGAGCTGATGAAAGAGTTAACCTCCCAAGGAATTGCTGGGAAGCCTCAGGATCTTACACTCATAGCTCTAACTACTATTTATGCCCTTATTCTGTACCAAGCAGAGAGGTGAAGTCATTTTATAAACGAAAGGTCTGGTCCGTTGAAAGTGACTCTGCAACCCCACAGGACTGTAGCCCGCCGGGCTCCTCTGTCCGTAGGATTCTCCAGGCAAGAATACTGGAGTGGGTAGCCTTTCCCTTCTCCAGTGGATCTTCCCCACCCACGGATCGAACCCATATCTCCCGCATTGCAGGCAGATTCTTTACCATCTGAGCCAAAGGGTCTAGCCCACTATTGGGGCTCAATTAAGATTTGTGGGATTAATGAGAAGTTAATTCGAAACTTCACTAACACTGCTGCAGGGCTGGAGATGCGAGAGGAGTTGAGATTCACGTCATCCCCACCGTATGATCTTCTCTGCAGGCACTGGGGCTGTGGAGACCCGGAGTCGTCACAGCTCCTACCCCGCGGGGTCAGAGGATGATGAAGGGACGGAGGAGGAGGATCTCGGTCCCTTCAGGGGCCGCTCGCGTTCAGCGCCCCCCAACCTCTGGGCTGCACAGCGATATGGCCGCGAGCTCCGGAGGATGAGCGACGAGTTTCACGTCTCCTTCAAGGTGAGGGCCGGCTGAAAGGCCCCGCAGTCCCGGGCCACACCGGGACCTGTGCTCCCGGACCTCCTCCCACTGGGCTGTTCCAGTGCACGTCGGAATTTCCGTCTCGGGGTTCCTTGGCTCCTTTCGGAACTCCAGCCAGACCCTTGCCGAGTTCCAGGGTATTCGGAGATCTGACCCTGCTCCAGCAGGCCAAGGCTCCTGGGTTCCCCAAGTCCCCAGAGCGCGAGGCATTTGTGCTCCTAGCCGACCCCTTTCGGATATCTGGGTTCTTGGCCTCAATTTCCGAACCACTTCTTTCATTTTCAAATTATGGTCCCATCTTCCACGTGCTAAGTCTCCGGCTCTGGCGCTTACAGGATCCTAGGCGTTCTCTCTTTCTGCCCGCAACATGGAGGGACCATGCTTAGTAGTCAGGAGACCTCTCGGTACAAGGCCTGTTAGGATCTACGGTCTTTTGTCTCCTCCGGGATCTCACTTGGTGGTGGGATTCCGTAAGCGGAGGGGCCTTGATTCGGGCTGCCAGAATAAGCTAATTCATTCTACCCTTTTTTCTTCCCACCCTGAAGGGGCTTCCTCGCCCGAAGAGCGCGGGCACGGCGACGCAGATGCGACAAAGCCCCAGCTGGACGCGCTTCCTCCAGTCCTGGTTGAGCCGGAACTTGGGGAGAGGAGGCTCCGCCCCCTCCCAATGACCTTCCGCCCCGCATCCCGAATCTCCCAACCGCTGCTGGTGGCCATCTTGGGAGCGGGCGGAAGTTTTTCTGCAGGCTTTATGTAAAAGGAGGCTCGGTTTCGTTCCTTTCGGAAGACTGAGGTCTGACCCAGAGCCCGATCCCCTTCCGGTGTGTGCGAGGACCACGGAGGGGCTCGGCCCCCATCGGAAGTTGGAAGTTTTTCCGCCCTTACCTGCCGGAAGCGGCCCCGTGACCCCACCCCCGGCGCTGGGCCGCCCCAGGCGCCTGCGCCAGTTGCGAGCCGAGATTAACCCTAACTTCGCTGGAACCCTTTCCTCCGCGGTAACGCTGCGGACCTACGCCCGATACCAAGATGCTAATAAACCCCACGTCTGTGCCGTGAAGTCTCCTCTGTCTGTCTCCTGGGGCTTCTCGGGCGGAGAGAGCGCTAGCACTGACAAGAGTTTCAAAAGATGTCCCCGCTTTACATATGAGGGAAACTGAGGCTCTTGCGGCCGACATCAGGGAGGCATTGAGGCGGCGAGCGGGGGCCGCCTGGACTCCGGGAGGCGGAGCGAGATCGGGCTTCGGGGACATCCAGGTCCTTATCTCTAATATGGTAATTGAGAACTGCAGGCCGGCTGGCCGCTGGAATTCCACGCACTGCAAACCGTGCCGCCGTCCCCAGGGAGGGTCATTTGCTCCTATTTGGGTCAGTCCTTTTGAGCAGCTACTGTGTGGCCGGCCTGGGGCCAGCGCTCCTCAGGGAACTGGCAGTACACACATCGGGCGGGGGAGGGGACGGAAGGCTCGGCCCAGGGCTGTGAGTAGAGGGATCGCTAGGGGACCAGAGAAGCTTCACCAGGCCCTGGGAGCCAGCCGAGAGCTCAATTCCAGAAAGATTTATTGGCGCCCCCTACAGACTAGCCAGCGCTTTATACTAGGTACACAGATCTGGATTGTGCCACAGCCCCGTTATTCCTAGCTTCCTGGCGAGGGGAGAGGCAGCCTCAGCCAGGAGTTAACGCCAGCGCAGTGCTCTATCAGGGGCCTGGAACCAGGGTGAAGGCGGCTCCCTGCAGCAGAGGAAAGTCAGGGAGGGCTTCAGGGAGGAGGTGAGCTAGACCTGGGACTTGACATGAGGGAGGGTGCCGTCATTTCCAGTAGAGGAAATAGCAGACCTATGGAAGGATGGGGGAGCTACAGAAGAGGCCAGGCTTTTCAAGAGCTGGAATGTCATACCCAGGAGTTTAGGGGCTTCCCTGGTGGCTCAGAGGTTAAAGCATCTGCCTGCAGTGTGGGAGACCCGAGTTTGATCCCTGCGTCGGGAAGATCCCCTGGAGAAGGAAATGGCAACCCAGTACTCTTGCCCAGAGAATCCCATGGACGGAGAAGCCTGGCAGGCTACAGTCCACGGGGTTGCAGAGTCGGAAAGGAGTGAGCCACTTCACTTTCACTTTCACCCAGGAGTTTGGAGTTGAGCCTGGTCTTTGAGGACCTGGGGACTATATAGTGTTTTATGTGTGAAGTCAGGAAGATGGGAGTTGCTTGCTGAGGGGCCTAGATGGGGCAGATGTGGAGCTAGGACAAGGCCTGACTGCAGAAAGAGGGAAGGCCTTGCTCTGGAAGCCCTGTTCTCTGGCCTCCCCACCCCATCTGTTTGCCTGAGGCTGCAGCAAAAACAAAGAAAGAAAACACTCAATTGGCAGGAGATAAGCCCAGATAAGAGGCTGCCTTCCTCTGGAGGAGGCAGGCAGTCAGCCCGGGAAGCGCCAGGAAGCTGGGAGAGGCCTTGAAGAAGTGCCAGCCTGACCCTGCTGTAGAACCCAGCCGCACCCTCGCTGCGGGGTCTCTGCCACTCCATGCTGTCCCAGGGCAGGAGGGGGAGGCGTGGAGCAGATCCTCCAGGCTGGCCGAAGACAGTCTGCCCTAGAGGGTCCATGGCCCCCCTGCCTCCAGGTCAGGATGTCTTGACTTAGCTGTGACCTCAGTTTCCTCATCTGCAAAACAGGCATAACATCTCCCTCACAGGGAGGAGGGGGATGCAGTGTCTCCCTTGCATGTGCTGTGACCATCAGCGCCCCCTTTCCCAAGGGTCACTTCCAGGCCCATCTACTTCCTGTCTATTGCTGAGAGCCCGGGTCCCCTGATGTTGGGCAGGTTTTGAGCTGCCCACCTGCACCCCTAGCAGGTCTATCCTCTGATAACAGAATCAACTGCCTGTGTGGCCAAGAGCAGCCTCGGCGGAAGATGCTGGGTGCTTGGGTCATATCAGGCTACAGGAAGACGGGGCAGGGGAGGCTTCCTGAAGCAGAGGCCTGAGCCTCTATGATGGGAGAACAAGAGCCCAGGAGGGAGAAAAGTAACTGGAGTAAGGGGTGGGGGAAGCAGAGTGAGAGCTCAGGGCAGAGGGCAGAGAGGCGGGAAAGCCTGGGGGAGGCCAGAGGGCCTCTGATGTCAGGTCACTGGCAAAACCTCCAGGCAGTTCCTGGGCAAGGATGTCTCAAAACCCTTTGTTGGGGCCCTGACCCACAGTGTCCACAAGCCCATTTTATAGATGAGAAAACTGAGGCTCCAGAAAAAGCAGAACCAGATCTAGGGCCCAGAATCCTCTCCAGTACTGCCCCACCCCAAACCACACTGCACACAAGGTCCCTGAAATCCACGTTTATTCACATAAAAAAAAAATACCCAAAGGAAAGAGAAAGAATGTGACTTCCCGGGGCTCGAAGGCTCCACCCAGTGTTCCCTGGGGAAGTGAGGGAGATAACTCCCACTCTAGGGTGTGGGTGTCATGGGGGTGAGGCCCTTCTGGCCCAGAGTGACCCACCCAGCACCTTCCCTAGGACTGAGGGCAGGAAGGAGGGGCTGGGGACTAATGGGGCTCCAGGGGGGTAAAAGGAGGGAGTTAGTGTGGGGTGCTCGCCCTGATTTAAAAAAATAAAATTTCTAAAGATAAAAAGTTTAAAAAAAAAAAAAAAGAGCATTTAGTGTCTTAGCCTCCTGCCCTCCTCCCAGCGCCCACCCTGGCCTGGTGGCCACCTCTTGCTCAGCCAGTTCAGAGCTTTGTAGTCTCCTCCTGGCTCTCTGAGTCAGCACCAGGCAGGTGCCCGCTGCTCCCAGGCGCGTGACCGTTGCTGGCACAGGCGACCAGATGCCCGTCCCCCAGTCCCTCCTGTGTCTCGCCCAGCAGGCTCCAGCGGATCTCCTGGGGCAGCCTCTCCCGCTGCTCCTGACACTCCTGGACCAGCTGGGCCAGCAGCTGCAGGAAGAGCAGCATCAGAGAGGCCAGGCCAGGCCACCCAGTGCTCTGCCCACCTGCCGCCTGCCTGCCCCCTCACCTACAGCCTCACCTTGGGCTCCTCTTCCGCCAGCTGTTGGAGGATCTGCTGCTGCCCAGCCACAAGGCGTTCCTGCCGCTGCTTCTGGGCCTCCTCCAGCTGTGCGTGTGTGGGGGGCAAGGGTTCACACAAGGGTCTCTAAGGGAGGGGCCCGGGCCCCAGGGCTCTGTGTGGGCATAGAAGTCAGGCAGACCCTCTTTCTGAGCAAGGAGGCAAAGGTTCCTGGGGCTATGTAACCAGGGTCCTGAGATGACTTTTAACAGCAAATGTTCCAGACCCACAGAGAAAGGATCTGGAAGCCCCTCTAGTGCGACAGAGCACCAGGTTGGCACCCAGGATACCGGTTTAGGATGACTGAAGGAACAGGGGTGGGTAGGGTGGCACCTGAGCTTCACTCACCCGACGGATGGAGTTGACCGACTCAGTGATGTGCCGACGGTTAATCTCTGTCAGTTCCCTGCACGGGAGCAAGGAGGATGCGCTCAGCACCCAGGGACCCACCCGGCCTGCCCAGCACGCAACTGGCTCCCAGCCCCGATGCCCTTACGCCTCCTTCTTATGTTTCTCCCTGGTCTTGGCCTCTGAGATACTGTTATGGCGTTTCCTGTCCAGGATCTTCTGTAGTTCCTTCTTCTCCCTGGAGGAGCCAGTGGGAGAACAGGCAGGGTCAATGGCAGGACAGGGGTGTGTGTGTGTGTGTGTCTGTGTGTGTCTCTGCCCACCCGTGTGTGTGTGTGTCTGTGTGTGTGTGTCTGTGTATCTGTGTGTGTGTGTCTTTGTGTTTCTCTGCCCACCTCATGGCACCAGGGAGTACGCCCCTCTCCGCCCACGAGATCCCAGCCTTCACCTCTCGTTTATCTCCTTCAGTTTCTTCAACTGAGTCATGTGAGCGTCCAGGACAACCTCCCTGAGCTTCAGCTGAGCCTACAGACACAGGTGGCCAACAGGTGACCCTGGGCTGACAGGCCTGTCCCAGCGCAGGCTCTGCCCACCCCCCGCCACACGCCGCCCGCCCCTCACCTGCTGCAGGTGCTCCAGCCTCCGCTCCGCCTCTGTGTCCGCCTGGGCCTCCCTCAGCTCTAGCAGACACTGCACCTGTTTCTTCTGGAACTCTTGATACCTGCTCACCTCTTCCTCTTCTGCCCTCTCATCCTCCCCGCTTCTGTGGGGAGAACCCCTCTGGATAATACTCAGGTCATCACATGGACCTGGGCCGGGAGGGCAGGGGGACAGAGCAGGTGCCCACTGGCAGTGACAGATACCAGCCCAGACAAGTGGGATTGGTTATGCCAAGGAGGAGGCCCATTAGCTCCACGCAAATGTTAGGAGCCTGTCTGGGCAACAGTCCCTGGAAACACGCTCTTATGGGGACCTCAAAAAAGGTATCCCTCCTGGCGGAAAGGGGCTTCCCTTGCGGCTCAGCTGGTAAAGAATCCGCCTGCAATATGGGAGACCTGGGTTCGATCCCTGGGTTGGGAAGATCCCCTGGAGAAGGGAAAGGCTACCCACTCCTGTAGCCTGGAGAAGTCCATGGACTGTATAGTCCATGGGGTCGCAAAGAGGGTGGGACCCAGAGTCCTCTGTCTTCCTTGTACCAAACCTCCTTCCTGGGGGTCAAAAGGGCAACCCTGGGCCATCCATCCATGCCCACCTAGTGCAGAAACCCTCATATTCATATTCACATTCACATCCACGCACAAAGCACATGGGCAGGCGGGACACTCACAGGACACTGGGCCGCTGTCGGCACCTGCTCCCCGCGCGGGCCTGGGCCAGGTTGTCGAGCAACCGGCGCGTGAGGGCAACGGCCTTCCGCTGATGTTTCTTGTACAGCTCCCGGAAGTCTCGCTCTTGCCGGCTCCGGAGCTTCACCAGGGCCTTGTGGCCTCGGAGCTCGTCCAGCGGGGCCGGAGCCACCTCTGTGGACAGCAAAGGCGGGCTGGGCTGGGGCAGACCACCCCGGCCGGAGCACAGGTTCCTTCCAGAAGGAGCCCTGCCCCCAGGACAGGCCCGCCCCCTACCTGAGAGGATGCTGGCGATGAGATCATCACGCTGACCTGGAAAGCAGAGGCAGGGCTGGCTGTGAGAAGCTGGAGAAGCACAGCTATTCCCCTCCCTCCGCCTACCCCCAGGCCACCCCTTACCTGGGCTGCTGATGGAGGAGCTGATGGAGGAGCTGGTGGGGGAGGTGGCTGGGCCTGGGGGCCGACGCGGGGAGGCGTCCAGTGGGCTGGGCGTGGGGTTTGGGTTCAGTTGGTACCCCAGCTGCTGAGACTGGGTCTCCTGGCTTGTCTCCGGGCCAGCCTGAGCCTGCGAGGGCGGGGTGGAGAAAGTAGAAGGCTCTATGCTCGTTCTAGAAATGCTACTCTCTCCAGCCCCTCCTTTTATTTTTTTAAATATTTTGGGGGAAGGGAGCCACACCATGAGGCTTGTGTAGGACCTTAGTTCTCCAACCAGGGATCAAACCCGGGCCCTCAGCAGTGCAAGTGTAGAGTCCTAACCACTAGACCACCAGGGAATTCCCCCCTCTCTAGACTCTCGGTCCTTCACAACCTCCCTCAGCCCGTGGCCCTGGACTCCTCTCATCTGTCATGTAGGGCTGTGAGAATAACTTCATGAGAACAAGATACACATTTCTAACCCCCTTTTGCACGTGGGGCATGGGGACGAGAACGTGAGATCATGTCTCTAGGATGCCAGGCCTTATTGCATATGGTTAGGAACTTCTAGATTGTTCTGGAAAGCCCTGGCCCAGCCCCAAGTTCCCTCCTGTCTGAGTCCCCCTCCACCCTTGCCCACAGCTGCTCATCTTCCTCGATGCTTAGCTCCTGATTAAATCAACGAAGGAAGTGACCGCAGAGGGGGCACTAGTCTCTCCCGCTAATAACTCCATGCAGCCGGCTCTCTTCCCTGCTGCCGCAGGTCCCCAGGGGACCGGGCCTAGATGTGCGGCAAGCCTCTGCTCCTGACCCCTCCCCGCAGAAGCCACGGCTGCCTCATGGCTCCCAGGACCAGGCTTGAAAAGCTTTTAGGGCTTCCAACTGCCCTGGTGAAGCAGCTGAACTCTGCACCCTGGCTTTGAGCCTGCCAGAAGCCAGAAAAATTCTAACACTGGACAGTCCCGAAGGCCTTTCTCACGCAGAAGGGATTTCCACCTCCTTAAAATGTGTGGAGTAAGCCCAGGCAGCTGAGCCTCCTGAACGAGAGAGCCCAGGAGCCCCAGCCATGCAGCGTGGGGGAAGGGTACTGGAGGTAGAGCCCAGGGCTGAAGGGACAGCGTGGGTGAACCCATGAAGCTGGCATTGGCAGTAAGCAGGGAACAGGCCCCTCGGGGAGAAGAGTCCTACCGCCAGCTGGGACTGGCATGGGCGGTGCAGACGGAGGAGAGCAGAGAAGGCTGCAGGGTGCTTCCCCACCAGGGCTGGGCCCAGGGGTCAGCTCTGACCACTCCCCCACCCTGACCCCCAGGGTCCAGGTGAGCCTGAGCCCTGCTGCCTCCTGCGTGTCAAGAGCTCAGGCAGACAGACCCCTCCAGGCATCACTATGCCTGCCCCTGACCTGCCCTGGCTCACCTCGCTCTCCCCAATGAGGGCGGCCAGCTGCTTGGCCCTCTGGTCCATCAGGCTGACATGCTTGATAGGGTTGATCAGGGCCTCTGCATAGTCTGCAGGTGGAGCGGCAGAGGGCAAGGGTCTCAGAGACAAAACCCCCGGGCCCACACCCTCCCCAGCTCTGGTCTCACGCAGGGACTGCAAAACCACCTTCAGATCTGTTTACCACCCACCTGGGGCCACCAGTCCCAGCCACTCCCAGGCCCTGGTGGTGTTCTTGTCCCCACCCTCCCTGCCTGGCCTGCCCCACTCCAGCCCCCCTGTGGCTCACCCTGGTGGTCGTCGGGGATGTAGTCGGAGGCCTCGGTGTAGATGAGCAGGGCTGGCAGACACAGCGGCTGGTTGGCCTCGTTCCGCAGGCAGATGTAGTGGTACCCTGGGAGGGCGGGAGGGCAAAGGGGCTGAGCACAGGTCTCCACACACTGTGCCCCCCCGAAGTGCCCAGAGCCCAGATGGCCTCACCTGAGCGGATGGCGGAGACAGGCAGGATCCGATGCCCCACGAACTTGCCCCCCTCCTCAAAGGCCGCGATGCGCAGCGAAGCCAGCGTGGGCAGCACCACCTGAGGGCCCAGACTGGTCTGAGCCGCAGCTGACCATGGCCAGCAAGGCCACCATCCAGAGTGGGCCCCTGGACCATGTGACCCGACCACAGACCATCAGTCACCATCGCCCTGAGCCAATGATGGACCCGCACCTCCGCAGCCTGGCCAGAAGTGGCCAGCGTCTCCCAGAGCCCTGAGTCCAGAGGACAGGGAGACAGACCCCCTCCAGGCATCATTATGGCGGGAAGGGTCTGGTCACTGCCAACTTAGCACCTAGAGCAAGCCACGCATCTGAGACTGAGGCCGCATCCTCAGCAGGCCCATCCATCTGGGAGGCAGGGAGAAGCTGGGATGAGCTTGCGGCAAGTCCCTCCTGCCTGGGAGAGGGGGTGGGCTGTGCCCCTGGGGGGCTGCGGGACCTCCCGCCGTCTCAGCTTCCTGTCCCCCAACCCTGACCCCACAGAGGGCAGGGAGCTCCAGCCTGACACGCAGACAAGCAGGACCTGGGGTGACAGGCCTAGCCCCGGCACCCCCGCCTCTGACCCCCAACCACAGGGTGCTCCTGTTCCCCCACCAAGAGAGCCCGGCAGGTCTGGGGCTCACCTTGGGGAAGTCGAAGGGCTCCTCATCCCACACGGGGTTGAACGAGTTCCCCTGTGAGGTCCGTGTGCGGTACTTGCGCCGCGTATCAACGGGGAGCCCGAACATGTCCACCTCCACGTAGATGCCCACCTTCCTGTCGGACAGGAACTGCCCCGAGATCACCTGGGGGGCCAGGAGGGTGAGGAGGCTGCTCAAAAGTCCTGACCCTGGGACACCCTGGCCTGCACCCTTCCTGGCCCCACCTTGACCCGCACGGCATTGGCCACAATGCCATCCACGATGACTTCGGTGAAGGGGTCAAAGGACTTGTCTGGCCGCCGCATGAACTCAGGCTTGAGTAGGTAGCCACTGCGCCCATTGTACTCGAACACACCTGCATTGAGCTGCATCGGCACATCTAGGGGAGCGACACGGGGAGGGCAAGGGTCAGCAGGTGGAATAGGGTCAGGGTCAGGAAGGACACTGCCGTGCAGTGCAGTGGGGGGACCAGGGGTCATTCAGGTCAGATCAGATGGCATCCAGGATCCAGACTCTGGGAAGACGGGACAAGGGGCCAGGTCTAGCATCAGCCAAGATCAGGGGTTAGGGTTAGACGAGGTCTTGGTTGGATGTGGGGATCTGGGATTGGAGTCAGAGGTCCCTGCAGTCAAGACTCACAGGGTCAGGCGGCAGAAGTTCGTGAGGCTGGGGGCCAGAGTCAAAGGTCAAGGCAGGGCAGCACTCACCCAGGGTCTGGAAGTTGAGTGCAACGAGCTGGCAGCCCACGTTCCAGAAGAGCTGGGGCATGTAGTTGGACGAGTCCACGCGCGTGCCCTTCGGGTAGATGCGGCTGAGCTGCTGCTTGTTGTACCTGAGGTTGACGGTCAGGGACTACAGGCAGGTACTGGCCCCGCGTCCTGCCTTGAGCCGAGTGCTCCAGGCCCACCCTCGGCTCCTGTGAACCCACCTCCCGGCCTTGGCTCAAGCTGCCCCTCAATCCCCACTTCTCAGCCTAGGCCCTGGGCAGTCTCCCAGGCCCACTCCCAACCCAGACAGGGGTGCTCGAGAGTCAGGAGGCGTAGGACCACCCGAGCCTGCCTCCCCGTGAGCAGCCCCACCCCGGCCCGCCAGACAGCCGGCGCGGCAGGATACTCCACAAACTCCATGGGGCTCTTGGTCAGTTGCTCCATGGCCTTGGTCTCCACGAAGGATGACATCTCGAAGCACTTGTTCCTCTCTGCGGGGTGGAGGTGGGAGGGGATCAGGCCTGGCGGAGCCCTACGGCCTCCCCTTCCCCCACCTCTCACCCCACTCACTTCGAGCAGCCTCGAAGGACTTGAACTTGACAGGCTCGATGTAGTTGACGAGTGTGGACATTTCCTCAGTGGCGTTGACCTCACTGCTGGCGGTGCCCTGTGGCCCCCAATCGCAGGGTCACCGGTTCCGTGCCCCCCAGCCAGGAGTTGGAAGTTCCCTCACCTGCCCCCGCACCACAGAGGAGGTGCTGACCCTCTTCCCAGCCCTGCAATCACACTGCCCAGGGGCTCCTAGCAAAGATCCCAGCCCGAACACGGCCTGGGCGTAGTTCCATGCGCCCCACAACCTTCCCTCTGGGCCTTGATGACCAGGCCCTGGACCCCGGACCCCACCTTCCCGGTCTGCCGCCTGCCCCCCTGATCCTTGGAAGCTGGAACTCCTCAGCCAACCTCAGGGGTTCAATTATTCACATGAGGGTGAGCCCCCAAATTCCAACCCCCATTCTCATTTCCAGCTACTGCCTCGCCACCTCCTCTTGGGTACCTCACAAGGTCCCTAAGCCTTGCAACCTGAGCTCGCTCACCTTTGCCCACACCTGTCCCCACTCTGGGCCCCTGCCCAACCCAGTCTCAGCGCTGACCTTTCCTGTCACCTCCCTTCCCAAGAACTCAGTGTCCCCCCTCCTCCACACTCTCTGGTCCTGCCACAGAGCCTTTGCACAGTCCCCCTTCCTCAGTCCGCTCACCTAACGTCCTCGCCGAGGTCCAACTCCCACTCCTCACCCTGGTTCTGCACCCTCACTCACCCCTCCCAGCCACATCCCAAACACAATTTCACACTGGCTTCCACACCTGTTTACCTAAGACCCTCCCCCACTCCACACACACCCCACATGTGAACTCTGGGAGGGTAGGCAGATCCAGCACTCAGGGCTGTGCCTGGCACAGTCAGGGCTCAGCCCACTTGGGAAGTGAAGGCATGCCGCCGCCCCCTCATCCCACTTGCAGGCCTGACCTCATCCGTGGTCGGCTTTTTGGGGTCCGTCTGTTCCTCCTCTTCCTCATCCTCTTCCTCATCCTCCCGGTAGGCAGGTCCAAGAGCATCAGGGCCCCGCTGCAAACCCTCCTCCCCCAGAGATTTCCGAGGCTCCAGGCTGGGCTTCTCGAGGCCCGCCTCCTCCCCGTTGCTCAGGCCTGGGCAGCTGTCAGAGCTGGGGGACCCTGCAGAGGACAAGGCCATGGAGTCGGGGGTCAGGGCACACAGTCGCTCAGGAGCCAGGAAGGGTTGGGCCCGGGGGGTGCAGAGCTGCCTCATGGAGTCCAGGGGTACTCTCAGTGCAGCATGGCTGGGGAGAGGGGGGAGGTCAGGAGGTGAATGGGATCAAACCCAGTGGTAGTGTAGAGGGCTCAAAGGTCAGGGTGCAGATATAACTCCAGGGAGATGTAACTCAGGGAGATAGGTAGGGTGGCTCAGAAGGGTGAGAACTGGGATACAACAGCCTTGACAATGGGGGTAAAGGATGATAAGGTGGGGTTCCAAGTCAGCGGTCAGTTAGGGCCACACCCCGTGAGGGGGCTTAGGGAGGTGAGCAGTCAGGGGTCAGATGGAAGAGGGACCTCAATAAAGCGAGGGGTCCAGGGTGAACTGAAATGAGGACTTGCTGGGAAGGTACACTCAGAAGTGGTGTCAGGAGAGAGATGGTTCACTGAGGTCAGAGGTCAGAGGCCTGAGGCACAACCTGGTTGAGGGGGAACACCTCTGTGAGGTGTTAGCTGGAGGGTCAGGAGGGTCAACCACATCCCACTGGGGTCAGGAGTCAGAGGTCCCATACTCAGCCGACAGGTGGCGAGTGTCTCGAGAGGGGGGAGGTCAGGTTGGGAGCAGAAGGCACGTCCCCAGGGAGGGCTGGGCTCAGGGAACTGGGGGCTTAGGGTCGGGACTGGGACCGGAGGTCAGGCCAGGATCTCACCGAGCTGGGGCGAGGAGGGCTCGGTGGTGGCGGAGCTCTCGCTCAGGGCCGAGTTGCTCTGTTCCAGTGGCCGCTTGCGCACGGAGCTATCGGGGACACCGCTACCCAGTCGGTGCCGCTTCTTGTTCTTCACCAGGATGCGGCCCATCAGGTCCTCGGGGCTGGGCAGGGGGACGCCCGGGGCCAGCTGGTGGGCACAGACAGGTCAGCGTCTGCTGGGCGCCCTCACCCCCATGCCCCACCCCGTCTCTGAGCCGCATACCGGGTACTTGTCTAAGGGGTCGATGAGCAGCGCGTCCCCAAAGATGGAGCGGCAGTACTCGGCCATCTTAGCCTGCTGTTTCGCCCTGTGGGGCCAAGGTCAGAGGTCAGAGGTTCCTGGGGTGCAGCTGAAGTCCCCAGAGTGGGTCAGAGGCCGTCAAGGTCACCAAAAGGGTCGCTCTCTCCAAGGGTCAGAGGTCACAGGAGCAATCCAACAGTGCCATGGTGAGATGGCTGTCCCTGGGTCCACGGGGACTCCCCCCAGCTGGGATCGGGGTCCCACTCACGAGTCCACATGGTTCTCAAAGGAGAGGATGACAGGGTAGGGCGAGGTCTTGAAGGCGGTCTCCGCAATGGCCTCGAGCACATCTCTCAGTGGCACCTCCGTGGTCATGGTGAAGCCGTGGGTGATGAACGGCTCCTCCTCGGGCGGCCGCCCCTTCCACACGTCCAGCTCCACGCAGCGGCAGCCCCACAACAGCGCCTGCCGGTACATCTCCACCGACGAGGTTCCGGCCAGCTGCCCCGCTGGGGATGAGGCTCCATCACCACCAGTGCCTGGCCAGCCTGGCTCCTCGCCCTCCTCCCCAGGCCTGCGCTGAGCTGGGTGGGGCCGCGCCGGGGACGCAGAGCCTGGGTGGAGGCCTGGCCTGGGCTCGCTTTGTCTGGCCAGCTGCTGACCGTGCCTTGGCTCACTGTGGAACTGGCATCACCTCTCCCCAAAGCCCCAAAGCCAGGTAGTCAGCACCCACCACCACTGGCTGACAGGTAGGGCCCTCCACCTCCAGGCCGCACCCCCTCTCAGATGAACTCCCATCACCCCCATCCCACCGGCCTGAACTGGGAGTTATCCTCAACACCCCCACGGCCCCTGCTTCCCTTTCTTCCCTCCACAGCAGCTGCCCTGGGACAGCCTCTGTCACCTCCTCCCAGGGACAGCAGGCCCCTCCCCACCTCCCATCCAATCTCTGTGGAGCACCAGGCGTCATCCTTCTAAAAACATACCAGGTCACCTCCCCCTGCTCAACACCTTGCAAGAAGCCTTCCCATTCACTCAGGATCAGTGCAAATTCCTTCCATTCTTTCTGTACCTCCAGGGTCCCTCTCATGGATACCTGACCCAACTCCCACCCCACCCTGCCCCACCCCACCTCTTGGCCTCCTTTCAGCTTAAGAGCACCAGGTGGTCTCCAGATCCAGCTCCCCGCCCCCCCAACATACACAGGCTGTCCTTCACAGGGCAGGTGCAGGCCTCAACCCTTCCCCTGGGGAAACCTATGCAGAGAAGCTCGCTCCCCAGGACAGGCTCGCCATTTCCAGCTTGCTTCCCCAGCATGGGCCACCCCAAAGGGAGTGAGGCAGTCTCAGGACCAGAGGGCAGATGTCACGCCAGGAAGGGTGCGCTCACCCGTGAGATAGGTGTTGTGCGAGGAATTGATGAAGTAGGCGCTGAGCGGCTGGGTCATGTCTGCGCTCAGATCCAAGGCCTCAAGCGGCAGGATGCCGTTCTCCTCACCTCCCAGGTAGCGGCTGAAGCCCTCCATGGACATCTGGTCTGGGGGGCAGGTGGGGTCAGTAGGATCGGGGGGGCCCTCCCGCCTCGCCCCCAACTCCCGTGCTGGCTCACCTCGCTCCAGGAACTGCTTGTTGGGCTCATACTTCTCGATGAGCAGCCGGGCCTGGGAGGGCCGCAGGGGTGGGTACAGCACTTCATTGAGCCGCGGGTCCCGCTGCTTCTGGTTGATGAAATCCATGAGCTGCTCCAGCGTCAGGTAAGGTTTGCCCTTGGCACCTCTGGAGGGGGCGGGACGCCGTGTTAGGCTGGAGCCTCACCAGCCCCTGTTTCAAACCCTCACCTGGGGAGGAGTCGGAAGGCTGGTGCCTAGCTCCAGAACCCTCTGATGGGGATGGGGGCCAGTCTCAGCCCCTCTGGGCCTCAGTTTCCCCATCCGCTTTCCTGGCCAGTTGGTGCCGGCGCTAGTATCAGTAAGGGCTTTGGAAGCCACCAAGGGCTTGGCCCACCACACCATGCCTGCCTGCAGCTCCTGGACCCAATCTCAGCTCCAGCATCACCCACGACACATCTGAGCCAATGCATTTTGGTCCCCAGCATGGGGGACCTCCTGCTGTCTCAGGAGCAGCCCTGGCCAAGAAGGGTCAGCACAGAACTGTCCACAGCAGGGCCCCAGGCAGCCCTGAGCACAGCCACAGCCCAGCGCGCAGAGACCCCCAAGAGCTCCGCCTCCCCTCCTGGGACTGGAAGGGACACCACCGCCGGGAGAGGCCAGACGCAACACACAGGGGCTGGTAGGCAGGTCAGCCCTGCTCACATCTCCAGCAGGATCTTGTCAATGTCCGGTCGCAGACACAGCTTGTTCAGGAACCGCTCGAAAATTTCCAAGGAAAACTCGTCAGGCCGGATGGACTCGCTCTAGGGGCCAGAAGTGGAGAGTCAGAAGCCAGGGACAGCCGGCCCTCAAAGAGCAGGCGCCCACTGTGACACCCCCCAACCCCTGTCCCCAGCACCCTCACTCGGTTGAAATTGAGGCCACAGGATTCCAGCGCAGTTTCTACCCGTTTCTTGTCTGCTGAGAACATCTTCAGGATGCTGAGCACATGGGAGGGGTTAGGGTCAGTGGGACAAAGGTCACCAAGGTCAGAACAGCAAAGGAGATGCTGAGGAGGGAAAGGGGTGCTCACTTCTTGACTGGAATCCGTCCATCCTGGTTCACCTGCAGCTTCAGCTTCGTGTATCTGGGGAGACAGGTGGGAGGGTCACGCCCTGGGACAACAGCCACCTGAACCTGCCCCCCCATGCACTCCTGCCCCCCACTAGCCCAGGGCAGGCCCAGGACTCACGCTTTGCGCAAGAAGGTGTTCCGGGAGGCGTTCTGAGCCAGGATGTTCATAGCCAACTTGAAGAGCTCCTCGGACCAGACCTAAGGGGTCAGGATCCAGGGGCAGGGGGTGAGTGGGGGACAGAGGAGCTGGCTCAGCCACTGTCACATCCACAGGAAATGCTTAAAAACCGCTTTGTCAGAGGATGATTTAAAAAGGGGGCAGAGGACAGCCTAGTACACAGCAGGTGCCTGCTACGTGATGGCTAACTCAACAAATGAGGCGGTAGCTCCCCCAGGCCCAGCCATCGATCCCAGCCCACCTTTGCTGTATCATCCTGCACGGCCATGAAGTTCAAGAATGTTGTATTCACCGGGTCTGGCCCGGCCACCACTGTCATCAGCTTCTCCTCCAACCGGGCATCAGGGACCCCAAAGCCCAACACCTCCCGGATCTTGGGGTCCTGAGTAGATGAGAGCCAAGGGTGAAGAGGGCTGTCCCCCTCCCCCATTACCTGACTCCCACCCATTACCTGGGCCCCCCATCACGCACCTTGGGCAGGCGGGCGTAGCGGCCCGTCCTGGTGTCTCTGATGGAGCTGATGTCCAGTGTGTCCACCTCCTGGGGAGACCAGGTGCCAGGGTGGGTCTGACAGGCTCCAGGGTGGGAGCCCCCAAGCTCCCCACATGGGCCAGGGAGCGCTCACCCCCTGCTGCAGACCCAGCCTTAGCCCCTGTTCTTAGCACTTCCTGTCCTGGGAACTGGGGGAGAGGTCAGGCAGCAGCGGGGCCCCGCCCCCAAGGGCAGAGCCAGAGGGTGGTGTCGGGGGGTCTGGGGTGGGGGGCCCTGGACCCCAGCAAGCTGCGCCAGCGCCGTCCTCACCATGTTGGGTCCCGTCCAGTACAGGAAGAAGCCATTGGAGTCCACACGCAGGGTTACCAAGTTCCGACTGGAGGCCTCCTGGGGACGAGGCGGATGGCAGGGGTCAGGGAGGGAGGGCTGCTGCCCAGGTTTGGTCCCTGGAACCCTGGGCCCCTCCACTCCAATCTTTCGGCCAGTGAGTGAAGATGACGGCTCAGCCAGGCCACAGATCCTCCGTGGCTCCTTTCAGTCCTCAGGACAGAGCTGAGCTCCGAGGCCCCTCCCCAGCCCCACCTCCTTCTTGCCCTAAGACTCTGCCACATGGACCACTAACTATCCATTCCCCATCTCCAGGTTTTGCATCATTGTCCCCGTGCAGGGATATCTTCCCTTCTTTCTCTACCCACGAAATCTGATCCGCCTCCTTGGAGAGGCCTCCCCAGACCCCAACCCTGGGCTGTTTCCTCATAAGGTCCGAGAGGTCCCCGGTGACTGAAGCCCCCACAGCCCCCTTGGGAATATTTATGGAATGAAAAAAGAGGGTTTGGAAGCCTGACCTTCATGGTCCTCTGTGTCCCTCGGGTCCCCAGGACAGCCAGCCACCCCTTATATCGGCTTCAAAGTCCATTACTCCCCCACTCTGTATCCCACTGGAGCCCCACAGCTTCGAGGCTCACCCCACCCATCTCACAGCACAAACTAAGTACCCTTGGACAGGTACGCATCCTGCCGTCAGGCCCAGACAGTGAATTCAGCCCTCACTCAAACAGCCCTGGCTGGTGGGAGGGCAGCAAAAGAGTGCCCTGGCTCCATTTCCGAGAAGAGCCACCCTGTGTGACTCAGGACTAGCAGCGGTGGGGAGGGGGTGGTGTCACCAGAGGCTCAGACTCAGCCCGGGCCCAAGTGACCAAGCAGCCACAGGCAGAGCTCTCCTGTGGTTGTTTAGCTGCTCAGTGGTGTCCGATTCTTTGCGACCCCTTGGATTGTAGCCTGTCAGTCTCCTCTGTCCGTGGGATATTCCAGCCCAGAATGCTGGAGTGGGTTGCCATTTCCTTCTCCAGATCTTCCTGACCCAGGGATCGAACTCACATCTCCTGCATTAGCAGGCACTGGCAAGCGGATTCTTTACCACTGAGCCACAAGGGAAGCCCAGAACTCTCGTGCCCCAGACCAACAGAAGACCCTGACTCACCCTGGTGCCACTCCCAAGTTACTGCTCACCGGTGGTCAGTACAACAGCTCACCCTCCCTTCTACTTGCCAGGTACAGGTTGAAGCACTCGCTGTCTAGGAGCTCACTTAGTTCTCTTAACATCCTATGAGGTTTGCGCTACTGTTCTTCCCATTTTACATGTGAGAAGACTGAGGCACAGAGAGACTATGCAGCTTTCCTAAGGTCCAGAAAAGGAGCCAAGATGTGCATGCAGGCAGTGTGGCTCCAGAGCTTCCCTGGCAGCTCAGACTGTAAAGAATCTGCCTGAAATGCAGGAGACCCAGGTTTGATCCCTGGGTCCGGAAGATCCCCTGGAGGAGCAACCCACGCCAGTATTCTTGCCTGGAGAATTCCATGGACAGAGGAGCCTGGTGGGCTACAGTCCATGTGCTCACAAAGAGTCGGGCATGCCTGAGCGACTAACACTACTAGTATGGTTCCAGAGGCTTTCCTGGTGGCTCAGCGGTAAAGAATCCACCTGCTAATGCAGGAAATGTGGGTTCAATCCCTGGATCGGGAAGATCCCCTGGAGGAGGAAAGGGCAATGCACTCCAGTATTCCTGTCTGGGAAATCCCTTGCCTGGCAGGCTCCAGTCCATGGAGGGTCTGACAAGACTGAGCAATGAACAATAACAAGTATGGCTCCCGAGTCCCAAGGTTTAGAATCCGGGAACCAGGACCTCTGCCAAACTCCCAGCTGCTGGCCTCAGCCACCACGCCACCTTGAGGCCTGGGATTAGCCTCTGTTCTCCAGACTCAGTTTCCATCTGCGGGAGGACGGGGACTGCACTAGCCCCGCCCATCTCAGGCTTTGCTTAGGAAAGATGGGAGACTGAACTGGAGGCAGAGGGGACAACAGCTTGGGAACTTTTGGGGTGCTTGGGCCTCCCCACCTCAGTGGGCTGACACCCACCCTCAGCCCTTCTCTGGGATTGCCAACCCTGCCCTGGGGCTCAGGGGCCCCCAGTAGTGTGAGGAGGGGCTAGTTCTGTGGGCACTGCCCCCAGGGCCTCCCTCTGACCCTCCTCAGGGGCCCGGTCTTCAAAGGCAGCGGGAGCCCCAGCCTCTCAGGCCCCAAGTCCTTGTCAGCAACCCCCACCCCACCCCCAGGGCCCTCTCCCTGTTCCCACTTCCTTATTTGGGTTTATCACACTGTAAGGAAAAGGAGAAACTTTTCCCTTCAAGCAGGCCTGGGGGGAGGGGTCTGCCCTAGTCCCAGGGGCGCCGGGACACCCTCTAGGGCACACCTGTTACCTCAGGCCACGCCCCCAGCCCCTCCCCCAGCTCTCACGCCTACCCGCCCCACCCAGCCGGAAAGGAGCCGGGAGTCTTCCAGGCCTCCGGCCTGGCTGGGAAGGAGCAGCAAGGAAGCTCAGGCCGGCGAGGAGGGGCCCAGGGGTCAGGGGAGGGCGCGCTGTGGAAACGAGCGTGAGGGGCAGGACCCGTCGCCAAGCCGCAGGTGGGAGCGGGGCCTCGGGGATGCACCAGGGGCAGGTGAGATAAAGGGGGGCCAGGATTCATTGGGGTTCAAAGTCCCGGTGCTAATGGGTGGTGAGCAAAGTTCCCCCTAGGTGGAGGAACTTGGGGGGCAAAGTCTCCAGGTGGGGTGACCTGGTACTCCCACCAGAGCGGGGAGCTGGGCTGGGATCCAGAAGCAGGGCAAAGGGGTGCCAGCCAGAACAGGGTGAAAAAGTGATGAATGGAGAAGAATGTTCAAACTAGGGTACGGGGAAGAGCAGGGTCCCAGAGGCACCCAGTCAGAATGGGGGTACGCTAAGCCAGTGTGGGGGCCATGGTTCTTGAGCCAGACCGTCCAGTGCCGGGCAGGGGTCTGGTGACCAGGCCAGGGTTGGGGGAACGAGAATTAGACGGGCAGGGAGAGGTGAGAAGGACGACTGAAAAAGCGGGGGCTAGAATTTATTGGGGTTCTAAATCTCCGAGCCAAGGAATAAATGTCAAATTTTCGGCAGAAGAGGGGCTGGACTGGCGGGTGGGGGACAAAGTCTTCCTTACGGGGACGATTGGGGACTCAAGTTTCCGGAGCGCAGCCAGGCTGGGATGGGGGTGGCGCGGTGATCAGGCCAGTCTGGGCCGGGGGTCCCCGGCGTCTGGCGAAGCAGGCGTGACGGAGTGCCCGGATCTGGGCGGAGCAGGGGGGCCCCTGTACTAACCTCGTCCCATTTGATGAACTTACTCCCGCGCCGCAGGGTCTCCACGACGGTGGGCGGCTCCAGCTGCAGCGCGTGGACGCCGGGCCTGGCGCCCGCCATAGCCGGGCCGGGGGCGGGTCGGGGACCCGCGGAGCCCCGACGGGGACCCGACGGCGCCGCTGCTCCCTCCGCGCGCTACCGCACGGCCCGCTCCGGCCCGGCGGCGTCTGCGCCCGCCCGCCCGCCAGTCTGTCCCGGACAGACCAGAGAATCGGCGGGGCCCGGCCGGGGCGGGGCGGGGGCGGGGCCGCAGCGGGACCGCCCCCTCCCACCGCGTCCGGCCGGCCCGCCTCGCGTCGGCTCCCCCTGGCGGCCGGGGCGGCGACTGCAGCCAGAGGAGGGACGGGACTCGGGCGCGCCTGGACTGGGGTGCTTCGCTGGGGGAACTCAGCTGAACCGACCCGGGGTGGAGGGAGGGCGCCTAGGGACTGGGGTGCTAAGTCCCACCCAGGGGACTGGGTGTAGAGGGCGTGGGGACTGGGTGTAGAGGGCGCTGCTGAAGACGGGCGCTGGGGTCAGCCCACTGAGGTTTCTGAGGGGCAGGGGCGGGGGTATTACCAGAGAGCAATACCTGGGCTTGAGGGAGAAGAGACCTGCCTTCCACCCCACTCCTGCAGCGTTTAGCTCGGTGCTGGAAAAGCCACTCCCACCCCCACCCCCACCCCCCCTGCCCTCACATTGCCTCACCCCCTCCAGCAGCAGCTCGGTCCCCCTCCCTGGGAGCAATTAGCAAGCTAATGGGCCTCCCGCCGCAGGCGCCCTCCCCCCATCCCTAGCCCGGGGAGGCCCGGCGCCTGCCGCCTCCATTGAGGACCCAAGTACCCTGGCTTTGTACAGCGAGCCCTGGAACAGCGCCCTTCTTGTTCTGCAGAACCCACCCCCCACCCCCCAGCTCAGCCTGGAACCTGTCCCTGTGGGGCTCCCGACTGCAAACTGAGAAGGGGACAGCTGGTCGTTTTGCCTGGAGGGGTCAGAAGCCTCCTGGGTGTCCACGAATTAGGAGGGTTGAGGAGGGGCTCTGCCACGCCTGGCCCACAGCAGGTGCCCTGAAATCTGCAGCGTGCCAGGGACCTGAGCTGGAAGGCGCATGGGCACTGAGATGGGTGGGGGCTACAGCCCCTCCCGCAGGGCTTGGCTGGGGGGGCTCCTGCCTGGGGGCCCCTGTGGGAGCCCCCCCAATACAGAGGCAGTAGCAGCAGCAGGTTTAAAGTAGAACTCATCCAGAGGGGCCAGCCAAGTCACCTAGAAACCCAGAAAGAGACAGAGCTGTTTCTGGGCGAGAAGGGGTCAGTCAAGGAGGAGGCAGCCCTACAGGCTGCCTTTGCCCCAGGCTCTCAGACCCCCAAGGGGAACCCTACCTGGCACTGGCCATCCTCAAAATCGCCACCATGTTGGGCACCAAGTCTAACCTAACAGATCTCCTAGCCTTTGACTGAGGCCCCGTGGGTGTGATTATTATCTCTACTTGAGGCCCAGAGAGGGGAAAGGACTCGCCCAAGGTCACACAGCTTGATAGGAGGATTGCAGCCCTCTGTCTTGAAGGCCAGCTCTGTCCTGTCTTTACTCCTTGCCCTTGAAGAGGCAAAGAAAGCGGGACCCGATTTGTGATCCTTGTCCTCTCTCACAAGAGCAACAGAGCCGTACCCCTTAGAGACTCGGGGACCACGAGGTCTCATTGGGTAGCCATGCAGGGTAGAGATGGGCCTCTGCTCCCCCTAGCTTGGGTGCAGGTCTACTGGCCGAACCTAGTCTTTGTACCTCCGTCACCTTGTCCAGAAGTTGGATGTTGTCAGAGGATGAAATAGGCAAATGGGTATGAAATGACCCCTGGGTACTGGATATCTGAGACAGCTGCATATCTAAGGAAAGGACAGCAGGCTGTGGCGATGCCAGGGAGGAGGGAGGAAAGGACATGGGTCAGCTCTGGGCTAGGGGGCCTGCCAGCCAGTGCCAGGGCCAGCAGGGCTTGAAGCTGTGGCCTGAGCTTAGGGGTAGAAGCTCTAGGTGGCAGCTTCTTGAAAAACAAGGTGGGAGCCTGTTTCCTGCCCACCGTGTCTCCCGAGGCCAGGGCAACCCCCATTAGAGGGCTCCTTCCTCCTTGCACACTTTCTTCCTGCCTTGGTAATGGTAATAGGGTTTCTCGGCAAGCCATAATGGTGGAAGGAACGCAGTCTTTCCGGCCTCTACCCTTGATTAAAGGAGCGGTCTCAGCCACAGGACCCTCCCTAGGGCCTCTGCTTTAGGAGGCACTGAAAGCAGCCTCAGCTGGTCTCTGGGGGAGGGGGGCCAGGACCCCAGGAGAGGTGGGGCTGGGGAAGCTACAGCCTGGGGCTGAAAGGATGAGGAGCAGCGCAGCACTCAGATAAGAGGCCAAGGGCTGGGGTATGGTCTTAGAGCACCGACCTCAGCCGCAGATCACCAGAGGTCAGCAGAATCAGCCCCTTTGGAGAGGCTCAGGGTAGGTTAGTGACTGGCCCAGGGCCTCTCAGCCTAGGGCAGAGGCAGGATTTGGACCTAGTTCTTCCACTCCAAGGTTTTGTGCTAGGCAGTCAAGCCTCCAAGGCGGCTGTAGGCCATCATGGCCATCTACGCTAACACAAGAGTAGGTGGCCATGGGGAGGGATGGACAAGATAGGGGAGTCAGTCTGAGGAATCTGGGAGTGTCTTAGGGGTAGCACAGAAGGTGGAGAGAGGGATTCAGGAAGAGCGTCCCTGGCTCTGTCTTCCCTGTTCAGGCTAGAAACTCCTCAGGGGACACCATGAAATTTGGAAATGACAGGAGGCCTTCAGACCAGCCTTGAGGGGAGGAGGGACAGGAAGATCACTGCTCAGGGTCATAGCATCTGGAGGGACACAGCTGGGACTTGTCCCCAAGTCTTCACCACCAATAGGTTTCATTCTCAGAGCGAACTATGATACAGCCTCCCTCTTAACTGCAGGCCTCCACCACCCCCACCACCCCCAGGCCTGAATCAGCGCTCCAGTTTAAAAAGAGCAAACCCACCCCAGTGGGGTGAGGTGGGGTGTGGTGGGGAATTTGGATTTGGTAAATTGCTTCTCCCATCAGGGCAAGCTCAGAGTCAGAAGCCAGGCTGGGGATGGGACTCTCTTAGAAAGGGTGGGTCCTGCCTAAACCACAGGAGAAGGGTCAGCCCTTCCCTGGCCCCGGAGGCTGACCGAAGAGAGGCTAAGGCCCGAGGGGGGCTAGGGAGGGAGAAGGTATCAGCCCATCACCGAGCCACATGAGTCATGTGCCCCCTGCTCAGGCCTTTCAGGGAGAAGCCCAGCTGGCATGAATCCCATCACCGCACACACCATTCTCAGCCACTGCCTTCCCCTTGTCTGTACTCTCCAACCTCAAGGTAAGTCCAAAGTCCTGGGTTTTGGTGTGTCTGCAGCATCACACCAGCTGTATGAACCTGGGCCAGTGTCAACGTCTGTCTGAACCCCATTTGCTACAGAGGGTGTCTCTGGCATCCAGAGGGGCTGGGGCTTAGTGTCTCTAGGACATGGAGCCTCTGCTTGGGACTGCAGAGGGTGAGCCTGTCCTCTGTGGTCTGTGGAAGCATCTGAAACAGTTGCACAACCTTGTGTGGCGGTAGGAGCAGTGACTTTGTGTCAGGGGGCCTGCGTAGACAAGCTGAGCTCCATTGCTATCTGGGTGTGTGACTTAACCTCTGTGGTGCAATCACTGAAACTTCCACGTCCTTTCCTATTTAATCTTTGCCACAACCTTTGGAGGAAATGGAGGCACACAGGAAGCCTTTCATTCAGTCATTCGTTCAACCAATTAAACACCGACTATGAATCTGACCTGAACTTCCCTGGTGGCTCAGATGGTAAAGCATCTACCCGCAATGCGGGAGACCTGGGTTCAATCCCTGGATCAGGAAGATCCCCTGGAGAAGGAAATGGCAACCCACTCCAGTACTCTTGCCTGGAAAATCCCATGGATGGAGGAGCCTAGTAGGCTACAGTCCATGGGGTCGCAAAGAGGTGGACATGACTGAGCGACTTCACTTCACTTCACTTCATGAGTCTGACCTAGGTGCTGAGAGTTCAACAAGTCAGTTGATTTGCCATAGCCATGTGGTTTGAAGCTGAGCGGGTCCACTCAATCATGGGTATCAGCAGTAAACAAGGGCCAGACAGGTCTCAGCCTCACAGAGCTCATAGTTAAGAAATGCGAGACGGACAATGAACCAGTGAATGAGAGACACTATTTAAAAAATATATATATATATATATAAATCAAACTTGCTGCGGGAACAAGACACAGGGTCTGTTTAAGAGAGGTGGGCCAAGTAAGACGCTTGTGAGCTCTGAAGGACAGAGGAAGCCCTAGGGCTGGTATCTACCGGAGAGCAGTGAGATGCCCTCGCGCTAGAACCGACTATGTGGAACTCGTATTAGGGTCAGCAGTTATTATTATCTTTATTATCCTGAGTACTGGCTCCTCCACTTCCCAGTTCTTTAAGCCTCAGTTTGCACACACAAGAGATTGCGGGGTGCGGAGGACCGCGCCCTGTGGAGACCAGCCCTACGAGGGCGCTCCAAACAAGTTTTCCCCGCCTGGGATCCTCTGCGGGGGAGGGGCAGCCATGCGGGGCAGGACTCTGTGAACTACATTTCCCACAATCCCATCAACCGCCATCTTGCCCGGTGGGCGGTGGCTGCCCGGGGTCTAGCCCTTCAGGCCGCTCGGCCGGCTCAGCTCACCCCCAACCTAGGCCTCCATTATGGGGTGCGCGGAACCCCAAGGAGTGCAGCGTCCAGTGACCTGGGCAGCGCCTGCCCGTCTTCTCCACCCCTCCACCCCCGGGAACCCGGTCCACGTGTTTGTCAGCGCGAAGAAGCTTCTTGTCCCCCGCTGACAGAGGACCGGAGGACCCAGAAGGGAGAGGGGTGGCGCTCCCAGGTCTCCTCCTCGGACTTCGGTCCTGTATACAGTGCCCACTCCCCTCCATTCTCAGGCGGCCCCTGTTTTCGTTCCAGTGAGGACAGAACACTAGGTTCCCCATTGGAAGCGCAAATCCTCGCACCGGGCGCTTAGAACGCCTGGGTGTAGGGCAGGAAGGTTAAAAGAGAGAAGGGACAACTAGGCCCAAACCTCTGAGGACTAGATCCTCCCCTAGCCCCTGTCCGGGGGCGGAATAGGGGTGAGGGGCAAGCTGCAGGACTGGCCCTTTAAGGGGGTGTGGTCGGGGGGCGGGGGAAGCGATCCAGACAGAGAAAGCGGCTTCGGCTGCGGCGGCTCGGGCGGCGGCCGCGGGGGACAAAGGGCGGGCGGATCGGTGGGGAGGGGGCGGGGCGCGGCCAGGCCAGGCCCGGGGGCTCCGCATGCTGCAGCTGCCCCCGGGCACCCCCGCCGCCGCCCTCGCCGCGGAGCCGCGCGGAGCCGAGCTCACGAGCTAACCCGAGCCAGCGGCCGGGAGCCAGCCGGCGGGCGTCCGGGAGGCGGCGGCGCAGGGAGGGGCCCGACGCGCGCACGTGGCCCCGGCGCCCGCCATGGCGGACAGCGGCCCCGCGGGGGGCGCGGCGTTGGCGGCCCCGGCCCCCGGACCGGGGAGTGGCGGCCCAGGGCCCCGCGTCTACTTTCAGAGCCCCCCTGGGGCTGCAGGCGAGGGCCCGGGCGGCGCGGACGATGAGGGCCCAGTGAGGCGCCAAGGGAAGGTCACGGTCAAGTACGACCGCAAGGAGCTACGGAAGCGCCTCAACCTGGAGGAGTGGATCCTGGAGCAGCTCACTCGCCTCTACGACTGCCAGGTGTGTCTCCCACCCTGCGCCGACACCCTAAAACCGGTTCCGATTCGGGCCTCCTGGAAACCCCACCTTGAGCCCGCCTGTCACCCGGAGTCAGTGGGCACCCCGCTTAAGCGCGCTCCCCTGCTTTCTGTACTCCCCGCCCCCAATGTATGCTCTTTCTTGTCTAACCTAAGTCACTTCTTTCTTATTCGCTGCCTTGGACAGGAGACCTGGGGCTAGTCTCGGCTGGCTGGGGAAGGAGAGCTACTTATCGCTTGCTAGCCTAGACCAGTTTAAGGCACTAGCCAACCCCGTTGTTGGGGTTTATGTGTCTTGCCTGTTTCTAATGGGCTTATCTGGAGTCCATCTTGGCATGGGGGGCAAGCTAGCCCACTCTGTGGGTTCTGGTTCTCCACCTTGTGACTCCTTCCTTGCTCAAGTGGTGACTCAGGCCCCGGGGGCCAGGGTGGAGGAGTGGGCTTGCCCTGTGCTGCCTACCCTAGCCCAGCCCTGGAATGCAGTTGGCTCCAGACAGGAGAGATGCTTCCTAGGGGAGGAGGGGTGGCAGGCACCCCCTCCCTCGGCAAAGCATGGGCTCTTTGTTTCCCCTTTACCAGGCCTGGGTCCTTCCCACTGACCCCTCACCCTTCACTTCCTCCCCACTCCTGGGAAGCTGTGACAGGTGTTTGGGGGAGGGGAAGGGGGCCGTGATGAGTTGGGGCAGCTGGCCCCATCTGCTCTGGTTGAGATGGGGGGCTCGGAAGTTGGGGAGACACATCTGCAGGGTCCCCAGCCTAGGATCCCCAGCCCTGGCCGTCTGGCACCCAGGGTGCCCAACTGGCAGGGACAGGAAGCTCCCCCCCCACATTGGGCAGTTTGCCTTGGCACAGGCCTGATCTGTTTTCTTCCTCGGAGCAGCTGCCGCTGTCTGCTGGGCAAAGAGGGCTGGCTCCCGTCTGCAGTAGGGCAGGGGCCTCAGCCAGAGCCCCTCTCACACCCTCTCTCCCAACTCGGGCCCTTGTCTCTCCCTCCTCCCCCACCCCTACCCCAGGAAGAGGAGATCCCAGAGCTGGAAATCGACGTGGATGAACTCCTGGACATGGAGAGCGATGATACCCGGGCTGCCAGGGTCAAGGTAAGAGGGGCTGGAGGGCAGCAGGGCCAGGTCAGGGGAGCAGGGGCTAGAGGGCAGCTGGGGGCGGTCTGCCCGTCGTTGGGTCGGCAAGCCTCTGGAGCCAGGCCTGCCTTGATCTGCGGCAGTCAGCTCTGTGATCTTGGGCTCAGCTTTGGCGTCCACCGAAGGGGGCCAGTAGTTACTTGCCGAGCTGTTCAGTAGCATGTCCAGTGCCTTGGAAGAGGGTACGGGTGAACTCTAGGTCTGTGTTCTGGAGACTCAGTTACCCTTCCCCTCCTTGCCCCACCAGGAGCTGCTGGTTGACTGTTACAAACCCACTGAGGTAAGGAAGCGATTTCCCCAGGGGTGGGGTGAGGAGCCTGGGGTCCTGTCCTCATGGGGTCTAGCCTCCTTAATGTCCTCCCTCCCTCCAGGCCTTCATCTCTGGCCTGCTGGACAAGATCCGGGGCATGCAGAAGCTGAGCACACCCCAGAAGAAGTAAGGGTCCTCGACCCAGCTGAACGGTGGCTCCACAGGACAATCGCTGCCCCCTGACCTCGTAGCAACAGCAATACCAGGGGGCCCTGCGGCCAGGCCTGGTGCCACGAGCAGGGCTCCCCGTGCCCCTGGCCCAGGGGCTCTTCCCTGCCCCCTCAGTTTTCCATTTTTGGGGTTTTTTATTATTATTAAACTGATGGGACTTTTTGTGTTTTTATATTGACTGCGGCGCGGGCCCTTTAATAAAGCTAGGATACGCCTTTGGTGCAGTTCACAGGTTCGCCTGGTCTCTTTTGGGGGGACACACTGCTCTCTGACTGCTGCCAGCTCAGCTTCTCCCCAGGTGACCGCAGGCCTTCCTGAGGGCCACGTAGCCATGGCGATAGCCCAGTGCTGGCTCCCAGACTAGGAGCTGGAAGTGGCTGGGGAGCTGGGGAGGAGCCATGCTGCTCCCGGCAGGCAGGAATACTCTTTTCCTCTCTGGACAAGGGCCACCATGCCACTCAGGGCTTGGCCATCGTGACCTCGATGCCACTGAGCCTTCTAGATCCCAAGGTTCTGCAGCCCAGAAGGGAGAAGGAGGGACGGGAGGAGGTCGAGGGAGAGAGGAGGCTGAACCTGTGGTTTCTAAGTCTCTCAGGGCCCACAAAGAAACACAGGCTCACTTCATGGGTTTTAAGGTTTTTTTTTTTCTTTAAACAGTCTGGTCCCTGATGAGGGCCTCTCCACCGCCCCTCTCCAGTTTGGCTACAGTTCTGAACGTCGCTCGATTTTGAGCAGCTCCACCTCGAACACCAAGGTTGCACCACCTGCAGGGGAGAGGTGGGAGTAGAATGAGAACTAGGGCCACCAGGAGATAGAATGGATGCAGCAGATGGGGAGGGGGACACAAAGGTCTATTACCTGGAATCTTTGGGGGAGCTCCCCGCTCTCCATACCCTGCAAAGATAACACAAACAGAATGAGCTGTGGCCAGGCAGAGTGAGGTGTTCGCAGACAACCAGGCTGAAGCCAAGCCTCTACCCATCCTAGCACTAGGCCAGAAATGGGAAACGGGGGAAAAAAAACAAGGGAAAGTTAGTCACTCAGTCATGTCCAACTCTTTGCGATCCCATGAACTACACCCTGCCAGTCTCCTCTGTCCATGGAATTCTCCAGGCAAGAATACTGGAGAGGGTTGCCAATTCCTTCTCCAGGGGATCTTCCCAACCCAGGGACTGAACCTGGATCTCCTGCATTGTAGGCATCTTCTTTACCATTTGAGCCACAAGGGAGATGGGAGGGGGCTTGCAAAAGGTCAGAGAGTTGGCACCAGAGCCAAGTGTCCCAATGGTCTTGCCCTGTCCTCATTGCTGGACAAGGCTAGACTTGGAAGTGGCATGGACTGAATGAACTGAGTGGAGATCGATGCAGAGACTAAATCAGCCTTCACCCTTACAGGGATAATGCACCCTGAACTCCCTATCCCCACTCCGAAAGAGCCTCTTACCCAGCTCTGATGGAATCACCAGCTTCCGCTTTTCCCCCTCACACATCCTGCAGGACAACACATGTTCAGCATGTGGCAACAACCAGGCTCCTTGCTCCCTCCCCCTATCCATGGGGCTTGCCTCCCAGTTTACCTCCTGGACCACAGCCATGGTCCCACGACTCACCCTAGCAGCCCCTGGTCCCAGCCCTTGATGACCTGGCCTGTGCCCAAGGAGAAGACAAAGGGCTGGTTCTGGGGCAGGCTGCTGTCAAACTCTGTTCCATCTTCTAGCTTCCCCTGTGAGACCATGGGAAGGCCAGTGAGGAGGAGGGTCTGCTCTGACACCCCCACCCCCAGTGCTCTTCCCATCAAGGTGCCCCCCCCCACAGCATTGGTGGCCATAGTCCTAGCAGGAGACAGAACGTTGGGCAGCTCACAGTACACTGTCACTCCTTGCTGATACCAACCTGGGAGTAGACAGTGAAAAGCAAGACAGAACCATGCATAGTAGATGAGAAGACTTGCCCAAGAGATCCCACTTTTGGCAGAGAAACCCAGCTCCCGGTTCCTTTCTTGTCCCCAAAGGCCCCGCCCCCCAAAGCTCCACCCCTTCACCCACCGTATAGTGCATGTGCAGGACGTCCCCTTTCCGAGATTTGATGGGACAGTGGTCTACCCTTTTCTTGACTCCAATCTGCAGCTTCCGTTTGCCCTCGGCCCCTGTGGCCGTGACCAGGGCGCTCAGGCAGATGGACAGTACTGTCAAGACCCAGCTCAGCCTCATCTCTCTGTGGGAACAGACCCCGACCAACCAACCGGGGGAGAGGAACGGGAGGGCATGGAATACCGGCAGGTACCGGGAGGATTCCACCCCACCGTGGACCCTGCCTGCCCCTGGGGATCCCCTTGTTCGGGATCACCGCCCCCTCCCCCAGGCTCCACGGCCACACTTACCATTCCAGTGAGAAGGGGGCTTGCCCGAGGACCCCAGCAGCGGGGAGAGGGGGTCAGGGGAGGCCACAGCAGCCAGGGTCCCGCCCCTTTGCTCACCCCCTGCCCTTCCGTCCCTCCCAGTCCCCAGCTCTTCTCTTCAATTCCCACCCGTCCCCTTCCGCAAAGTCCAGACCCTATCTGGCTGCAGAGCGGTTGCCCCGACCGGGCGACCCCATTCACGCCACACCCAGTTGCCTCCCGCCCAACACACCCACACATCTGCGGCTGCCGCAGGGGGTCGGCCCCGAGGCACCCACACGTCGCCACTGGGTGGCTCCGGGGAGCCCTTGTCCTCCGGGGGTACCCCCCAGGCTGGCCCTGTGCCTCCGCCCGAGGCGCCGCCCCAACTCTGAGCCCTCGGGGGCCTGCGGGGCACCCAGACTGGTCCCGTGTCGGGTGGCCGCCGAGCCCGCTCCACCCATACCACCTCTCCCGGGGGAGTTCTAGGCCTACCGCGTCCCCAGGCACGGCCACCGCGGAGACCGCCCCCGCGTGGACGCCCCGGGTCATTACCTGGGCCTACCCCTTCGCTAGGCTCCTTGGTCCCACCTTTTAGAGGGCGTGGTTCCGCCCCCAACCCTGTAGCCCCGCCCCCGACAGAACTAGACCCCTCTTCCTGGACCGTAGCCGCGCCACTCACCGGCTGAAGCCCCGCCCCCAGCGCCTGGGTTCCTTCCTCCTCGGCCTCCAAACCCGAGGCTCCTCCTTCCGCCTCTTCCAGCTCCTCCTCCAAGGGCCAGTCTCCACCCACCAAAGGTCCTAGCCCCGCCCCCAGGTCGCGAGCTCCACCTCCCACCGGCACCAGCTGAGAGGTTCCACCCGTTGCCGTTCGACTTCCCGCCCCAACTCCCGGAGCCCCGCCCCGTGAGGCGTGAGAACCCTCCCCCTGCGGCATCCCCGGACAGCTCGGACCCCCCAACAGTCAATTTCCTCGTGACCTATCCCTCGTTGACACTCGGAGCCCCAGCCCGCTCCTGCCCTGCCTGATCCAGCCTTCCCTCGTTTACCCCGGCTCCCCCCAGCCCGGGCTGTGGCCCCCGCTCACCTCCTCGCCGCGCCCCCGGAGTCAACCCCAGTCGTGCCGCCGTCTCTGCGCAGGCGCATCATCGTCGCCACCAGTCTGGCCACGCCGCCCGCCCTCATTGGACCATGCAAAACCCGCGGCCACACGCCCGCTGGGGATGTTTCTTCCCTAGCCCCGCCCCCGCGCCACCATGTGACCCATACGTCACGTCCGGTGGCTTTGTAGTCCTTAAGGTGAGGTGAAAGTGACTTCCGAAAGGGCTGAAGGCACTTCCGTTTGAGGTGAAGTTAAGGTCAGGCGGGCGCGGGTTCCCGGAAGGGGTCTTGAGACGCCATTTTATGTCGCCCCCAGCTTGACGTTCCTGATTGCCCTTGGGCCTCTTCTGATCCACAGTCCTCAGTTGCTGTGGAAAGAGCCTAGCTTCAGAGTGAGCCTTGGGTTTGAATCCTGGGTCTGCCACTCATTGACTGGGTGACCTTGAACAAGTTTCTTGGCCTGCTGACTCTTGGGCTTGATAACATCCACCCCACAGGGTCCCTGTTGGAGTCCCCCAGTAATGTGCACAGCTAGGCCCACAGCAAATGCTCTTAGCTTTTTTCTCTTCCAGCATCCAGGCCTGCCTCTACCTGGGGCATAATGACCCTGAGTCATGACTGTAACCGTCTGACTGGGTCCATTCCCCATGCAGACTTATTTCCAGTCGCTTCAGCACCCAGGAATAAACATGTGTGCGCTCCGTCGCGTCTGACTCTTTGTGACCCCATGGACTGTAGCCCACCAGGCTCCTCTGTCCTTGGGATTTCCCAGCAAGAATACTGGAGTGAGTTGCCATTTCCTACTTAAGGAGATCAAACCTGCACCTCCTGCATTGGCAGGTGGATTCTTTATCACTGATACACCTGGGAAGTTCCACTGAAGTAATGAACCTGCAGTTGTGCTTAGTTGCTCAGTCCTGTCCGACTTTTGTGACCTCATGGACTGCAGCCCGCCAGACTCCTCTGTCCATGGGGATTCTCTAGGCAAGAACACTGGAGTGGGTTGCCATGCCCTCCTCCAGGGGATCTTCCCAAGCCAGGGATTGAACCCAGGAGGTCTCCCACATTGCAGGCAGACAACCTGCAATTGAGAGGCAGCTAAACCTAAGTTGAATGTTAGGGAGATGGATGATCTGAGGCCAAATCCTCAGGTCAATCAGCCTTTCCGAGCTTATCTCCTCAACTGAAGAAGGAAGATAATCACAACACTGACCTCAGAATTGAGGGTTAGGTGAGAAGGCGCATACGAAGCACATGCTCATTGGACAAGCTAAATGGGTTTGGGAGGTAGTAGCTAATGGCCCTAACCCTCATGTGTCTCACTTTAATTGAACTCTCACATTTTTGGTAACAGCATAGCTGAGAAAATGATTTCAAAGTAGCAGTCACTTGTCAGAAACCATCTCTTCTGGTTTACCACCACTCTTGGTTTGGGCCTAACAAGATCACTACCCCTTCCTCAATGACTTCAGAGGCCTCCACTAGGTAGCTGCTTTGGGTTACTCTGCCCTCAATGTTCTGCCTTGATGGGGCAAAGTACTGGTGCCCAAGGTTGCCTTTCAGTTCACCCCCTCCCCTCACAACTGAGCCCCAGGGGCACTAGAGAGTGCAGGCAGAAAGCTGACCACTGAGTTTGGGCTGGGTCAGATAAAGGTCAGGAGAGTACCAAGTAGAGCATGGCGAGGGGAACTCAAGGTGCGGGGGAGGCGACAGTGAAGACCGCAGTGAAAAACTCCAGAGTTAAGCTCCATGAAGCAAAAGTTGCAACCACAGAGTGTAACCTGGCAGGGAAGATGAGTGTTCTTTTCTGTTACATGACTCTTACCTTTCTTGGCACCCACGGGCCCAGACCACAGTGATCATCTGCTCCCTCTGTGTGTACACAGGAGGCTCAGAAAGAGGGGCAGTGACAGCCGAGGGCATTCGGCAGAGCTGAGTCCCACCTCAAGCCCACTGGCCATCTCCTTCCAGAAAGGAACCCTTGTGATGGACACAGGGGCAGGACCCGTTAGCGCAACATGAAAGTGAAGGATGCACGATTCTGGCACTGTGACCTGTTGTGTGTGTTGGGGGGAGGGGTCTTTGGACCTCATCTCCTTCAAGCTCCATGTCTAGGAGGCAGTACAACGCAGACGTTCATGTCCAAACCAGCCAGCCTGGACACTGACAGACAGTGACAGAGGCAGGGACAGTTCCTTCCATCTTTTTTATCAGGACTGGGGTTCACAGTTCCTGCGCTGAAGCCCAATTCCCACATTTTTGTAGAGGATTGGGGTCTTCTTAGTGAGGGGACAGAGGAGCCAGCTGTTAGATGCTCACTTGTACAAGGTGGTTAAAAGCTGAGTCGGGACCCCATTCTCTTGCAGGTTGGCACGTGACCCCTCTTGCTGCCTCCAGGTCTCCTCGTCCAACTCTGTCCACCTTGTTGGACGGCCCCTTGTTGGAGAGACAAGGGGCAGCTGGAAGGCCCTCCGAGAGGCCCAGGTCCCAGAGGAGCTTCTGCCCAGGCTGAGGTCTTGGGGACTGGACGGTTCTCACCAGGCTGCCCTCCTGCCCCCCTGGGGGGAAGGGCTGTGAGGCTAGGGGCCCCACTGAGTCTGAAAAGCAGTTTGTCACCTTCGCAGCTTCCGGCACCTGAGAAGGGAAAAAGGGGTCTGTTCACACTGGCACCAAAGCTGAGCCCCTGTTTCTCTAGATGCACCCGCTTGTTAACTTCTGTGAACCCCATTCTCCTCTAACACTCCTGGGAAGCCCCAGCTGGCCCGACCCACACAAGGCCATCCCATGACCCCGCTGTGGAAGGGAGGGGTGGTGAGAACAAGATGAGGGTGGACCAGTGTTCCACTACATCTCCTGGCCTCCCAGAGCCCGTAAGGTAGAACATCAGTGTCTACCATTGACATTTCTGAGACAGTTCAGAGCTTTACAAATTGGAAGCCTGTCTTTCCATTGCCACTCCTGGCCATGTCACCTCTTCCAGGACATCTAGAGATGTCCTCTCAAAGACGATAAGACAAAGTCAGGTACCGTTCACCACAGCCCGACATCCTCTGCTGACATCATGTGTCTGACTCCCGCATTAGAACAGGAGCCTTGCTTTTGCTGACCCCAGTGCCAACTAGGTGCTGGGTCAATATTTATTCAACCCAGTCAAAGCTTCCCTTTCCCTGGCTCTTCTCCCACCTGCTCCAGGATGGGCCTGCCCGCCACCCCTGACTCCTCACCTGCAGGTGTCTGGGTTAAGCTCTAAGCCCCGCCCTTGACAACGGAGGAAGCTGCGGCGTCGGCAGCGGCAGCGGCAGGTCCGGGGGTCAGGGCGCTGGCGGCGCTGGGGGCAGCGTGGGCAGAGGGGCCTGGGGCTGGAGTGGGATGGGTGATGTCAGCTGGGGAGGGTGCTCCAGGGGCAGGGTCCCAGCCCGGAACAGAGCGGGGCTGGGGACGGTGGTGGGGAGTGGAAGCCCTAGGAGGAGAAGCAACATGTCTCGGGTGGGAAGGAAGAGTCTTCCCAGGGGCTGGGGTCAGGGAAGAGTACAGAGTCTTGGAGAGCAAAGAAAAAGAGGAGGGGGGACAGGCAAGAAAGGAGAAGGAAGGGAGGGGACCACAGCTTCCTGACACACCCTAACACCCCCTGCCCCAGCCACACGTGACTTTCTGGGCACTGGGCCTGGGCTCCAACCCCACCCCAGCAAGAGCCCAAGCCTCACCTGTCTGGCTTCACAGCACTCTCTCGTTTTTTTGGTCTGAAAAGTAAGAAAGACGAACAGAGACAAGGACAGAGAGGATCAGGAAGTCAAGCATTCTCCGCTCTCTTGCCCTCGATCCCAGGCCTGCCCGGCTCTACCCTTGGAAACCTTGTCCCCGCTGCGGTGTACCGCCACACCCAGCACCCCCCAAGCCTGATCTCTGCAAACTCAGAGGCGGGGCCTCGCTGGCACCTGCATTCACACTGGCTGTGTTCTTCCAGGGACATCTCCCCCAGCTGACTGCTTGGGTACCGGATCATGAGGATCTGGGCTCAGGAGAACAGGGAGAGACACAGTGAGAGAGATGGGAAGGGGACGCTCCAGGGCTGGAGGGGTGAGAACACCTCGCCCCTGCCCAGGGCTCTGGCCACCACCCTCAGTCCCCAGCGTCCAGCCAGGCACACCCCCTGCCCCCTACCTGCATTCGGACTTGGTGCTGCCCAGTGGGCACGCACTCCAGGCCGTCGTCAGGGCAGCAGCCGCCACAACGCTGCACCGTCACACAGCTGGGCACCAGCTGCTTGGCCACAGTGCCCACGAGCTCCATGTTCAGGGGCACCACCACCTCCCGCGGCTGGCAGGTGGCACGAGCATACACGTCTATCCATGACACTACTGGGGGTAGATGCGTAAGGGTTAAGTCCCCCCAGGGTTTCCTGCAGCTGCCCCCTGGTTCCTCTACCCTTGCGTCCAGAAGCTGTTCTTAGTTCCCCCATCATAGCCATCCTCCACTAGCCCCCATTTCTGCCCACCCAATCTATCTTCCTTGCCCTGTTAATCCAGATACCAGGCATCCCACTGCCTCTATCTGCTCTTCTGTGAAATGGGCAGAATTAAGAGTTTGCATCTTACAGAGAGGCTGTGATTACACAAGATGAGAAATACATGGAGTCTGCAATCAGGGCTGGAAGCAAATGTTCTGAGCGCCGGCTGGTGCAAAGTTCTGTTACTATTACCTTTCTTCTGGTGACCAGGGGCATCAGGCTGGGAGACGGGGGCCTGTAGGAGAGAAGAAAGCTGGACCCAAGTTGCACTCCAGGAAGGGCTGGCAATGTCTTTCTCTCCAGGGCTCTGCCCTTGCAGTCAGGAGGCTTAAATTCCCCCCTGGGTCACTCTAGCTTTACCTGTTCTCTCCAGGCCACCTGGGACCTGCCCCGGCTACTACCCGCCAGGCCCGCTCTGGCAGCAGCCTCGAATCTCCAAGCCTGGGGTCCGGGCTAATTCTCCAGGACCCAGATCAGGAAGGGGCACAGTGGGCGCCGAGCTGCGTCCGGCAGGCACCGAGGCGGCCCCGCCCCCGGCTGCGCCCAGGGGACGGGGTGGGGCGGGGGAGTGGCCCCGGAGTCGGGCGGGCAGGCGAGGAGGGACTCCTCCCGGGGGATGCCTGGGCTGGGCTCCCGAGACGCCCCGTGGACCCCCAAGAACCCCGCGCCTTCCCACTTCCGCCAACCTTGAGAGAGGGCACGGCGCGCAGGCGGGATGTCGCGGACGCACGTACCTGGGCGGGGGCCAGCTGCAGAAGCAGGGCGAGCAGCAGGCGGCGGAGCAGGGGGCTCATGGTGCCCGCGGGGGCCGCGCGCCGGGGGCGCCCGCATCGCCCTAGCCGGGCGGCGCGGGAGGCGGCGGCAGCCAGAGCCCCATGGCGCGGGCCCGGGCGCGGCGGGCGGGGGCCGGGCGCGGGGGGCGGCTCCTCCGCGGCCCCCTCCCGAGCCCTGGGCGCAGGCAGCGCAGCGCAACGCAGCGGCGGCGGCGGCGGCCGGAGGAGCCGAGCGGGCGGGCGGCCGGTGGTGGCGGCGGGCGGCGGGGACGGCGGGGGCGGCGGGGGGCCGGGCCCGGGCTAGCGGGCGGGCGGCTCATGTGACCCAGACACGCGCTCCCCACCGGGCCGCGGGGCGGGGGCGGGGCGGGGGAGGGGGGGCGAGGCCGCCGGCGGGGCCCGCCCCCTACACACACACACACACACACACACACACACACACACACCCTCCCGCCGCTGCAGGGGAAAGGGGACGCACCGCCCAGGGGGCCGGGCTCCAGGGTTGCCGGCACCAAAACCCGGAGGGCGGGGCTGGGGCGGGGGGCGCTGGGCCTGTAGGAGGGAGCCAGACGAGAGCTCTGAGAATCACTTTATTGCACGCGTTTTGGGTCGTGGGGCGTCCCAGAAGGGGGCACCCCGAGGCCCCATCCGAGGTGAGCTCTCCAAGGTGAGCTGCTCAGGGGCCCGGGGGCACGACCCCGGGGCCTTGGGGTGGCCCGGGTGGTGGCTGCAGCTGCTGCCTCTGCCGCTGCTCCTGCAGGAGCCTGGCTCTGTTGGCCCTGCAGGGAGAGCATCTGAGTGGTCGGGACTAGGATCCTGGGGGGTGGTGCTGGCACAGGGAAGGGAGGCAGGAAAGAGCTGGGACAGACCTGGCTCGGGCCCGAGTGTCGTTATAGATGGCTGTGATGATCCGATCCTTCTCATCCATGAAGCTACGATGCAACTGCTCCAGCTTCCTGCAAAGGGGTTACAAAGAACACTGGGACCCCCAATCTCTGCTGTCCCCCAAGTCTCAGTCCCCTCCCCTCCACTCCAGGCTCTCACAGCTTTACACCTGTGGGGACCTCAGCCGAACTGCCCGTGCTAGGTGAGGAGACGGGCACAGAGTAGTCGGGACTTGTCCAGGGTCTCATGGCGACCCAGGTCCCTGATGGTCATGACAGCAGCTCTGAGCATCAGAGAGGTCCTTGAAGGAGACTAGAAAGGTTTGTTCTAACTTGATCACTGAATTAGGCACACTGCTAGCAGTGGGCACCAGCCTTTAGGTGTCTCTACTGTTGAAGCTCAGTGGCGTGGCATGTGTGATAGGGTGGCAGGAATGAATGAGGGCAGTTGCTGGTAAGGCCCAGCTCAACCCATTTCCTTCTTGTGCAGGCTTTCTGGTTGGCTCTAGCACTCTGGCAATCAGCACCAAAGATTTAAATTCCAATGAAAAAAAACTGAAATGACATGAGCTCTTAGTGCACAGCTGCCTTTGCCCAGTCAGAAGGGGCTCTGGAGGAGACCTATTTCATGCCGTTCTTAGCTTGGGAGACACAAAGGTGCAGGTCACAGGGGTGGTGTGGTTAGGTGGCTGACATTGGGCTTCGCAAACCTTTCTGCCCCCTGCCCATCGCCCTAGGGAGGCACACACCTGAAGGCCACGTAGTGCAGGCCCATGCCGGCCAGCATGATCAGGAGGCAGTACCCCAGCACTCGCCGGTTGTGTTTGTGCTGCTGCTGCCTGGATTCTGGTCCCTGAGGCCTCACTTTATGAAACTGGGCCCAGTATTGTTCATTGGGGGGTGCCCCAGAACTGCTTGGAGGAAGAAGAAGGAACAGTGTAAGGATGAGTCCATCCAGACAGGCCTCCTGGCTTCTGCTCCCCAGTTTCGCCTCACCCCTCCAATCCCCTCATCTCCCTGTTCATGCCTCTTCCTGGGACCCATCCTGATAATGTCCATGCCAAAGGGCTCAACACTTGGGGGTGGTGAGCTGGGGGCTAGACCACTGTACCTGTAAGCCTGGTGTGCAGACCTGGGGTGGGCTGTGGTTCCTGGGGACTTTGGGGAGGCTGCCGAGCGGAGCTGGTGGTCATAGCTGCGGCGGCTCTGCTCACGGCTCAGCACTTGGTATGCTTCACTCAGCTCCACAAAGCGACTGTGCAGGGCTGGGTTCCCGGGGTCCCGGTCAGGGTGCAGCTGGGGTGGAGCAAGACTCCCCTCATCTCCCTTTCCATGCCCCTTCCTGGGACCCATCCTGATAATGTCCACCCCCAAGGGCTCATGCCATTCCCAGAGGCCCTGCCTGGGGAGTGACCCTCACTCTCAGGCCTGCCCATCCCTGTAAAACACCACAGAGTCAGGAAGCACAGGCTTCTGCCTCCTCCCCTTGTGTAAGTGTTTCCCACCTGCTGCCTGGCTCTCACTCTAAGTCCTGGATCCAGCTTTCTCAAGAGCAGGCAGGCCAAGAGAACCAAGCCCAGCCCATCAGACAGGCCTCCTGGCTCCTGCCCCCCAGCCTTTCCTCCCACTGGGCAGATCTCTCCCCGTGGGGCACCTCCCCCTCCCTGTGAATGCTGAGGGAATATGCACCAGCCAGAGTGAGCTTCTCAGCTCAATTTCTGAGAATTTAAAGCATACCCCATCTGACTCAGACTTCCCTTCCCCCTCTCCACTTAAAACCACGGGTACCTCTTTGGACTTGGAGAAGAAAGCTCGTTTAACTTCTTCAGCGCTGGCACCAGGCTGCACCCCCAAGAGTTCGTAGTAGTTACTGGGGCCAGACCTGTGGAGAAAGGCCCAATCCTGCCAGGGCTAAGGAAGACACAGGATACCTCTTCCCTACCCACTTGGGCCACCCTTTGACTCAGCATCCTGGTGCTCAGGGTTGAGGCAGATACCAAGGATAGTCTCTGTAAATCATCCCTCCCTATTTGAGTGTTCCAGGTATGGGGCAGATCAAAATGTCTCCAAGTGTAGTTTTCAAATTCCTTGCATCAGAAACACCTGAAAATTATATTTTGTTTTTTGTTTTGATCATGTTTTTTAAAATAAATTCTTGGGACTTCCCTGGCCGTCCAGTGGTTAAGACTCAGGGCTTCCACCACAAGGAGCCTAGGTTCCATCCCTGGTTAGGGGAACAAGCCCTGCAGTGCGCCCAAAAGAAAAAAAATGAAAAAATTATTGAGCCCCACCTCATTCCTGCAAATCAGAATCTCCAAGTGGGGCCCAGGAATCTGCAATTTTGTAAGCGCAGCCACCCCCCCCCCCGCCCCCGCCGGTGTTATGCACAATAGTGCTTAACAACCACCTGAGATGTAGGAAGGGCACTAGGTTTAACTTGGGTTCAAATTTCAGATCTATATGACCTTAGGGGTTATCCCTTAATCTCTGATACTGTGTCTTCAGCAGTGAAGGTGAGAGTAACCCGACAAATCTGTAAGGCGCCTGACACAGAGCTATCCCAGCACCTAGCCCAGCGCCTAGAATTGGGCAGGCCAGCAACAAGAACCTACTGAACAACCGGGCCTGATCCCGGGGGCCCGACTCACCGCTGCCGGGCGGCCGCTGCGAAGAACCAAATGTGAGGGTTGAGGGGCCACAGCCGGCATAGGCGCAGGGGCAGCATGGCGGCAGGCGGGGAGCTGGCGAAAAGAGACCACAAAGAGGGGTGGGATGGGACCCCTTGAATCGGAGGGAATGAGGAGCGGGGGCGTGCTGGCCCTGTTTAAATGCGAAGGAAAACTGAAGCAGGCCCGGGGGGCTCAGGGGCGTTTGGAGCCTTCTGGCTGAAAACCAGACCTGTGTTCTAGCCCGGTCCCCGCCTCTGTCCCGTGCGTCCAAGGCCCCCCTCCACGTTCGTCTCGGAGTCTGGACCACTAGCCCGGGACTCGGAGACCCCCTCCCCACCCTGGGAGTATTGTGGGGGGCGGGTGCAGGAGGAGCCACACCAAGCCCCGCCCTCACCGCACTCACGGACTCTGCGGCGGCCGCCATTTCCTGCTCTTACCCAGGCCCCGCCTCCGCACTCTTATTGGCTTAGCCACCCAGACACGCCTACAAGCCCGAAGGGGAGTCCGTTCGGCGAAGCCCCGCCCCCGAGCGCCCATTGGCCTTTTACGCCTCACCCAGGCCGGAGGGCTTGCAGAGAGGCGCCGGGACCCACCCGGGGAGCCGGCGGGACTAGTCCTGAGGCTTTCAGCTCTGTTGCTCACTCCTTCGGACATGGCTGTTACTCCACTCTGCGCCGAGCAACATTTCACAAAGCAGTTTCCACCCGTAAAGTGAAGTGTGAAAATTAGTCGCTCAGTCGTGTCCGACTCTGCGACCCCGTGGACTGTAGCCTGCTAGGCTCCTCTGTCCATAGGATTTTCCAGGCAAGAATAATGGAGTGAGTAGCTATTTCCTTCTCCAGGGAATCTTCCAGACCCAGGGATCAAACCCGGTCTCCTGCATTGCAGGCAGATTCGGGAAACCCTTCCACCCCATAGTCAGCCTGGAACCTCACTGGAACCTGGCAAAGGGGCACGGCCCTCAGCTTGAAGGGGGGAAAACTGAGGCTGGGCCTTTTTTTAACCCAAGTCACTTGTCCCGTCTCTCTCACCCACCCTGGGCTCTCCCAGTGGCCCCCTCTGTCTCATGGAAACAGCAGATGCCAAAGGAATCCAAGAATAAAGTCCTTTATTGTCTTCCGAGCTGTGGTGATAGGGCTGGGAACTCCAGGAGACTCAGGTGGAACTTCCCTGGACCCGGTTGTAGAGGAAGATGGCGCCTTTGGCTGAGGGGCAGAGCTCAGCCCACATTTCAGTCTCCGGCAACCTCTGCATACTCTGTGGGGAGAGACAGTGAGACCCAGACATCTCAGCCTCAGGTTTCTTGGGGGAGCTGTGCCCACAGTTCCTGAGCCTCAGAGCCTCATGTTAAGGGGGCTGAGCAGGTCTCCGGCACTCTCCCTTGGGCTGAAGGCAACCCTGTAAGGACTTGTGGCTCTGGAGAGAAGCTCTGAGATCTGGGAGCCCTGTCTGACCCAGGCCTGGGAGACACGTGCTTCACCAGGCCTCTGCAGGCCCCAACCCAGCTGCTTATCCAAATGACACACTTGGCCACCTCGAACCTGTTTCTCCACAAAGATGATTCCTGTGGATTCGTGGGCCTCAGGTCCCCCACTCATGTAGTGTCTCCTCACCTGCTCAGAAGTCAGGCTGCACCTGGACAGGATGTGAGAGTGGCCTGGTGAGTGCTTAGCCCCAGAGGGTCCCTGTGGAGCCCCGGCTCCCTCAGCCATGCCCCTCAACCACCCACCTACTCCAGGACCCAGGACTCTGTCCCCCAGAGATCACTCACTGGACGTAGAACTCAGCACTGGCACGGCCGGCACTGGTCTCATTGCAGGCGATGCCCAACAGCAGCGGCTGGCTCAAGGTGAGTGGCGGCACATTCACCTGGGGCCAGGGGTACCACCTCTCAGTGCCCAATGCCCACATCCCTGCCCCCTCAGTGAAGAACAGCATGTTACCCTAATACAGCATTTTATAGTTTGTAGTTCAAGTGCCAGGAGTCACAGAAAGTCAGATCTTGGACACGTTCATTTCATGTGGGAAAAACAGAACTGGAGAGATGAACAGTTTGCCCAGAGTCACCCAGGGGAAGTTGATTTAGTAACTAGGACTCCTATTTACCCCTCTTTTCAACAAACCTGGCAGCAGAGTAGGCAAGACATTTATCATTATCCCCATTGTAGGGAGGAAAACCTTGAGGCACATAGAGAAATGGTTAGAATTCCACCTCAAGTGTGCCTAGCTGCAAAGCCAAGCTCTTTGCTCAATGCCGGATGCCTAGGACTTCCCTGACAGTCCAGTAGTTAGGAGTCCCATACTCTCACTGCCGAAGCCCTGGGTTCAATCCCTGGTCAGGAAACTAAGATCCCACAAGCCATGTGCCACTCTGGACCTGTGGAATTCTGGCTTGTCCTACCTCCTCCCTCCTTGCCCACTCCTCTGTTCTGCCTGCCCCTCACTCACCTCATCACAGATCTCCTGGAGGACACTGGAGAAGAGCTCGTGTACCACCAGCTCCCCAGGGAGGTCCTTGTGCAGGGGGCTGTCACCTGGGCACAGGGCCTGTAGGAGGTCAAGCTCAGTCTCTGCTACCCTCTTTCTGCCCTGCTTTCCCCCCACACTCACTGGCCCTGAGGGCCACTTTCTCTGACCCCAGCCCTCTTTTTCCAGCTGGGCAACCACAGGTTCAGCTAGGTTCTCCATCCCCACTCCCATCCCCAGTTCCCTAGCTTCCCATGGGTCTGGGGCAGAATTCAGCAGAGAGGCTGAGAGGCTACCCCTAAGAAGAGACTTCAGAGAAGCCCCAGGCCAACTCCCCTTTTAAGAGATGAGGAAGACAAAGCTGAACTTTGTGGGTCTTTGTGCCTCTGTGCCCAGCCTGGCATCTCACCTGAGGCTCAGGATGCCCACCGGGCACGTCCACCAGCCCAGGTGCCTCAGCCACCTGGCCAGAGCGGCGCAGGAAAACAAGGAAGTCGTCAGCAGTGGCCAGTGCAGCGCCCACACCCAGAGGGTCCGCCAGATAGGCTTGCTTGTCACCCCAGTCGATGGCCCCCTGCTGTCGCAGCCAGGCAGCTGAGCTGGCCCAGTTGGTCCCCAGGAAGTCTTGATAGGAAGTAAGGCCCAGGCGCAGGAGCAGCTGTGGCCCTGGCGAGCCAGTGGGCGCCAGTGTGGCGGAGTGCAGGCGGAACTTGGGAGCATCAAAGAGCCAGGGCTGGGCCTGAAGCCGGCTCTCCCAGATCGCGGCGATGGCCTTGTCCCCTCCTGGCAGCGGGCGACGGTCATAGGCTGGGCTCAGCTCAGCTTGTACCTGCTTCTCAGGCAGCCCCCCCTGGGGGCACTGCAGCAGCAGGGACACCTCAGGGTCCATGGCCTGGAGAGGGCAGTTCTGGGGAGGACACAGCCAAGCCTGTCACCTCGGGGGACCCACAGCCTCCCTTGGGCCCGGCAGCTGGCCCCCTCTATCACAGTCTTCCTGAGGGTACCCCCAGCCCTTCTGCACCCCCCTGACCACTCCCTGGGCAGTAAAATGTCGTATCATCCCAGCAAGAGCTCCTGCTACCAGACATCTCTTAGACTCCTCGGCATCCCTACAACCCAGAGGTCCTGAGTCCTGTCTCCCGCTAGTGCCCCTGTCTCCCCAAACCAAAGGTCCTGCCTCCCCCGCAATGCCCCTGTCTCCGCAAACCAAAGGTCCTGGCTCCAACCCTAGACACGCCGGGACCCCCTCCCACGGTCCTGAAGCTCCAGCCTCCAGCCCGCACTCACCGGCCCACTCTCCCTCAGGCTCCGCCCCTTTCCTCGGAGCGGAAGTGCCTGCCCCCTTCTTTCTCGGCTTCTCATTGGCCGGTCCCGGCGCTCAGGGCCCCGCCGAATCAGCTGCCCCGCACCCGGAATCGGTGAGCCTTCCTGTCTGTCCCTGTTCCATCTTTCTGGCCGGCCCAAACAATTCCGCCCCTTAGCCTGGATGCCGGCGAGGCGCGCCTTGCGGAGCAGACCAGCGAGCCTGGGTCACGGGATCTCGGCTTCCCTGGGCCCCGTGGCTGACGTAGTGTGACCTTGGGCAAGTCTTGCCTGCTGGGCCTCAGTTTCCCTATCGGCTCCAGGGAGTTTGGGGTGGGAAGTGAGTTTAGTGATCTGAATATCCCCCTCCCAGTTCTCACGTCCTGAAGCTCTGTGGTACCGGGCAGCATGGGGACGTGGGAGGGTCCTTAACTGTCTCCCATGTCACTGCTCCCCACAGGTCTTGGCCATGAACTCCTCTGGAGGAAGGAGGCGGGAAGCAGCTGGGCCCAAGGGTAGAAGGGCTCACAGACCCCCCAGGGAACAGGTGCTCCCCTCTCCACCCTCCCCCCTTCTCCCCATGTGGGAGGGCAGGGGAGGGCAGCTCTGAGCCCTGCTCCCTGGGAAATGCTGATGGCGTGGGAGCGGGAGCTGCTGGGTCATACTGTTCCCAGGAGCATAGGGACTGCTGCCCCTCTGGTCTCCTTCTGCAGCAGGTCACTCAGATTTCAGGGTGAGCAGCTGGGCAGGCGGGGTCACCACTGGGCCTAAGGGTCACCACTGGGCTCTTTCAGGACCGAGATGTACAGCTGTCCAAGGCCCTGTCCTACGCCCTGCGTCATGGGGCCCTGAAGCTGGGCCTTCCCATGAGGGCCGGTAAGTGAGTGTCTTAGGGGCCGGGCCCAGAAGTGCTTGGAGCCCAGGGAGTAGTGTGAGCAGGTCGGTAATCGCCTTCCCCCACGGCTCCCGCCACAGTCCTGTGGGGACAGCACAGAAGGTACATCCCCGCCATGTACAGGGAAGGCTGAGGCCCAGAGCCCAGGATCATGTCCAGGACGGACTAGGAGAGGAGCCTGTGTCTGGCCAGGCCTGGTGATACCTCCAGCCCAGTGGCCCAATAAACACTTACGCCAAGATTGGGCACAGGGGGTGATGAGGCAACTGATGTTTATTGAGTGTCCACTCTGGGCCACATTCTGTCCTCAAAAGCGTCCCTTGATCTTTGTGACCCTCCGTGATACAGGGGGGGTCCTGTCTCATGTGAGACAGAGCCTATTTCATGTAAGGTGAGAGACTGAGGCCCAGAAAGGGGAGACTTTCTAAAGGTCACACAGGCTCTGGTCTTGTGGTCTGAGGCTCCCCCTGTGAACTCTGGCCCAGGCCAGAGCAAGGTCATTTCCTTACCACCCTGCCTTCCCACAGATGGTTTCGTGCCCCTGGACGCCCTCCTGCAGCTGCCCCAGTTCCGCAGCTTCTCAGCTGAAGATATTCAACGCGTGGTGGACACCAATGGGAAGCAGCGCTTTGCCCTGCAGCCAGGGGACCCCAGCGCCGGCCCCCTCATCCGGGCCAATCAGGGTCATTCCCTGCAGGTGGGCACTAAGGGGACAAGTGGCAGAGCCATGCGAGATTCCTGCCTGAGAGGAGGTCACTGCCACCCTTCCCCCCCGCATTCATCCCAGGTGCCTGAGTTGGAGCTGGAGCCCCTGGAGACCCCGCAGGCCCTGCCCCTGCTGCTCATCCATGGCACATTCCGGCAGCACTGGCCGTCCATCCTGCTCAAGGGCCTATCCCGCTGGGGAAGGACACACATCCACCTGGCCCCAGGACTGCCTGGGGACCCTGGTGTCATCAGTGGTCAGTGCCCCTCCCCCAAGCTACTCTTATGCAATCTGTCCTTCCAGGTCCCCCTCCGAGGGTCATAGCCTCTTGTCCAGGGCCAGCCCATAGCCTGCATGCAGAATAAACCCCCTCCCCACCCCTTGAAATGAGCCCAGGACCCAGCCCATCCAGGTTCCATAACTACAATCCAGACGCCCCAGGCCCCAGCTCCAATTGTCCACTCAGGCATGCGGCCAAATTGTGAAGTGGCTGTGTTCATCAACGGGCCCCTGGCCCTGGCAGGTGAGTCTGGACACAGCAGGGACCACCCCAGGCCTTCTGAGAGGGCTTGAGTCACATGTCTGGCTGTCTGCAGATGGAATCCCCTTCTTTCGCTCTGCCAATGGGGTGATCCTGACTCCAGGAAATGCTGACGGCGTCCTGCCTCCCAAGTATTTCAAGGAGGCCCTGCAGCTGCGCCCTACCCGTAAGAACCATCACCCCAGCCAGCCCTGTTCTTTGGGCCTGAAGCCTGTGCCCTCTGCCCTCACCTCTTTCCCAGCTTGCAACCCCAGACTGACTTAGTTCACCCTTCTCTAACCAACTCTCCTCTATATCTCAGGAAAGCCCCTCTCCTTGGCTGGTAATGAAGAGACAGAGCATCAGAGAGATCCCAAGCATGGCTCCAGAGGAAGAGGGATGACCCAACAATAAAATATTTATTTTTAAAAAAATGTAAAAAGATAATAAAGAAACTCCAGTTTGAAACTATGAGTCATCATCCTGTGGCTGCAGCCAGTCTTCCTCGTGTGCTCAGGGACTTCAGCTGGGTCAGAGGTGTTGGTCCTGGCCACTCAGACAAGCGAAGGGAGGGTGCTGTGCAAATGAGGGCCCACCCTCCCGGGGGATGGCAGAGTCTGACCCAGCCAGGACCCTGGTCTACACAAAGCCAGTGACAGTGAGTGAATGGGCCCAGCTCGGTCGTTGCATGTCTGGAGAGTGTGTGGATAGTGAGTCCCAGTGGGTGTGGACTTAGGAGTGGTCATGGCAGGTGGTGAGCGGGTGGGGGCAGTGAGACAGGTTTCAGAAGGCCTCGTGGCCTCCTGTGAGCTGCAGGAAGAGGTCCTCGTCCAGCTCCTCCCCCCGGGCCCTCTCCCGCGTGGACAGGAAGATGTAGCCCCCAATGTACTCATGCACAATGCGGCAGCTGGCGGACACGCAGCTGAAAGCCACGTTGATGTGCTCGTCAAACTCGATGGCCACCTGCGGGGCGGGCGATCAGAAGGCTGGTACCTTGCCCTGGCTGGGTCTGGCCCGGTGGTCCCAGGTTCCTTCCCCCACCCTCACTCTGGGCCCACCTGCCGGATGTCCCAGTTGACATTCCACTGGCGCATGTTGCTGAAGCGCCAGGTCTTGACCACGTCACCCACAGACAGGTCGATGCGGATCAGTCGGTTGTTGGCGATGCCCAGGATCTCATCTTTCCTGCTGCCCTTGAACCTGGTGCCCAAGAGGAGAGTGTGAGGGGGGACTCCCCCACCACTCTGCATGGTCCCAGAGCCCACCCAGAGAGCCTGGTGTGGCACTCAGGAGCAAGCTGGCAAGTTAGTCCCTTAATTTCTCTGGGTCTCTAGTTCCTCATGTGGAAAATGGGGGTTCACTGATGTAATCACAATGATAGCATTTAGCAGCATCAGGCAAATAGGCCATGCCTTTCAATAGGAACTTTTTTTTTTAGCATCATCCTCAGCTTGTTCCTGTCTTTACAGGCTTGGAAAGTGGGCAGTCAAAGGGGGCACTCCCTTCATAACAGCCACCCAACCTTGCCCTACAGACCAGCTGCCCCAGGTCCAGAGAGAGAACGGTGTGTGGCAGGGCTGGGATGGGTGCAGGGGGCCACCTGCTCTCTTGGCCTGATCGCTCTCTAGTGTTTGGTGCACAGGTGCAGGATGGAGGGGGTGCACACGGGCTGCCCTCAGTAAGGCCTCTCCGCAGAGGACAGGAAGGAAGGCTTCAGGCGCTGCCCCCAGGCAGCAGGGGAGGGCCCTGCCTGGTAGAGCAGGCTGGGGTGGGGCTCCTACCTGACCACAACATAGGAGATGCCGAAGTCAGGGAGGGACTGCCAGGCCTGGATGAAGCGCAGCTGGGCCTCAGACAGCGAGAGCTGGGCCACGTTCTGGTGGGCCTCCAGGATCCGTGGAGTGAGCTGCAGGACCACGCTGGTGAGGGGCTGCCAATGTCCCTGAGACCCCCTGCCTGTCCCCATCAAGGAGACAGGATGTGGAGCCTGGGGTGGGGACAGTGCCCAGCGTGGGGCCACCGGCCCTGTCTGCATTCAGCAATATGAGCTGAGCCAGGCCCTGAGGAGGACAGGGCAGCTGGACTGTGACCCCTCCCAGAGGGTTACACTCAGTCTCAGGACCCAGGAGGGAGAAGGAGTGAGAGAGCACGTGCATTTCCAGGGGAAGGCTCTGTGGAGATCCAGGGGCCGAGGTTGGCCAGGTAAACCCTCTGGTCAGTCCCACCACCCACTCTCCCTGGCACCTGCTTGGCCTTGAACTTTCTCTGGAAGCGTGGGGCCACAAGGCCGTAAGGGTTGAGGCCCTCGGCAGAGGCATCGGGGCCCTGGGGATGGTTGCTGGAGCCCCCGCCGCCGCCGCCTGTCCGCTGCAGGCTGAGGAAGGCCAGGATGGCCTGCACCTCGCTGGAATAGCTGCTGTCCGCCATGGTGCGTCCCTTGGAGGCCAGTCGACAGCCAGCCATCCAGCGGGCATACTGCTGCTCCTGGGGTGGGAGGGGTGGGGGAGGGAGGTGAGGGCCCTGCCCCAGGCCGGGCCCCGCCCCATGCCCCCCTGGTCTGGTCCTGCCCAGCGCCCGTTTAGCTCTAGCCTCCAGGGGCCCTGGTCCCTGCCCTTCACGCACATCCTGGCACCGCAGGTAGATCTCACTCATGCCCTCAGGGGAGGGCACCAGGAGTTTGATGCAGAACTTCTGGCCTGAGACGTTGACATCTGGGACCACTTCACAGCCTGGAGGAAGAAGGGATGGGCTAGGGGGCTGGGGAGGGGAGCCCTGGTGCGAGGGCCCTGAGTGAATGCCAGCCCTGCACAGCGGCCTCAGGTCAGAGGGCATCTTCCAGCCCCTAGTTGGAGACAGGTGGGAGCATTCACCTGGCCAGTCCCAGGTGGGCCAGGTGAGGCCCCTGCCCACCCCGGCCCGCCCCTGCCCTGGTCCTGCAGACTGCTATCACTCACCCTTGAGGTTGAGCTGCTGGATGGGCTCCGCGGGGGCCTCGTCCTGGCTCTTGTAGTAGGACAGGGTGGTCTCCTTGAACACCACCCAGTGCTGGCGGTACCCCTTCAGAGTCAGTTTCCGCGGCCTGAGGGTGTGGCTCGAGGTTCAGGACAGGCCCCCTCCCTCCCTCCCATCCTCTCTCCGCACTGGGCCCTGCTCCAGCAGGGCTGCCAAGGCTGGACCCAGACTCACCGGAAGATCCGGAGATGGTCCTTGAGTTCTGGGATGGTGGTGAGGCTGTCCTGGGGAGGAGAGGAGTCAGCGGGGGCGTCGGGCCCCTGCGCTCAGCCCTGACCGCAGCCCCTGACCAGAGCCCCTCCTCACCAGCATGTCCGTGGGCGCCGACCCCTCCAGCTTCACCTCCAGGTTGCTCAGGGCTGCATCCAGGTCGTCCAGCCCTGCGTCGGTGCCCGCCGGTTCATCCACCTCCCCACTCTGAGACAGCTTGTTGATGTGGTACTGGAGGGGACACGTGGCCAGGGACAGCTGAGCCGACAGCCCATTCGCCCAACAGTGCCCTCAGCTGGGCTGTCCTGGATGCAGGGTTCCCTCTGGAAGACCCTGCCCTGGGCCTGGCCCGCACCCAGCCCCCAGGGTCCCCCGGCCTGCCCGGCACCTGTAGGGCTGCAAACACCATCATCTCCTCCTCAGTGCAGTCAATCTCTTCCAGCAGCAGGTCCCACCGAGCCTGCTCATATAGCTGGGTCAGCCTCACTGGGTCTGTCTGGAGGGAGGGGGAGGCTGGGTTGGTTGGGTGACATCTGTCCTGAGCACCCCATGCACCCAGTTCCCTGCAAGCCTCCGGCCTCAGCCCAGCCTGTGCTGTGCAAGCTCCTGGAGTGGTTCCACATGGGCAGCAGACCCCAACCCCAGCCTGCCAACCCCATCTGCCCAGGCAGGCTTCTTCCCTCTAAACCTTTCTGTGCAGTTATTGACTATTCGTCTACTGTGTGCCCTGCGTGAAGGGATGGGGGGGCAGAGTAAACCACTCAATAAATAAGTGATTCAAAGCGATAAAGGAAGTAACTTCCAAAGCAGGGGCTCACTCATGTGCTCAGGCAAGAAGCCCAGGAGCTTGATGGTGATGAGAGAGAATGGAACTAGCGTGCGAAGGTGGGGAGGGCTGCTACTCCCCAGAAGGAAGCATTCCGGGAAGGCTTCCCTGGGGAGGTGGCTTGCTGCACTGACATCTGGGAATGACAAGGATCCGCTGAGGAGAAGCATGGTAGGAGGAACATTCCAGAGAGAAGGAGCAGGGAGCTCAAAGGGGCAACCCCAGTTACCCACAGAAGTAAGACTAAGCCCGCACTCCCTTTGAACCCACCAACATCAATAGCAAAGGCATAACAAGGATAAAGGCAAAAGGATTAAGAAGAGAGAGGGGACTACAGCAGGTTGAGAGATACCAACAAAATTTTGGAAGATGAAAAGCAAAAACATGGACAGGGACTGAGGTGCAGGGAAGGAGAGCTGGGTTCTCACACTCTTTTCCCTCTCTTGTTCTATGGCAAAGGCACTAATGAGTTTGGAAAAAATCAGAAAGCAAACAGCAAAAAGAACTAAGATCTGAACAAAGGCATCCCAGTTCATGTGGTAGACAGGCTCAGGTCTGGGAGGGGAAGGTGTTAGTCGCTCAGTCGTGTCCTACTCTTTATGACCCCGTGGGCTGTAACCATCAGACGCCTCTGTCCATGGAATTCTCCAGGCAAGAATATTGGAGTGGGTTGCCACACCCTTCTCCAGGGGATCTTCCCAAACCACCAAGGATTGAACCCTCGTCTCCTACATTGCAGGTGGGTTCTTTACTGTCTGAGCCACCAGGAAAGCCTTTCTGGGAGGCGAGGGTGGGCTCAGATGAGGACCACAGAAAGTCTGTAAATGGAACGGTCCCTCCCTACTCCCTGCAGCCGAGTGAGTCCCTGCTCCCAGCTGGCACCTGGTAGAAACCAGAGATTCACTCTCTCAAGATGCTGAGCCAGTGCATCTGGCACTCCTGGCACAGCTGGGTGGGAGTACGTTGTACAGAAAACAGCTGAATGAAGAGAAAGTTGGCATTTTGAAAGATGAGACACCCTCAGCCCTTCATTTGCTATCAAAGACATTGGCAATGAGCCTTCTATTCCCCAGTCAGGAGATCAGAGCTTTCACTGCTGAGAAGCCAAAGAGAAACCCCCCATAACGAGGGGCATTCCTGCCCCATCTTCCCCAGGAGACCCTCCCAAATGCCAGGCCCTATTCATCCACTCGGGGTTTCTAATTGGCTTCTTAGAGCCTTACTAAATATGAAAGGGCAGGCAGGGATTATCCACATTTAACAAAAGCTGCTGGCATGAACTACAGTAAGGAGAAAAAAGAACTTGGAGGAAATAAAGACAATGTAGAGAGCAGAAAAACTTCAAACACTAGTTGAAATCCTTACAGAGACAAAATTCTGCACTCTTAAAACAATAACAGGAGGCTATTTTGAAAAGGAATGTAATCATAAAGTTACAGTAATTAAGACAACATGGTATTGACAGAGACAAATTGATCAGTGGAATCAAAGGGAGTTAGAGAGAGGGACTCTGCTGGTGATCCAGTGGCTGAAACTCTGCTCCCAGTGCCCGGGGGGCCCAGGTTCCATCCCTGGTCGGGGAACTAGATCCCACATGCTGCAACTAAGAGTTAACATGCTGCAAATAAAGATCTCGCATACTGCAATGAAGATCAAAGGTCCTGCATGTTGCAAACTAAGACCTGACACTCCCAAATAAATTTTTTTTTTTTTAATATTTAAAGAGAGAGTCAGAGAGAGACTTATGTATATTCACCTTAGGACGAGGGAGATCTTGGCATCACTGGGGAAAGGATGTTCTTTTCAATAAATGGACCTGGGTCAATTGGATACCCACAAGGTAAAAAAAATTTTTTTAATTAAAAAAATGTAAAGTATTTGTATCTCTGCCTCTCACCACATAAAAATATCAGTTCCAGTTGAGTTGCAGATCTGAATATCAAAGTGAAAACAGTAAAATCTTTAGAGAAAAATAGGACTGCATCTGTGCAATTTTAGAATAAAAGATTTCTTAAACAGGATGCAAAATATATTAATCATAAAACAAAAATATGACTCAGAATATATTAAAATTAGGAGCTCGTGTTCCTCAAAATAAACTACTAAGTGAATGAAAAGGCAAAATATTCTGTGCTTTGTGAAAATACATTCACAATATATTTATCTGTCAAAGTACTACGTACAGAATATATGAAGAACTCCTACAAAGCTATATGAAAAAGATAAGTACCTCAGTGTAGAAATTGGTAAAACATTGGACAGAAACTTCACAAAAGAGGATATCCAAAAGGCTAACAGTCATATGAAAAAGTTCTCAACTTGATTAGTCATTAGGGAAATGTAAATTAAACCCACATAAAAATCAAATCAGTGGTTGCCTGGGTTTGGGTGTGGAAGAAGGAATGACTGCAAATGGGCACTAGAGAATTTTCTGGGGTGATGGAAATGTTCTAAAATTGGATTGTGGTGATGGTTGCATAGCTATATAACTTGCTAAAAATAAACCTCTTACAGTGGGTGGTTTTTATGGTATATAAGTTATATCTCAGTAAAACTTCTTGAATAAACAAACAAAATACCATATGAGATACTATTACACACCTACCTGAATAGCTAAGATGGAAAATGTAGGAAATATCATGTACTGGTGAATTTGTGCAACAGTTGAAACTCTCATATACTGCTGGTAGGGGTGTATGGGGGTGTAGTTATCTACTACAGCTAAACCAGTGCCTGCCCCATAACCCCTGGTGGCTCAGATGGTAAAGAATCTACCTGCAATGCAGGGGACCCAGGTTCATTCCCTGGGTTGGGAAGATCCCCTGGAGGAAATGGCTACCCACTCCAGTATTCTTGCCTGGAGAATTCCATGGACAGAAGAGCCTGGTGGGCTGCAGTTCACAAAGATTAGGACACACTTTCACTTTTACTTTTCAAACTAGTGCCTGCCCCACAACCCAGCAATTCCACCTCTTGGTGTAGTATACCTTACAGATAATATGGTATATGTTCACCAAAAGACATATGCTGGAATATTTATAATGCTTCTATTCATAATAGCCCAATCTAAAAATTGTACAATGCCCATCAACAATAGAATGGAGGACTTGCCTGATGTACTGGATAAGAGACCTCCTGCCAAGGCAGGGGACATGAATTCAATCCCTGGTCTGGGAAGATTTCATAAGCCATGGAGCAACTAAGCTCATGCACCACAACTACTGAGGCCATGTTCTAGAGCCCGCAAGTCAACACATGGCAGTGAAAAACCAGTGCAACCCAAAATTAATAATAATAATAAAACAATAGAATGGAAAATTAAAATCAACTGTGGTATATTGACAGCCTGAAATATTACACACCAGTGAGAAATATGCTACCCTATATGCAACATGGATGAATCATACAAGCATAATGCTGAGTGAAAAAAAAACAGACACAAAAGAGTATACAGAATGTGTGATTTCCTTTATGTAAATTTCAATATGGGCAAAACTAATTTATGGCGTTAGCAGTAACATTAATGGTTCCCCCTGTGGGAGATACTGCTTGGATTCTGAACGCTGGTAAAGTTCTGTTGCTTGATATGTTGGTAACATTTGTGACTATTTCTAAATGTATGTTACAGTAAAAAAGCAAAATAAAACAAAAAACACTAAAAAGGGACAGTCAGAAAATAAGAGCTCTTAAAATTTAAAAAGACAGTTGCAGAAATTATAAAGTCAATAATAGATCATTTGGAAGATCTGTCAAGGAACTTTCCAGAAAGTAGAACAAAAAGACAAAAAACATAAAAAAGGAAAGAAAAGATAAATGTCCAATTTTTTCTTGTAAAATAAATCCAGGAGGTATAATATTTACTAAGTTCAAGAGGAAAAAAACCCCAGAAAAATGGAAGGGAGTGAATTATTTAAGAGATTGTATAGACCATGTTTCCTGAACTCAAGGACCCAGGCTTCTGATCTGAAAGGGCTCAGCAAGTGTGTGGACAATCAAAGAAGAAAGATTCATATGAGGACATACTGTTGAGAGATTTTTTAAACATCAAGAGATACGGAAAAGATTTTTTTGTGTTTGTTTTTTTTTGTTTTGGCTGTGCTGCATGGCTTGCAAGATCTGTTTCCTGACATGGGACTGAACCCAGGTTATGGCAGTGAAATTGTTGAATCCTAACCACTAGACCACTAGGCAACTCCCAAGAAGATTCTTAAGTTTCTGGGGCCTCTCCTACCCCTCCAAGAAAAATCGAAAGGGTCACATATGGAAAGACTGAAAATTAAATGGATTTAGATTCAACAGAAACATTTAGATTTCAATAGAAACTCGAGGACAATGGGAAGGTTGCTTCAAAATTTGGCAGGAAAATGTTTCAAACCTAGACTTATACAAACTTTCATGTGAGTGAGGGTAGACCAGCAACCTTTTCAAACACACAGGATTTCAAACCACTTAGGGAAAGCTATTACCATTTTGCCATTGTAGGGGAAGTCATTAAATATATGCTCCATTGACATGTGGGAGTCAGTCAAGAAAAAGGAAAACGAGATCCAGGAATCAAGAAGTCAACTATAGGAATTACCAGGAAATAGTGAAGGACAACAGTCAATCAATGGGTCTAGATTGCTACCATTCCATGGTTCTCACCAAGATATAACACTGATTGATATCCTAAAGTAACCAATCATTTTGAAAGGGGCATTGTGCTCCAGTTGCAGTGTTGGAGGGACTGGCTTATGGAACATCCCACCCACCTCATCACTTTGAAGAACTCCCATGGCAGGCCACAGATTCACAGAGTGTGTCCAGAGAGCCTTTTGGCGTCTCACTTCTAATTGTGCACAGATAGACAATTAACAGATGGTAAAGAATCTGCCTGCTATGCGGGAGACCTGGGTTTGATCCCTGGGTTGGGAAGATCCCCGGGAGAAGGGCATGGAAACCCACTCCAGTATTCTTGCCCAGAGAATCTCCATGGACAGAGGATCCTGGTGACAGTCTATGGGTGGCAAAAAGTCGGACACTACTGAGCAACTAAACACAGCACAGACAATTAACAGAAAATAAATAAACCAAGGAAGGAAGTATAGTCACTCTGTGGCTTAGCTCAGAACGCTATTTATATGTGCCACCATTTACAACCACACTCATTTGTCTTAACTAAAAACTACAACACAGCTCAGTTGGGAAGATGTAAAAGAGGTGTATGTTGTAGGGGAAGGAGGGAGGATATAAGACAGCTAAATTTTCATCTTTCACACAAAGTGAATAGATAATTCACGGAATGAAAAAAAAATCAAGGGAATAGACATATCTAAGCTTGTCATATAGAGGTAAACACTAGAATAAAAAGCTAAAGACTTAAAACCTACAGTCTCTAGGGATCAGAAATCTGGGATAAGGAGAGGTAGAGTAAGGAACTGTTTTTCTGTTGTTGTTATTACTACTGGGACTATTCAACTCCTTAAGCTGTTACTTTGTGTTGTTTTTTTTTAAGCTGTTACTTTGATTAAAAATAAAATTTAAGGGATTTCCCTGGTGGTGCAGTGGTTAAGACTCTGTGCTTCCACTGTAGGGGTCACAGATTTGATCCTTGCTCAGGGAACTAAGATCCCACATACCATAGGTGCAGCCAAAAAAAAAAAAAAAAATTAATTTACAAAACAAAGACCAAATGGATTTTAGACACTGGACAACAGATCACCCTGAACAGCAACGACTAATCGCTATGAAACAAGTGAATGAATGGTGAGATTTCCCCGGCTTGCTACCTGGAGCAAGTGTGAATGCTGTAGGCCAGAGGAGGACCCCAAATGGAGCCCAGCATATTCCCCGAGGTGAGAGGTGAGCAGGGGCCGTTGAGAATTTGGAGAGTCCAAGGCAGCTAGAATTCACAGGGCAGAGTGCTGCAGAGGAGGGAACTGCACAGAATTAGCAGAGGGCTCCTTTCGAGCCTTTAGCTGATTAATGAGTATACGTGTGTGTGTGTAAGGGAACAACCCAAGGCTGATGGAAGAAAACACTGAAAGTCACACCTGGACATTTGCCAGAGCTCATATCAGGGTAGGAATAGTTCATATTCCCAACATAGATTAGAAAAACATCATATATATATAACATCAGAATACTCAGAAGGCTCTTGCCTCAGAAATAGGGTAAATTTTTGTCCAGTCTAATTAATAATTGCCTTTGCCTTTGTGCATGCTCAGTTGTGTCCAACTCTTTGTGACCCCACGGACTACAGCCCACCAGGTTCCCCTGTCCATGGAATTTTCCAGGCAAAAATACTAGAGTGGGTTGCCATTTCCTACTCCAGGGGATCTTCCTGACCCAGGGATTGAACGTACATCTCTCATGTCTCCTACATTGGTAGGCAGATTCTTTACCAACTGGCCACCTGGGGAGTCCCAATTAATTATTATAAATTACAATTATTAATGTTCAAAGCAAACCTTAGAAGGATCAAACTGTTTCCAAGTGTCTTAACTTTATCCCCAAATAAGATTTTTAAGTATTTAAAAAATCCAGCACCTAAGAGCGTAAGATTTGCAGTGTCTGGTATCAAATTAAAAATTATCAGGCATGAAAAGAAGCAGAAAAATACAACTCATAATTAGGAGATAGTCAATATAAGTAGATCCAGAAAAGACACCGATAATAGAATTAGTAGACAAAAACACTAAAAAGTTTTTATTTTTTGGCCATGCTGCATACGCGATCTTAGTTCCCTACCCAGGGATGGTTTAGTCTTAACCACTGGACTGCTAGGGAAGTTCCTAAAATGTTATTTTAAATATATCTTGTATGTTCAAGGAGATAGAGGAAAGCATGAGCACGTTAAGGAGAGATGGAAAATGTTAAAAAGGTCCAAATTGAACTTCTAGGCAGGGTATTAATGGCAGATTAGACAAGGGAGAAGAAAAGATTTGTAAACTTGAAGACAGAGCAATAGAATTATCCAAAATGAAACACAGGAAAATAAGACTGGGGGAAAGAAAAAAACTGAACAGAACATCTGTGAACTATGGGACGGTTTTCAGTGTCTAATAGTCATGTAATCAGACTCCCATAAAACGGAGGAGCAGAAAAGATACATGAAAAAATAAAGGTCAAAGATTTTCCAAATTTGACGAAAACTACAAACTCAGATTCCAGAGGCTCAATGGACCCCAAACATGAGAAACCTGAAGCAAACCAAGGCACATGATCATCAAATTGTTTAAAGCCAGTGGTAAAGAGAAAATCATAATAGCAGTCAGAAAAAGACACATTACCTACAAAGGAACAAGCCACAAGACTGTGAGGCAGTACTTTTAAGGAAAAAAAAAAAAACATCGACCGAGAACGCTACACCAAAGAACAGTATTTTTCAAAATCAAAGGCAAAATAATGACTTATAGAGACGAACAAAAACTGAAAGAATTCATCACCAATAGATCAGCTTGAAAAGAAATGTTAAAGTAAGTCCTTCAGGCAGACAGAAAATGATACCAGCTGGAAATCCGAATCTATACACTGGGATAAAGAATGTAGGAAATGGTATGTGTGTAGGCAGAGAGAAAAGACTGCTTTTCATATTTAAAAAATGGATTTGCAGGACAATTGATTGAGGGAACTGTCTTGTGTCTTGACTGTATCAGGTCAAGGTCCTGGTCGTGATACTGGCTGGGGGGTAACTGGGTAATGAGTCCCAGGTGTCTGGGATCTCATGTACTGGTTCTTACAACTGTCTGTGAGTGAATCTACAGTTACCTCAAAACCAAAAGTTTAATAAAAAATAATGGACTGGTTATTAAAGCTTAAATAATTACAATGGGACTTCCCTGATGGCGCAGTGAATAAGAATCTGCTTGTTGATGCTGGAGACATGGGTTCGGTCCCTGGTCCAGAAAGATTCTACTTGGTGCAACTAAGTGTGAGTACCATAACTACTGAGCCTGCACTCTAGAGCCTGGGAGTCACAAGAGAAGAGTAAGTGCAGGGTTTTTGCCATGAGTCCATGGTAGAAGCAAGCACTGGGCAGACAGGGAATCAAGAGTTTTGTTTCAAACAGAAGTTGAGATGCCTGTTAGGTGCCAGAGCAGAGATGGCCAGTTGGACATGAGAGTCTAGGGCTTGGACATGAGAGTCTAGAGCTCAAGGAGAAAGGTCTGGGCTGGAGGCGGTAAAACTGAGAGCTTCAAGAGCACAGAGATGATCCTTAAATCCAGGAGGCTGGAGCTTCCTGGGAGAGAGGGTGGAGAGAGGAGGCTGGAGCTTCCTGGGAGAGAGGGTGGAGACTGGAGGCTGGAGATGGAGCCCTGGAGCCCACAACTCCCAGAGGCTGTGTAGACAGGAGGAAGGGCAGAGGGGCAGGGCAGCTGCAGACCCCCGAGCGCATGGGGATCAAGTAAGAAGTGGACTGGGGCACTTCCCTGACGGTCCAGTGGTTAAGACTCCACACTTCCACTGCAGGGGCCATGAGTTCCATCCGTGGTCAGGGAACTAAGATCTCACATGCCCTATGCGCAGTACAGCCAGAAACAAAAGAGCATGGAGGGATTGTTCACCTCAACAGGACGGGGAAGGAAGACTCCAGGATGGAGTTGGCTGAGGAGAGAGAGGGCATCAAGGAGTACCCACAGGGAAGGCTTCCGGGGAGCAAGGACACTGCACCCCAGGGTTCTGTAGACAACGATGCTTGCAAGCTTTGCAGGGAAGGGGGGACAGAGAAGTGGGGCTTCTGAGTCCGGATGCATGGAGCCTGTTTGTTTCCATGCCTTCGGCAGGCAGGGAGGGAACGATACACACAGGTGTCTGCCTGCAAAGCTTCACCCCTCATCTGGCCTAGTTCCTGCAGGTCCCAGTGCCGCTGCCTCCAGAAAGCCTTCCCTGAGCCCAGGTGCAGGCGTCTTTCACCGGAGCAGGCTTCCCAGCACCTACCACAGTCTACCCTGAGCTGTCTCTATCTGATAACCCTCGAGGAACAGGCCTTGGCATCCACGGGGGCCCAGCACCACGTTGGTGGAGCTAACCAATGGGGGTGTGGACTGACAAACGGACAGCTGGACAGACTCCCACAAAAGTCTAACCTTCACGAAGCCCAGACCTCAGATGCGAGGTCCCCCGTGTCCCACTGACCCAGGCGCCCTTCTCCCTGACCCGGCCCACCTTGGGATCCAGGTCGAAGAAGCTGTAGTACTTGAAGCGCAGCCAGAGTGTGTCCCCAGCCTTGACGCCCTGCTGCATGAGGCACCGCGACGAGTCCAGCCACCTGGGCCAGAGCACAGGTCGGGGGTCAGGGCCAAGCCGGGGGCGGCAGGACAGGGTCAGGGGTCAGCGGGTACAGGCAGGGCAGGGCTGAGCTGGGGGCAGCAGGATGGGATGGGGGGTTGGGAGGGGCAAGGGGCAGGGCTGGGCCGGGGGCAGTAGGGTGGTGGAGGGGGCCGGACTGGCTCAGGGGCAAGTGCACACATAGATAATGGGAGCTGGGGACAGGGCCAGCAGGCCGCGGGGGAGGGGGTGGGCCCTGGGAGCAGGACACGTGGCATGGGACGCCAGGGCACATGCAGACCCAGCGGGCCACGCACCTGCTGTGGAGCTGGGTTTTGTCCAAGAGGGAGCTGGGCCGGGGCAGGCGCTGCAGCAGGAGGGGGTCCGGTGGGGGCTGCGGCCGGCTCAGCATGTGGTAGCAGGCCTCCGTCTGGGCGCTGTCTGAGAAGTGGGCTGGCATCCCCCGGAACGATGCGGGGGCCACGCCTGGAGTGCAGGTGGGGTTCAGTTAGGCCCGGTACCCCCCACCCACCCAGGCCTCTCCTGGGCCCCCCGCCTACAGCATCCCTGGGCTGCCCCAGCCTGCGCTCACCCCCGACCAGGACGACCTTTGTCAGGTCATACACCTCCTCCTCCGGCTCCTTTTCTTTCTTCTTCTTTTTCTCCTTCTCGGGAGCGCGGAGCAGAGACATCTCCTCAGGGTGGCGGATACCTGAGGGGAGCCAGGGCCTCAAGGGGCGCCAGGGTCCTGCCCTGTGACCTCCCACCCCACCATGGGCAGTTTGGGGCGGGTCCGAGCCCCCCAAGATGGATGGGGAACGACAGCTCGGCTAGGATGATGTGACAGTGGCTGGGCCTGGCAAGGGAGGGGACCTTCCCCCTGGCTGGACCCTGGCAGGGGGCAGCGTGGGGGCCACCCGGGGACTCACTGAGGAGCCGGCAGATGGCAACCATGGCCTGGAAGAGGGGCTGGGAGAAGCTGGTGCGGAGGCGCAGGGCGCGGCGGTTGGGGAGCCGCAGGATGACAGGCCGGTGCTGGGGCCCGAAGAAGAGGCGGGCGTCGGCTAGGATCCCATATTTGTCCAGCGTCCAGTGGGTCTGCAGCAGCCACTGCCTTTTCTGCTCCCACCAAATAGCGTGGTCTGACCAGTCCTGCTTGCGTTCTGCGGGGCCACAGGCAAGGGCGACCGTGTCAGCCTGAGTGGGCCCTGGCCCCCGCGCTGAGCACAAGCCTGGGATCCAGAGGTGGTGAGCAGCCCCTCCCCGGCCCAGGCTGGGGGCCTGGGACTGAGGTCGTGGCAGGACGGCCGTTTGCTGGCTAACCTGCTTGTCCCCTCGGCTGGGCTGCCACGGAGGGGAGTCACTTCCCTGGGGGAGCCCCCGGCCCAGAGCGCAGCGCCCTGCCTCTCACACGTCAGGTCAGGGCGCTGGGCTTCCTCATGCAGCAGCTCCTGTGTCCTCTCGCAAGCCCCGCCTTCATGGCTGCTCTCTGGCATTTCTGGGAGCTCGGGAGGCCTGGGAGTTATGCTGAGCACACAGCAGCAGGCGCCCCACGAACAGCGAGTGGTTTCTAGCTCTGTGACCTTGGCCAAGACCTGAACCTCTCTGAGCCTCAGTTTCCTAGTTCCTGAGATGTGAGCAGCCATGGACAGTGAGCAGGGCCTGCCGCCACGTGGTGAGTGCAAGGTGCCTGTGACACGGGCATGTGGCCACATCAGTACAGAGCACGGGCTTTCGGTTAGAGATGTGAGCACCTCTAGGTCTCACGCGGCCAGTGACAGAAGACACACACTCCCCTCTTGGTCCTCCCCCCAGGAGTCTGAACTGGTGCCAGGTGAGCGCAAATGAGAGTCCCCTAGTGTCCGAGCCCTTCCTGGGGAGTGGTCCCGTCCCCCTCCCCAGCTCCACCTCCTTCCAGCCTCCTCCAGCCCAGAAGTCACCCCGTGGTGGCGCCTTCACTCTGTTCTTGGTTTTGTGGCACCCACTCCCTGTCTCCTCCTGACCCTCTGCCCTTGTTCCCTCTCCAGGCCGGCCCCTGTCCGTCCCCATTGGTTCAGGAAGAGGACCTTCTTCTCCCTCCTTGGCCATGCCTTTTCCCAGGGTGAAGGGGGGCCAGTCTCATCTAATCTATGGCTTCGTCTTTCTGCCGTGAGCCCCAGACCAGAAACCCACAAGCCACTGGCAAAAGAGCACATCCATTGGCTTCGATCATTCCAGAAACCTTTGCTCGCCTGCCTACGTGCCGGCTCTGGGACTATGAATGCAACAATCCTGAGTCCCAGCCCCCCAGGGGCTCCTCTTAACCTTGCTCTGCCTGACTCTGGGGGGGCTTCCCAGGTGGCACTAGTGGTAAAGAATCCACCTGCCAGTTCAGGAGACACAAAGAGACACAGGTTCGATCCCTGGGTCTGGAAGATCCCCTGGAAGAGGAAATGGCAACCACTCCAGTATTCTTGCCCGGAGAATCCCCTGGACAGAGGAACCTGGCAGGCTACAGTCGATGGGGTTGCAAAGAGTTGGACACGACTTAGCATGTACGCAGGCCTGACTCTGGACCCAACAAGGAGCACGCAGCCTGCGCGCTCCTTGTTGAGTCCTCTTGCTTTGCCGTGGACCGTCCCCTGGGGCAAGCTGGGCCTTCTCTTGGGGCACCTGGCCTTCACCCTCTCTGCCTTGCTCGGCCAGGCCTGCCTGAGTCTCGTCACCCAGTCTCCTGAGGGACCCTCTGCTCCCCACTTCTGCTTTCACAACCTCCTGGGGCCCTGCCTTCTGGAGGCTCCCCTCACTACCTCCCCTCACTACCACCTGTGGCCGGGTGGTCCGGGGGGGCCCGCACTCTCCACAAGCCACTGACCTCCCTCCTGGGCCTCACGTGGCGGGGCCAGGGCTGGATGGGTCTGAGGCAGCCCGCCCCCACCCCACACCCGCAGGGGCCCAGGTCGCAGGCTGGCTGGGCCTATCGTGGGCCTGCCTTCCAGCTCTGGCTATCAGAGCCAGCCCGCCGCCCTCCCAGGAAGGGGCACCCCCCCCCCAGCAGGAGAGGCGATGAGAAGCCCCCTGTCACTGGCCCTGCTCCCCTCCAGGGTTGACACCACAGGAGGCTCTGCTGTAACTTCCTGTGGGGGCAGGGCCGTCCCACCCAGGCTGGGGCCTGTCACCAGCATGCTGAGGGCTTCCGCCCAGGGACAGGGCGTGGGAGCAGGTCCCCGAGCCACCAGGAGCCCCCTCTGGCCTCCCCTTGACCCCCCCAGAATGGGACCTCAGCCTCAGCCCAGGCAAGGCCTCTCCTGGCCCAGAGGACCGTGGCCGGGTCTGGTCCTTGGGGTCTTAGCAGAACCAGCTGACATGGAGGAAGGGCAGGACGACAGTGGGAAGGAGGGGAAGTTGAGTTGGGGAAATGTCTTTTTTGGAACCAAATGATTAAGCTGGTGCCTGAGTCACCGTGACTCCATTATCGAGAGCCGCGCAGCAGGGCCGGCCCGGAAGCCCTGGGGTACCCAGTGGGCAGCGGGAGCAGTGGGCACTCACTGATCTCCTCCACAATCTTCAGAAGCACCCCACCGATGTGTGACTCCCCTGTGACACGGAGGGTGAGCGACTCGGCCTCCGGGTCCTCCTCTCCTATAAACACCCGCAGCTCCCAGGACGAGTCGATGTAGTCCCCGGTGGCTGTCTTCATGCCCGCCATGGCTGCGGCGGCGCTGAGGAGAGGGTGGGAAGGAGGCGAGTGGGCAGCTGGGAGGTGGCCTGTGGTGCCCAGGGCAGGCAAGGGGCCAGAGGGCAAGCCTGCAGGCCAGAGTGCCGCGACAGCAGCAAGACCTGGGGAGCTCCAGGTGAGAAACTCAGACCCCTCTCTCTCCATCACAATGGTGGAGCTTTGCAAGGGCCCCTCAAGAGACCACATTGCCCAGCCCTCTCCCTTTGTGCAGATGGGAAGACGAGGTCCCATAAGAGTAGGAAGGGGCTCCCCAACATCAGCCAGCTCAGTGCCAGAGCTGGGCCCACCCTCCGCCTGCTTGCCCAGCCGACAGCCCAGCCCAAGCCCGCCCTGGCAGCTGCCCACCCTAGAAATGGTGAACCCAGGTCAGAAAACAGTCCCCATCAGGCCCAAAGCTCAGCGCCACCACCCCAAAGCCACTGACGCCTCTCAAAGGCCATGGAAAGTCCAGGTTGCCGCACTGAGAGAGGCTTGCTGGGCAGATGGGGCTGCCAGAGGGCGAGGACGAGGAGGGTCCTTGGGCCTCCAGCTGCCGGCCGGCTTACCTTGCCTGCAAGGGGCTGGGGCTACAGGGGCGGGTCGGCGCGTCAGCCGCTCCTGGCCGCAGCCCGCACACCTGCAGACCGCTGCGTGCTTCCTCCCCCTCCGCTTTCTCTTTGGAGTTTCCTTCAGAGGGCAGCCCTCGCTTATCAGGAGCAGGGCGGGCTCGCCCCTCCCCAGGGCGGGCGCTGGGTGCAGGAAGCAACTGCCAACACAGCCCTGCCTCTGCACAGGAAGCAAGTGGGGCCTGTGGACCCAGCCCCCACAGAGGGTCCCCTCACTTGGAGCGAGGCTCGATTCAAACTAGGAAAGCCACCAGTTCAGGTTCCCGTGTAGGAAGCCATCTTCCTTCTCAGGCCTGTCATGAGGTAGGGTCTTCCGGCTGCCAAGAGCGAGAGCGGCGGCATTCAAACGATGAGATCTGGGTTATTTAGGGACCTGGCAGGTCAAGCCAGAGGCTTCCCAAGTGGTGCAGCAGCAAGGAATCCACCTGCAATGTAAGAGACGTGGGTTCGATCCCTGGGTTGGGAAGATCCCCTGGAGAAGGAAATGGCAACCTACTCCAGGATTCTTGCCTGGAAAATTCCATGGAGAGAATCTGGCAGGCCACAGTCCATGGGGGTCGCAGAGTCGGATACAATTGAGCATACACGCAGGTCAAGTCAGCTCAAGCCCAAGGATGCCTTTTATCACCACAAAGTAGAGCCTTAAAGGCCCCAAGTGATACAACTTTAAGTCTTTCCTGTTCCCAGTACGGGCCTATTTTCCTGCTAACCTCAGAGCTAACAAGGGGAATAGCTGAACAGAAAATGAAAGTCAAGTTGCTCAGTCGTGTCCGACTCTTTGCAACCCCATGGACTGTAGCCTACCAGGCTTCTCCACCCAACAGATTTTCCAGGCAAGAGTACCAGAGCGGGTTGCCATTTCCTTCTCCAGGGCATCTTCCCAACCCAGGGATCGAGCCCGGGTCTCCCACATTGCAGGCACACTGAGCCAGTGGGCCGCTAATGTTTCATGGCCTGACTACCCCCACACCTTGAACTTTAAAGTCTTCAGACTTGCCACCTCCCTCTGTTCCTCCACCTGCATCATGTTCGTCTGGGGCCAGTGCCCATGAGGCTCACTCCTGTTCCACCCCTATGCAAATGTGACTTGGAGGGCTCCTGGGGTCCCGTCTTTCTGGTGCATCAGGATGTAAGCTTCAGGAGAGCAGGGCCTTATATTCACCCCTGGCTCCCGCAGAAATTCAGCCTTTCTAGGCAATCAATTTGGGGATGGAAATTGACCAGAACCTGAAGAGACCGTAGTACCAAAGGTGCAGAATCCCCGTGGAGGGTTGCACCAACCAGACAGGGGAGGCCACCAGCAGGGGTGAGGGGGGCGGGGGCAATTCCTGGGGAAGGCCAGCTTCAGTTTATGCAGCAGGAAGTACAGCCAGCTGCTGGCCTCAGCAGGTTGCTAGCCCCAAAGCTTCACTCTTGGAGCAAATGAGGAAGTTTCACTCCAGCCCCATAAGCCACCCCAGTCCAAGACGAGGGTTTTTAGAAAATTTCCTGCAGCTGTGGAAAACTTAATTAAAACCTACTTTAAGCTCAGCTGAGAGCAGAGCATACAGCAGCTGAGGGCTTTCAATCCAATAGGGAAGTTTGAAGCATCTCCTGCAATGGAAACTGGTTTTGGTTCTTGGATGGGACCCACTGTTCTCTGATCAAAGTGGCTTCTGGCTTTGAGTGTGGAGAACCAACAGCATGGGAATCACCTGGATGTTTACCGGACCCTCTGGAGCAGGAGCCACTCTGGGTCAGGTCATCTCCTTTCAAGTTGTCCGCTGGGCAACAGCACCACCTAGTGGCCAGCTCGAGAGGCAGTGAGTCGCTCAGGTGTGTCCGACCCTGCCACCATACAGGCACCCCTGTCCATGGGATTCTCCATGCAAGAATACTGGAGTGGGTTGCCATTTCCTTCTCTAGGGGATCCTCCCCACCCAGGGATGAAACCTGGGTCTCCCTCACTGCAGGCAGATTTTTTATCGTCTGAGCCACCAGGCCAGGCGGTGGAACCGAGAAAAGCTCACAGCCGAACCACCATTTAGGAAGAGAGACAGAGCGTGCCTGGTTCCTAGTAGTCAGCTGGCACTCGCACCTCTTCCAATCCAGGCTGTGACTCCTGCAGGACAGCTGCTTCAGTCTTTTGGTAAAAAAAAGAAATCGCTCGGAGACACAACAATGTATAACCACGCCCGACTGGCTTGTTTTATTGGAGAAGAGGACGTGGAGTTAACAATGTGAATGAAGACAGTTGGGACCTGAGGTTGGGAAGAACACCCTCCCCTCCCCATACAAGCCCACTGCCCCAAATAAAAAATAACCAACTATGGGAGAGCAGCTGAGACAGCGACTGGGGGGCAGGGGAAGGACCATGCGTGTGCTGGGAGGGCCCAGAGGCAGCAGCTGCACGAGTACGTGAGTATAAGTCTCTGAATCTTCCATGTAGGTCTGTATAAATATATAGATAAGCTGTTCGCTGGTCTCCCCTTCTCTTCCTTCTGCTCCGTGCTGCGTGCCGCGGTCCCAGCTCCTCTTTCCATGTGAGGGCGAAGGGAAGGGGATGATGAGCAAGTCATCACCGGATGGCTATCAGACCCACATCCATCAGCTTCTGGATCTTCTGTGCTATCACAGGATTCTTTAAGTGTCTGACAAAGAAGAGGCAAAGTTATCTGAAATCAGACTTAACCCCTAAAAATTTTAACCTGCTCACAGAGCAAGCCCCAACGCAACCCACCCTGGACACTATCAGCAAGAGGTGGTGAGGGGAGTCCTGGCGGAAACTGCCCTGTGGAAGAACCGCACGGGCCGCCTCTGCCAGTAGCCAGAACCTGACCACTCACTGTACACAGCTATAAGCTGAGACCTTTTCCCAGCAAAACTGGCCTTTCTAACTAACCATTTAAGCCATTATCGCCAACAAAGCCCTTCCAGCTCACCACCACCTGCCAACCTTTTAACTAAGAATTAGACGGTACACATTCCACTTAGGTGGATCACACTGCTGCCAAAGTTGTGCATTCTGTTTTTGTCCCCCTTTTCCCTCCAAGGTCATCACCCCCCAGCTCGACTCACTCGCTGAGCGCCTGCGGGTCCTTCTGCATCTGTTCCAGGATGAGCCGCATGGCCGGGTCACTCATTATCTGCTGCACCTCCGGGTCGGCCATGGCCCGCCGCTTCACATCTTCGGGGCTGTCGTGTCGGTTGTACTGGGCCATCACGCAGCGCTGGTAACCATCTGCAGCCTCCTGCATTCCGGCAAAGCCAGAAGGGGAGAGCATTAGCGCTATCTGGCTCACTGCTGCAGCAGGTCCAAGGAAACAGGGGTCACTGAGGGGGAAGGTGAGACGGGAGAATCAGAGAAAGGGAGGCAGGGCAGAGATCCCTGAGGCCAGGGCAGCCCTACCTTACAGTTGGAGTCCAGGTCGAGTGCTTTCTGGTAGACATCCATGGCTTTCGTGTAGTCCTTCATGGCCTCCAGGGCGGCTGCTTTCCGAGTATAACCCTTGACTGGAGACAGAAAAGGAGAGGTGAGGCATCACCCAGAACACACTTCTGAAGCCTGCTTTCACCTCCTCTGAACACCATCACTCCTCAGCCTGACACTAGCTTCAAGATGTTGTAACCTCCAAAGATACACAGGCAGAGTATGCTCTCTCTTCTCAACCCTCTGGCCAGACGGGGCAGAAGCGCAGCACAGGAAGACACTTACTGAAGGTTGGCTCCAGCTGGATGCACTCCTCACAGTCCTAGGAAGGAAAAGCAGAAATGAATCAGGCTCATTCCTTCAGAGTCGCTACCCCACAGGTGACTCATCACCTGGAATCACAAACCTAACTGTTCACCCAGGGCCATTACAGAACATTCAACTTTTGTTCTAGTGCTACTTTTACTTATTTTTGGCTGCATGGGGTTTTCATTGCTGCGCCTCTCTTCTTAACAGAGCACGGGCTCTAAGGCATCAGTAGTTGTGGTTTCTGGGCTCTGGAACACAGGCTCAATAATTGTGGTGCACTGGCTTAGGCACTCTGCAGCATGTGGGACCTCCCTGGACCAGGGATTGGATCAGTATCTCCTGCTTTGGCAAGTGGTTTCTTTACCACTGAGCCACCAGGGAAGCCCCTTGTTTTATTTTTAAAACTTAATTATTAAAGTACAGTTGATTTACAATGTTGGGTTAGTTTCAGGTGTACAGCAAAGTGAGTGAGTTACGCACATACATACAATCGCTGCTTTTAAGATCTTTCCTCATATAGACCATTACAGAGTATGGAGTGGAGCTTCCTGTGTTACACAGCAGGTCCTTATTAGTTACCTTATCTATTATAGTGTGTATGTCAGTCCCAATCTTCCTATTTATCCCTACCCCAGTACTTCTGTTAACTCTGGCCTCATGGTGATTCAATAGCGGGCCCAGAGAAAGGACAAAAGGGGAGCAGAGAAGCAAAGGAAGGAGAACTTTAAGACACTACAAACCAGATCCTGAACCATCTCACAAGGCAAGGGGTGTGGACTCCTCAGAAGGCTGATGTTGATGAGCAAAAAACCCCGAAATGTAGGGAAACTTCTACTTTGAAAAATTAAAGAGGACAATGATCACCAGAGGAAATGAATGGACCCTGATACTGACAACTCCAAAACTTTTAGACCAATGAGGAAATCTGAATATACACATACGTACATACATATAATACACACATACATCAGATGACATTATGGCCTTAGCTTTGCTATTAAGAGGCGCTAATAATGTTGTGAATGGATAAGGAGAGTCATTTCAGGAAATGTATGCTCAAAAACTTATGAGATCAAATGTCAAAATGTATCATTTCCTTTCACAAACAGTTTAGCAAGCATCAGTGCTTACGGTTGAAAAATGAAGGAAAACACAGGTATTCTGTATACCTGTTCGATGTATCTTCAAAACATAAAATTACAGGATAAAGAATGCTATGCACAGTGAGGAGAGAAAGAACATCTACAAATACTCTTAAAATGAAAACCTAATTTTGAGTGCCATAGACATTGTATTAAACCCTGTTTTGAATAAAGGAAAGTATGTATCCACATTAAAAAAAAAATGCTATGCAGTGTACCGTGTGCACTGCAGTCCAATCAACAGCTACCAAGAAGCCCTAAGACAAGAAGCAATTCTATTCATTCCTTCCTCCCATTTGCAGTTTGAGAAAAGTCCTACGCTACCTCTCAGGTGATTAACAGTGTTATTCTTTGCTTTTGACATGGCCCTTCTGCAGTCCTACTAGCAGCAGTGATGTCTCTAGGCTAGACAGACCCAAAAGATCTGGGTCAGCAAACAAAAACCATCATGGACTCAGGTACTGGGGTCTTTAGATAGATCAAATTGCCAAGATGCACAGATTAGCTCATGTTCAAGGGCTCAATAGAGAGGAACTCCTCCAGTGTTGAACATTAGCATAACTGACCATGTGCGATGTGACTTACAACAGCAGACCTATATTACGGAGTACCGAAGAAAGGAATGATGATAAGGTTCCTATAGAAAGCGAGGCAGTTCACCTCTCCCCCAAATTAAACATAGAACTGCAATACTTCCACTGTTGCATAAAATACCTGAAACTAGGGACAAACAGATATCTGTACACCCACGTTCACAGCAGCACTGTTCAGCATAGCCCAAAAGTGGAAACAACCAAATCTCCACTGATGGATGAATCGAGCAAACAGCGTGGTCCATCCATACAACAGAATAGTATTCAGCCACGAAAAAGGAAATGCCGACACATGCTACAACATGAACCTTGAACACACTATGCTAAGTGACGTGAGCCAGGCACAAAAGGTCCAATACTGTATGATCCCCCCTTACAGGAGGTTCCTAGAGTGATCAAATTCAAAGACAGCAAACAGAACACTGGTTGGTAGGGGCCGGAAGAGAGGAAGGGGGAGGGAGTTTAGTGTTTAGAAGACGCAGCTCCACTTGGGAAGATAAAAGCTCTGCAGCAGAGGGTGCTGATGTCTGTACAACAGTGCACATGGACTCCATGTGCTCAACCGTGCATTTAAAACAGAAACGGCAAAACAATGAACACATGAAGGAAGGCAGTGGGAAGGGAAAAGGATCTACTTTCCCAAATACTTCCTACATGCTAAATAACACTGCATGGGCCAGGACAGGGTACACACAGGCCCTGTACTTTCACAAATCTCACACATGCACCACCACCTTGAAACTATGATCAAAGTAAGAACATCAAGCTGATGCTGATGAACACATGGAAGAGGAAGAACACGCTCCTCGCGGACAGGTCGCCCTGCCTTCACCTTGAGCGCCAGCTGGAACTCCAGGAGCTTGGTGTAGCAGGCGGCCCGGTTGCTGTACAATTTGGCATCTTTGGGGTTCCGTTTGATGGCTTCCGTGTAGTGCTTCATGGCCTGCGGGTAGTCCCCTTTCTGAAAACATTCATTGCCTTTGTTCTTCTCCTCCAAGGCCAGGTCAGGGTTTATGTAGGCCAGCCGCTCTTGCTCCTTCAGGATTTTCTCTGCCTAAAAAAAATTCTCGGAATAGTAATTTAAATTCTCATAACACTGGGCTAATAAAAAGTCTGATTAGAATTTAATTTTCAGAAAGTACTGCTTGGTAGTGGTGGTTTAGTCACTAAGTTGTGTCTGACTCTTGCGATCCCACGGGCTGTAGCTTGCCAGGCTCTTCTGTCCATGGACTTTTCCAGGCAAGAATCCCGGAGTGGGTTGCCATTTCCTTCTCCAGGGGATCTTCCTGACCCAGGAATTGAACCTGGGTTTACTGCATTGCAGGCAGATTCCTTACCGACTGAACTATGAGGTACTGCTGGTGAGATTTAATTTGGGGATTAATAATTTTATATTCCTTACACTATATACAAACTACAAAGATATATTGTACAGCACAGAGAATATAGCCCATGTTTTATAACTTTAAATACACACTATAGTTTGTAAGTTTTGAGTCGTTGTTATACCACTGAAATACAATGTTGTAAATCAACCTTACCTCAATTAAAGAATTCTATATTTCTTATTATCAAGGTACATGTACTATGAAACAGAACAAATGGTATTGACATACACTCGGTACAAAGATATGCCTTATGTGAAAATGATGGGATTAACAGCTCTTATTTTTCTGGCTAATCTGTCCAACCATCTCATCCTCTGTCGTTCTCTTCTCCTCCCGTCTTCAATCTTTCCCAGCATCAGGGTCTTAACTTACAATAAAAACCACAACACTGTCAGTGCACTGACCCTCAACAAATTTAAGGTCAAAACCCCTGCCAACTAAGAAACACAGCAGAAAAACTGGGTTATTTCTATGTGTTGTCATCATTAACAGGGGATGCATCATATAAAATAACCAAAGACAACAATTCATTACTAAATAAAAATGACTACAATAAATCGAATTAAGAAAACATCCCTCATTCCCTACCCACCTGTTGGCATTTCTTGAGCACATCTGGGGTTCGGTGCTCTGCCAGAGACTTGTTGTAGAAATGGATGGCATCCTTGTACTTTTCTTCTTTGAAATAAGAGTTGCCAATTCGTGCATAAGCTCTGACAAAGACACAAGGAAACAGAATTTGCTAAGGGCAGAGCACAGACAAGGTCAGCCTCTGCAGAGGAAAAACATCTAGATACAAGGCCCACACCACTGCCCCCGGCACCACGCCCTTCCAACACCTTCTGTTTCGGCTCCTGCCGTCTCCTTTCCAGCCCCCTCCCCATTACTCAAGGCACTCCAGGTCAAGCGTACTTGGCAATCTGTCGGTAGTCTTCTCGGTTTTCTCGTCCCACTTCAATGGCCTTCTCACAAAGCTCCCGGCATTGCCCATAGTCACCCTTTTCAAAGTACACAGCTGCCAAGCAGAGGATCAAGAACGAAGAGTCAGCCCTTGCCTCTTCCCGGGGACCTTGGGACCAGTCCCGCGCCCGGGCCCAGGCCTCACCTGCTTGGTTGGTTATGTAAGTCATGTTGGTGGGATCCAGGTCCTTGGCTCTGTCGTAGTGCTTCAAGGCTGTGTCAAAGTCCTTCTTCTTGTAAGCTTCATTCCCCAGCTCTTTTTCTTTCAGCGCCTAGAGGTGTGGAAGGATGGCTGAGCACATCTAACCCAGATGGCAAAGGGAGCCAGCACCTGGGATGTCACAGCTCCCGCACAGCACACACCCCTGATGAGGCTACGGGGAGCAGGTTCTCCACACCCACAGGGGATTACCAGCTGTCAGACTGGAAAACTGGTTTCCTCTCTGCTTCCTCCGAGACACCCCCTTATCCCAACTACTCTCCTGGATTTTTGTCGGAAAGTGAGGGTTTCCTCAGGGAAGAGGAAATCCCCTCAGCTTGAAACAACCTGAGAGTGGACAGCACAGTTCTGCGCAGGGTTTAATTCTGAGAGGCTAAGCAAGTTCGGGCTCTCTCACACAGTCTCGGTCCCAGCCGCCAGGGAGTATCGGCAGAGGGGGAGGGGCTGTCCTGGCGGCAGGAGCCTTTGGCAGACTCTCGACCACCCACACTGTAGGGCCTTTTTCCAGCTTTGAGACACCATGAGCAACCAACGCTTACCCATTTAATGGTACTAAATTTGGCAACAATCTGCTGTTCCCATTTAAAAGAAGGGAAATAAAACCGTTCAGCACAGGCCTGCTGCTCTCAAAGACTGAAAGTTGTCCGATCAGCCAGGAAACAGAAGCATATGAGGTGACAGACAACATTCTTCTGGATCACAACAAGAACAAGGACCACAGTTTTTAGGCTGACCCTGGCTGATGTCCACACTGCCAGAACCATAGGCCAGAACCACAGTGGCCGTGGGACCCTGTGGTAGCACCCGCTGCCTGAGACGCTGAGACACACAGTTCCTATGGAACTGCTTGTTACATGGACCTTTTAATATACTAAACATTTTAATTATTAATAACAGTAATTTGACCACACACTGAGCACTCAGAAAACCACCACAGCCATCCGAAGTCTAAAGATGGTCCCACCTGACACATATTTCTGGCTACTAGGCAGTTTCTAAATGCATGATCGTAAAGTGTTCCAGAGAGACAGACAGACACACACACACCAACCTGCTTCTTATTCTCTGGAAGGTCTTCTTCCATTGGCTCTGGTTTTGTCTCCTTTTTGGGAGGAGGTGGTGGTGGAGGTGTTGCAACTTCCTCCTCTTCATCCATACTGCCCAGATCAACTCCAAGCAGGACGCTAAGAGTAGTCATGATCCGGGGATCCTGCAGTTTCCTAGTGTTGGTTAAAAAAAGGAAAAACAGAACAGCACTTAAGTTTTCAACACAACTGATCTTAAACCCCACTTACTATTAAAGCTCGGATTACTGTATAGAAAAGATTCTCACCCATGGGAAGGTTGCTAGATTCTGTGCTACCCAGGAGTTACAACTGTGGAATGCTCAACCCCTCAAAAATCCACATAAAATATGAGGTAACGCAGACGGGATTTTCCTCAAGGCTAGCAGACACACAGAGGAGTGAGTTACAGGTATACTCTGTCTGATCTCAGGAGTCAGAGGCACCCAGGCAGTCACAGACACCAGCACAAGATTTAGAAAGCTGATCTTTAGATTTGATATGCTTTCAACCATGAGTTTCCACTCCAACACACCAATAGGGAGGGATATGTTGTCTTATCACTATCAAGGTATTCTGTGAAACAGAATCAATGGGCACAAAGATATCCCTTATGTGAAAATGTATACCTATGTATACAGAAAGGACAGAGCTGATGCTAAGTCAGCACTGCAAAAGTGCAGTGAAGGTGGGGAGAATTAGAACAAACACTCCAGATTACTCTAATACGTGATTCCCCAGACCCTTTCTAGAAATACAGATAAACAATAAAGCAGTAAACTCTGACTGCTCTTTGGAGGAAAAAAACAAAGGCAGAAACCCCAGTCTGGTCTAGGGAACCCCTGCCACAGGATCCTAAGAAACCACAACGCTCATGTTCGTTTCTAGAGACAAACCTGCCCCCTTGAACTTACGTGCCCAGGTCAGACGGCTTGTTCCGCAGCTGCTCGATCAGTTCCCGGTAGGTAGGATCTGCGAGCAGAGTCTTTGTCCTGGGATCGCTCTCCAACTTCTGGTACAGATTAGGCATGTTGAAAGGGTTCATGAATTTCCTTTCTGTTTCGAATAAAGGAAAACACACCACCAGGAAGTCGGTTACTGTGCCCCCATAGCCTACTAAAGCGACATTGGTGGGGGGGAGCCTCAATATTACCCCAACTATAGAACAACAGTAAATAAAACGGGCAGGGCAGTGTTCTGGGGCCTACCTGCCAACCGGGCCTCCATATTCTGTAAACCTTCTTTGAGCTGAGGATTGTTTGCTTCATGTTTTAAACCCTCCTCATAGGTTTGCTTGGCTTCTTCAAACCGGTTTAAGAATTCAAGAGCCGCTGCTTTTCGTGAATAGCCCTTAAACCAGCAAAGACAGACAAAAAATAAAAGACACTCAGAGATAAATTTCAAACATGAACTCTAAACAATCTACTTCACAATTCATGGAACAAAATGGGTATTCACATGAAGGCCACAAAACAAACAAACAGAGGACCAGGATACAACAGTAGTATCTATTGACCCTGAAGAACATAGCCGCTTCACCCCAGTTCATCTTATGACGCTAAGTGTTGTTAGTTTCTTGAGCAGTTTTCTCTTAGTACACAAAATAAAATGTGTCTTAACTGAAAGTACCTCAGATTTGACAAAACATGTCATCACTCCGAGGAACATTCTCAAACAGGTAGGAGGACTGGCGAGAGGGCAGTAACCAACTATGAGTCTCTCAGGATAGGTACCAGGCAGGCCAGAACTATCCCCAAAGGAGTTTCTGGGCACCTGAAAAGCCCCCATTCACGCACAGCTTACCTTGCCCCAGTCAGGCTTTAGGTCAACGGTTTTGCAGCCGTCCTCATAAGCCTTCTGGTAGTCTCCTTTCTTGGCATAGGCCGCTGAGCGATTGCTGTACAGCACATGGTTCTGGGGGTCTAACTTAATGGCTTCAGAGTAGCACTGTAACGCATCGTCAATGTTGCCAGCACTCAGGGCTTTGTTGCCCTTCTCTTTGAGCTCATTTACCTGAGAAGAGAGGAACCAATACAGTTTCTCCCCATAAAATCCTTCTTTAGTCCCTATTTCTTAGGTGACACTCATTCCTTTCTGTAGCTGTTGACAAACTGGTCACTTTATGGATCAGAAAAACAAATCACAGATTAACTAATTTACAGTTCCCAATCTCCCAAAAGTCTCAACTTTGAACTGATGAAGCCACTCTAGGACATATGCATGAATTCCTTTTGTGGAAAAAGAAATTTCTTTGCCATGGATTTCCAGAGTTAAATGATAAACTGAACACAGGCCTAGTTGAAGAGGGAGCCAGGAACAGAGAGGACTAAGCACGCACTGGTACATGCTCCAGCAACCTGCTGGCGCCAGGATGGCCTTCGGGAGCATCAGGATGCTCACCTAGTATCAGAGAACAATCTGTTTTCCACTGGCAGATGTCACAACATGGCAGATTATGGCTGTTTCTTAACAGGTAAAAATGAAGCTAGGATAAAAACCAGTTTTTGTCATGTTTAAGTATTAAACATACTTAAACGAATGAAGGGACTACCCTGGTGGCTCAGTGGTAAAGAATCCACCTGCAGTGCAGGAGAGGAAGATTCGATCCCTGTGTGAAGAAGATCCCCTAGAGAAAGAAATGGCAACCCACTCCAGTAGTCTTGCCTGGAGAATCCTATGGATAGAAGAGCCTGGCCGGCTACAGTCCATGGGGTGGCAAGAGAGTCGGACACGATTTAGTGACTAAACAGCAACAAAACAGATGGAAGGAGGATAAAGAAACACTACTGCAGTTCCATTCCCTACTCTCTCAAACACGCAGAACGGAAAACAGCAGCAACACACCAAAAGGTTTAACTGGTGTGAAATGGACCTCGGCCACATCAAAACAGGGTCCTAATGAAAAGGCTTCTCCAAATCAGGGAGCCCAACAAGAGGGGAGGGCCGTCTCTCAAATGCCCACACACTGGTGAGAACAGCTGTGTCACTCAGGATACAAGCCATTCTTTCTTGGTATGCCCATCCAGTGTACTGATGCAAGAAAGAATTCTGCCGTGAGAAATGACTTCAGAACCCCGAGGGACACCAAATGGGGCCCTCCACGAGCCAGAAAGATCTTAAGACAACCTCCAAGAGGAAAAGAGAGACTACCAAATTTAACGAGCAAGGAAAAAAATCTTAGAATACAGAATGAAGGCCAGAAGGTGAGAAGTTAAACTCACATAGTTCCACAAGGCAGCTGAGAATACCTCGGTGACATTCTTGCCTATCCTAGGGAACATTTTCCAAACTGAGCGAACCTTTTCTGTAAGCAGGAAATCAGCACTTGAAAACATCAAGTGGATGGAAAAGGAAAAGGCAACCCACTCCAGTATTCTTACCTGGAAAATCCCATGGACAGAGGAGCCTGGTAGGCAACAGTCCAAGGGTTTGCAAAGAGTCCGCCGTGACTTAGTGACTAAACAAAATGACTGTGCGCTAAAGTTTTGAAGCGCGTGCATTTGAACTGGTAAATAAATTTATATCATCTGACACGTAATTCATACAGCTGTATGCCTGTATGTGGTCAAAATGTAAGTTTTATCACTGTGAGATTTTTATTTGAAAGGTACTTAATTTAAAAAAACACAATTTTACACACTCATATTTATCCAATTTGAGTATTTCCTAAAACTGAAACATGGATCTAAGAGGGGGAAAAGAAAAAAGGTTACCTATTTAATGGGTGCAGGACAGTAGTTTTTAACACACCTGGCCATCTATGCAGTCCCTGAGTTTACTCAGTCTACCTGCATGTAGACTTCTACTATGGGCAAGTGCGATAAAACAAAATTTTTTCCCCGTATATTGGTAACTTCAGGATGAGAGCTCTTCTTGAACTTAAAATCAGTTTCTTGTCTATATCATAGCCTATTCAATCCCAGACACAATTTGGTTATCATGAGGGTGCAAAATGTTTAAACTCTCAGTTTCCACTCTAATTTTTTAAAAATTTAGCAAAGAGGCTCCAGATTTGGCTAAAAAGAGCAAAAGGTATACCAGGGTAAAAGATTCAGTTTTGTATCACACCAATACCCCAATCAACCATTACAGCCCAATAACAGGTTCCAATTCAATAAAACCTCTCTAGGTGTCTCACAACCCTCAGGCCACAGAGGACACAATTAACTCACAGAAGTAACCCACAACAGCCTCAAACTCAGCCTCCCAGTAACGCTGAACGGAGTCAACTTACTTCTCGCTGCTTAACTACATACTCTAAATTTTCTTCAGCAACTAATTCCTCCTCGTGCAATGAAAAATCCACGTTTTAGGAGAATCAGTCCTTGGTTAATTCTTGAATCACACGCACAGAAAGAAAAAACGAAGAGGGGGAGGTGCTGCACATATGATTTGTAAAACCCTGGTAGCGATGAAATTCACTCCAAGGATTTATGTTGCACCCTCTCCTTTCCCGAATCAGGCTAAGAAGTCGGCCTGCTGCTCATCATACCCTCACTCAACACTCTTCCACCCCAGCCTTCCATGCAGAGAAGCAGGGTTTCCCCGCAACTGGCTACAGAGTCCATCAGCTACTTACAGTATATTCCCGTCCCCGCGTTCCTCCAAGTTAACTGGGGCCAAGTCCTGGGTAACCTCTTTGCAATCTCTGATCTCTCTCCCAGAAGACGAATTCCCAGAGGTTGACCGTGATCCCTCTCGCCTTTCGCAAGGCCCCTCGCCCACCTCCAGCCTTCCGAACGTCGCGGGCGCCATCCCCCTGCTCAACTTGGACCCACGTCCTGGGAGGCCTCAGGGGCCCAGGCCGTGGCTCCTCTTCCCGCCGCGGGGCGGACTTAAGCCGAACTGGGGCTTCCCCCGGCCCATCTCGCCGAGTGGAGTGGCTACGGGCACTGAGGCGACCCCGCGCTCCCCGCCGCCAGGCCTCGCTCCCCGTCCGCCCGCCACGGCCCTCACGCCCTCGCCTTCCCCACGGCTCCGCCGACCCAGCCGACCCCGGCCCCCGCCCAGGCCACAACAATCGGGCGCCCGCCCCGCCCCTCCACCCGCGGCCGGGCCTTGGCGGGTCCCAGAGCGGCCACGGGCCTCAGCCCGCCCCTCCCCCTTCACCTGCTCCATAGCCCGGTCCGGAACCCCGTTGAATAGACTCCGTCGGCTCCGCGTTCCCAACCGCACGCGCCGCCTTCTGGAACCTACTAGAAGCTGCCGGGACCCCCAGATCCCGCCTCTTCCTCGCCGGCTCACTGGTCGCTCTCCTCTAGACGGCTTTCTAAGATTTCCTACTATTGGCTTGAAGTCTAGCCCATCATATTTGCTTCTCTCTCATTGGACAGTGAGGAGAGTACTGCCTCCCCCGCGTTTCGAGACTGGACGTTGCTCTGAAAGCCCCACCCATCATATACTCTACGATTGGAGGGAGGGGCGGACCTCTGCGGCACCGATTGGTTACTTAGCCCGCCAATCATGGCCGCGCTGGCCGCGCCCATTGGTCCTGTTCTTTCTGGAAATTTCCACTTCTCCCATTGGACTGACAAGCTCGGTGACAGAACCGCCTTCAGATTTAAAAAAATTTTAACTGGTCGGTGAGTTGCAGACACTTTGCTCTGATAGGTTTAAATTGCTGCCCTTCAAAGAGCAGGGTTCCCCCCCCCTCTTTTTTTTTTAAAAATAGCAGCGGTGGCTTATGGGAGTCTGAGGCCACAAACACCCTCTGCAGTAGTGGTTTCTGGGGATGTGTGGGTTTGGGGGGTCCGCTCGGGGCGCTTCCTCCGTCGGTCTGCGGCGAGTCAGTCTGAAGCAGTTCGCTTCTCTCCGGCGGCATTGAGTCTTGGTCCTTCACCGGAGTGTCAGGCTCAGGCGTCCCAGCCAGTGGGGGTGACCGTTTGGATCGGCTTCGGGAGAGAACCCTGGCCCGTCCCTGAATCCCAATATTGGGCTCTGGGTGTCCCAAAATCCCGCGTGATGGTGAAGGCGCTGGGGCTTGGGTAGGACAGGCTCGGGATTTCATCTTGGCCGATTTCCTCGGTGGAGACGCACACCTTCCCTGAACCTCTCAGGTAGAGAGTTTGGTAATCTAGGGCCATGGCGTGGGGTCGTTCACATTTGTGCAGTAGAGTTTTTAGCTCTTAATGAAGGGGCTCTGCCTGCGTTATTCGGAAGTAAGGGGATGAAAGAAACAAAACACCTCACTGAGCTGCTTGATCACCTGGCGGGCGGCGGCGGCCTGGGTGGTCCTTAAAATCGCTGCCCTCTTGCAAAAGGCAGGACAGGTACCCTCAGAGCAACAGAAAGGGCTAGAGGGTCAGAGAGAAATTATTTCGCTCTGGGCCAGTGTGTGGTTCACGGTGTGAGGCTGCCAGGGCTAACACCATGACAGGTGGCCCGGACCTAAATTTCGGTTTCCCCCGAAATGGTAAGATTCCCTACCCCCATCAGGCCACCTGGAGCCAGTCAATCAACATGCACCCAGTAAGAAAAAGGGAACCTATCAGCGGAAAGCTGAAAAGCCTGCGAACGCCCAAGTTTGAAAAAAGCCCGCGAAAGTTTGGACCAATAAAATTGCTTTGCGAACATGTAACCAATCCGCTTAAGCCAGCTACCAACTGCTTATGCTCACCCTATAAATTTGTGTAACAGCTTGGGCTGGGGGCTCTCTGACCCCGCACCACTGCGTTGGATGCAGCAGAAGCCCTGACTCGAGTCAGCAATAAACCTCCCCTTTAGTGAGTTGCATTGTCTTGGAGGCCTTCTGTCTTCCCGCTCAGGGATTCAGACATCGGGCATAACATTTGGGGGCTCCTCCGGGATCCCGTGACCTGGGGAAGAGAACACTTCCAGGACAGAGGGGAAGGACAGATAATAGCACCGGTGCTCAGGCAGGACAAGAAGTCCAGTGTAAATCCGAGGCCCTGCTGTGAGGCAGGAAGTTATCTGGCACAGGAGAAAGCTTTCTATAGGGGGTTAGGAACTCACCCTGACATTAGGTCTGGTGGGGGACGTTCCAGCCGGCCTAAGACCGAGGCCAGCGGATGCGCTGGAAGGCAGCCGGCTCTGTGGGAAGGAGAGTTCCTCTCCTGATCCCGAGTCTGGTGAGCAGTGGACGCCATTCGGTAAGGTGAACCTAGTACCGGGGGGGCAAGAACATTCAGGGGGTTGAAAACCCAGCGCTGTGTTGTCGGCCAACGTTTGTCTGTCCGTGTCTTCGGCTCTCCGTGTTTGTGTGTGTGCCGGCATTGTCTCTGGTCTCGTTCTTTTCTGGTGCATCGTTCTCTTCTCTCTCTTCTGACTTATTCTCCACTTCTTCTCTGATCTGCCCTCAACTCCTTTTCTTTTCAGGAGTTTCAGTAAACAGGCGAACGGTTGTGGGGGCAACTGATGAGTCCCAGCCAGGGCTACACTCTGGCGTGCTCTGAAGGCCCTACAATAAGTAAGCCTCAGTAACTAGAGCCCGACCGGGTGAAACTCTCCTTTAACATTCTTAACTGATGTTGGCCTAACATTCTTCGTGTGGGCACGGGTCAGGCACTTAAAGGCCATTAGGGTGCCTGCCACTTGAAGACTCCCGTGAGAGGATAAGGGGGTCACGGAACGGGCTAGAAACCCCTATGGTGCCCACCCCCAGCAAGAAAACTTCTGTGCAATGACACAGGCATATAAACAGTTCCAAAAGCATACCATAAGCCCAACCTCTTGGCCGCCACCACTCCTGGTTGGATTTTTGGTGGTCGTTCTCAGTGACGTCTTCTCTTTCTCTCTCTTCCCTACCATTTATTCTTTGACCGTGGGTCAGGGAGAATCTACCCCACTTTCCCTCATGACTGACCATTTTTTGGATGTCAGGGCCAGGGCCCATAACTTGTCTTTGCTAGTCAAGAAAAGTAAATTAATAACACTTTGCTCTGCAAAGTGGCCCACCTTCCGCGTTGCATGGCCTCCGGAAGGCACCTTTCAACCATCCATCATACAGGCTGTGAAGGAGAAGATTATGGCTCCTGATCCCTGGGGCCATCCGGGTCAGGTCCCCTATGTCATGGTTTGGCAGGATCTAGTGGAAAATCCGCCTAAGTGGTTAAAATCTTTCGTTCACAAACCTCCTAGTTCTTCTAATTCACAAGTCTTGGTGATGGAGACCCCCCCGGAGGAAACCAAAAAGAAAGAGGACCCAAAACTAGTCTTTCAGGAATCATCTTATCCAAACCTGATAGATCTAGAAATGGAGATGAGGCCTCCGCCATATGTACCCCCCCCTTGCAATTCCCTCTGAGGAGAGAAGCTCCCATGGGTGAACCGAGAGGACTAGGAGGGCCAACGGAACCGACCATGAGGGGGGGACCAGCATTGGGGACCCAGGGGAGAACTAGGGGAGATAGGGGTGGGCAAGACCCTGGGGACCCAGAGTTACCTTCATCCACTGTTCAGGTGCTCCCCATCCGAGTGGGACCAGCTAACCCAGATGGAGAGTGACCCTATCAGTACTGGCCCTTTTCCACGAGTGACCTGTACAATTGGAAGACCCAAAACCCTCCTTTCTCAGAGAAACCCCAAGGCCTCATTGACCTCTTAGATTCCATTTTGTTCACTCATAACCCCACCTGGGATGATTGTCAGCAGCTGTTGCAGGTGCTCTTCACCACAGAAGAACGGGAGCAAATTCTGGCAGAGACACGGAAACAGGCCCCGGGGGCCGATGGGAGGCCAACCGCCCAGCCTCTTCTCATGGATGAGGGGTTTCCTCTGTTGCGGCCTAACTGGAATTTTGAGCGAGCGGAAGGTAGGGAGCATCTCCGAGTGTACCTCCAGACTCCGATGACTGGCCTGTGGGCCACAGCAAGAAAGCCGACAAATTTGGCGAAGGTAAATTTAGTAAGGCAAGAGCCCACTGACAGCCTGGCAGCCTTCCTAGAGAGGCTGATGGAAGCTTTCAGGCAATACACACCTATGGACCCCCAGACCGAGGAGTCACACGCTGCAGTTCTGTTAGCGTTTGTAAATCAGGCAGCCCCAGGTATCAGGAGGAAATTACAAAAGATAGAGGGGTTAGAAGAACAGACAATACAGGATTTACTGAAAGCAGCTGAAAAGGTATTTAATAATAGACCCCAGAAGAAAGAGAAGAACGAATTCGACCGGAGGAAAGGGAATTAGCTGAGAAGATCAGGAAAGAAGATAGGGAACATAGGGCGAGGGAAAACCGGAAGAACCAGAGGGAGCTAGCCCAGATTCTTTTTGCGGGGATAAAGGCCGGAACAGAATTGAGGGAACCTCGAGACCCCCGGATGGGAGAAAAAGAGAGGCCAAAGAGGCAGGCCCTAAAGAAAGATCAGTGTGCCTACTGCAAAGAACAGGGACACTGGAAAAACGAGTGCCCTAAGAGGGACCCGAGGGGAGGAACGACCCAGAGAGAGAGAATCTCCCCTGGAACTCGAGTTCTATATGCGGGAGAAGACAGTGACTAGGGGAGTCGAGACTCGGCACCCCTCCCCGAGTCCTGGGTAACCATACATGTGGAGGAGAAACCCGTTGGCTTCATGGTAGATATTGGCGCCGAACAGTCTGTTTTAAATCAAAAACTGGGACCAATGTCTAAGAAAACCAGCTTGGTGCAAGGAGCCACAGGGACAAAAAGATATTGTTGGACCACAGAATGAAAAGTAAATCTGGGGACCTACCAGGTGTCCCATTCGTTTTTGGTGATACCAGAATGCCCAGGTCCTCTACTTGGAAGAGACTTGTTGACTAAAGTTAATGCTCAGATCCATTTTGACCCTGGGGGAATGTCAGTCACGGATGGACTTGGACAGCTGATACATGTCTTATCCCTAGCCTTAAGAGATGAATACAGACTCTTTGCACCTAAGCCCTCAGAGGTCATAGCACCAGATGTACAACCGTGGGTCCATAAATACCCATTGGCCTGGGCAGAAACGGCAGGAGTGGGACTGGCAAAACAGATATCCGGTCGTCATCGAGCTGAAGGCCGAGGCAATTCCTGTGAGGGTGAGACAGTACCCCATGAGCCAGGAAGCTCAGCAGGGGATCATTCCCCACATTCGACGTCTTATGGATGCCGGAATTCTCAAGCGGTGCCAATCCCCTTGGAACACCCCCTTACTGCCGGT